TTGGGGGGAGAGGGATATATTTGCGATCCTTGTACCGATTTGTAAGTGATAAAGGTAGATAGCTACACTTTACTTTCTTTGTGGGACCTATGTAGAAACGGCATGGATCGCTGTGATCTAGCGGCGAAGGTGTAGCTATTGCTGACGGTGATGGGTAGAATCGATTTACGTTAACCGCTGTAAGTGGGATGCGTTAGGGCGTTACTACCGGTGGGAAAGGCGCTATGTTTGAAGCTATCTTGTTAGCTAATATCGCTAATTTAACGCGATCTTGACGAAAGGAAGTCAATACTATAAGAAAACAACGCCTGCGTGCTCTTCCTAGCTTAGAAAAGACCCTGGGATCTAGGATGGCTTCAAATCGATGGTGTAGATTAAAAGTGGGTTTTTGGCTGAATTGGTTGGTTCTGGTTGAAAGTGCTGGAGGATACGAGGCCTGGCTGCAGTAGGCTGTAGTAGCGCCGATTCTAGCGTTTCTTCCTAAGGAGTGAGTATTGACGGTATGCGCGTAGCCTTCGACATGCCACCAGCGCTTTAGGTTTTCAACAGATGTTAGCACGGAACAAAGCTGAGGCAAACGCTTCGGCTGCCGCTACAAGGCTGATGAGGCTTCTTCAGTCCCAACTGGGAATCAAGGCTTGTTGGTTAGAGAAGCAATTCGTAGTTCTCAGGACCTCAACCCGGCAAGAAATGACAGGCCGGTGCGATGCAGACGCCAGGACCAAAAACTACGGGTGGCCAAGGGCTAAGGTTGTATGTGGTGAGAGGGTTAGGGTTTGTGCCTGGCTACGATTGTGAGTCTGTGTTGAAACTTGAGGTGGGTTGCACCTTACGCTACACGGCTATCAGGGGCCCCGCCCTAGCTTTGAGTTGAGAGCTTCATTTACTGGCCGAGTTCAACGCGCGGCATGACGAGGCCTGGTTGGCTTTGCAAAACGGTATGGAGGCTCTGATGACGGTTCGGAGGGTGTTTGATGGTTTTGGCTGTCTGACTCGATTTTGGTAATTCATTCACACAAGATGGGGCGGATAATAAACAGGCGCTTGCTCTCTGATTTCACAAATGACAAGGCGCCAGCCGAGCCACATGGGATGAGTGCTCACTCACTGATCCGGGCACTTTTTGCGCGGAATCGGTGTTGTCAGTGACGACGAAGGTGCCGAATACAACGAATGCCTGCCTGTATCCTTACTTTCGTATTCAGCCGCGACATAGGCATTTTTGCCCAGTGCCCTCGGGCTTCACACATCCATTGCACCGTTTCGAAGTTTCGAACGGAGCCGGACCAACGACGAGGCTCCGTGCCGCCGGTCGGGTCGTTCCAAGTTGACCACCTCTCTCTCTCTCTGCCAGGTTACGCGGCTTGCACTCTACCTGTGCTTGTCTATGGAATCTCAGTAGAAAGAGATGACGGCCCAGCACTGCACCTCAAGAATATCACTCATGTTTAATTGACCTTTTGGATATAAACAACTCAACGTCCAGGACGATACGTTGCAGGGACCGTTGTGGGCCTGGCCGTCGTGTTTCATCATCACACTTCAATAACGTCCTCATCATAGCTCTAATCACTTATATATCTTGATCCACCGGACTCACCCAACAGATCTTGACACCCATTCATAGACAGTTTAAAATCCAACCATGGACGCCGTTTCACTCAGCACCGCCATAACGACCATCTCCCTCGCGGGAGCTTACCTCTTTTCCTCTGGCCGACTAGCACCACTACTAGAACTTCCACGGCTTGGCTTCTTTGCCGCCTTCGCCGCATTGTTGAGCGTTCAGCTACTGCTGTACCTGATATGGAGCATCATACTCTATCCCAAATTCCTCTCCCCTCTCCGGGGGCTTCCCGAGCCTAGCGGCAATTCTTTGTTCATGGGACAATTCCCCAAGATCGCTCCTCATCCATCCGGGACCCCCCATATGGAATGGTATTGCGGCCCCCGCCCATTGTTTGCTGTACTGTGATAGCAACCGGGACTGATCATCTACAGGATCAACTCGATCCCGAATGATGGCCTCATTCGCTACCTTGGCCCCTTCAACAAGGAGAGGCTTTTCATCACGTCACCAAAGGCGCTTGCCGAGGTGCTGGTAACCAAGAACTACGAGTTTGTGAAGCCCTATCAGTTCCGTTTCAGCATCGGCCGCATTTTAGGAATAGGCATCCTCCTCGCCGAGGGCGACGAGCACAAAGCACAGCGCAAAAATCTGCTTCCGGCATTTGCATTCAGGCATATCAAGGATCTGTACTCCATTTTCTGGGACAAGTCCCGGGAAGGAGTCGAGGCCATGACTCGGGAGATCCAACGTGATGCCGCAAACTCGTCGGCCGAGAGCCAGAACTCAGCCGTGATCGAAGTGAGCAGCTGGGCCTCGCGGATAACTCTCGATATCATCGGGGTAGCCGGCCTGGGCCACGACTTTGGCGCCATCGCGGATCCCGACGGCGAGTTGAGCAGGATATACCAGCAACTCTTCAAGCCCAGCCGCCAAGCACAGTTCCTGGGACTGCTGCAGATCCTCTTTGGGGCCCGCCTAGTCGACCTACTCCCCGTGAAACGCAACGCCGACGTCCACAGCGCATCCAGAAAAATCCGAGGCGTGTGTGCCGATCTGATCCGCGAGAAGAAGCAGAAACTGGCGCGCAAGGAGCTGGTCGACGTAGACATCCTCTCGGTGGCCCTCGAATCGGGCGGCTTCACTGACGAGAATCTTGTCGACCAGCTCATGACGTTCCTCGCGGCCGGCCACGAGACGACGGCCTCGGCGCTCACCTGGGCGGCCTACCTGCTCGCCAGGCACCCGGATGTGCAGGCGCGCCTGCGGGCCGAAATCCGGGAGCGCCTTCCGCCCATCTCGGGCGGAGGGACTGTGTCCAGCGTGGACATTGACCGCATGCCATACCTCAACGCCGTGTGCAACGAGGTCCTGCGCTATTTTGCCCCCGCGCCCATGACGCTTCGCATCGCCAACTGCGATACCAGCATCCAGGGCCGCTTTGTCCCCAAGGGCACGCAGATCATGATTGTGCCCTGGGCCATCAACAAGTCCAAGAGCCTCTGGGGTGAGGATGCGCTCGAGTTTAAGCCGGAGCGGTGGCTGCCCAAGTCGGACGGCGACAGCAAGAGCGCCGCGGCCAGCAGCGGCGGCGGCGCCACGAGCAACTATGCCTTCATGACGTTTCTACACGGCCCGCGCAGCTGCATCGGCCAGGCGTTTGCCAAGGCCGAGTTTGCCTGCCTGCTGGCTTCGTGGCTCGGCAGGTTCGAGCTGGAGCTGCACAACAAGGAGGAGATGGATGAGTCCAAGGTTGAGATCAAGGGCGGGATTACGGCGAGGCCGGCAAAGGGCATGTATGTCAAGGCGACGGTGCTTGAAGGGTGGTGATGGAAGATCCGGGCATGGAGCCGCGTGGCTTGGGAGGGCTAAGCACCGGACTCCTTCTGTTGTACAACTACGGGCAAATAAGGTGCTACAACCGTGTCACTGCCGAGACCGAGAAGCGCATCAGGATTGCAGTAGTACTGCTTCGTCTGTTGGGCGTCTCGATCATTTCTTTCCCCGCTGCCCGATTGTTTGTGTCTGTCTTTGAGGTGCTACTGCTAAGGCAAAGCCATTCTCGTTCAGATCTCACATGTCGTTTGCCCTTTTGCTGCAATGTCATTATCGCGGTGCTGGTTGAGATTGGAGAGGGGAGGACGGGCCGCTCCTTGCGCTGCGTCAGCAAATCCGACCACTGCAGGGCGAGAGAATCGCGTGTAAGTCGTGCGGGGGCATGACGGTAGGTTTTAGCCAACCGTTGCGCCAAGTCAGGGAAGAAATGTCGAGATAGGGACTAGGGAGCCCGAGGAGAGAGAGGGATCAGGGGTCGACTTCGACGACTGGCACACGCGACGGAAGGAGGGGGAAGATGACCGGACGGACAGTACGTCAATGCCGTCCGACAGCCTGTGGATGGAGATGCAGCTGGCCCGTCCCGTTCGCCATGACAGATCAAGAGAAGGACGCAGGGTGGGCTCAAGTTCCCGGACTCGGACAGCGACTCTGCAGGAGTGGACTGGATTACAGAGAACTACTAGTGCATATAAGGAGTATACCTGCCTATGAAGAGGTTTGAGCTACTAATACTCTACTCCCACACTACGTCACGTAACGGGATCATATATGTAAAGTAGCTTAAAGTACACATTCACCTACTCAAAAGATACACTGATGAATGCCACGGGAGACGTGACAATCCACCACACCCCGCCTCGGTCAAGACCGATGCTCAGGTCCCGTCTCAAGATGTAAGGCAAGAGAAACATGAAACACCCGTGCACCGTGCACGCAGCCTCGTCCCGTCCGTCGGAGCGGGTTGGCGTAGTATACATTGTCATGCATAGTATATACTATATACCTCAATGCTATAGCCCGCGGAGCTACGGTCAACCTGGAACCAACAGCTAGTATTACACGACTGTATCTATAGCGCAGTAAATGTACTATGTACAGGGCTGAAGGCAGTGTTGGCCATCATGCTGGGAAACACCACACGACACTACACTGCTGGTATTCCAGGGTAGAGTTCTATGTCATCAATTCGTTTAGTACCGCAGTACGCTACAAGGCGAGTAAGGTAGGCTGCAATATCTGTCTGCCTGCTTGCCTGCCTGCCTGCCGGTCTGTCTGTCTGTGGGTTGGTAGGTATCATGACCAGATGTGGGAACAGCCTAGTAACTCCTTAAAAGTAGTAGGAAAATAACAAGCACCTGTTCCCCGAACACCAACCCAAGCCGCCCGAGCCCAGCCTAACACCGTCCTGTTTCCCTTGAACCGACCTAAACAAAGAACGCCTGCCCCCGTCCCGGGCCGTAGACGGTGTACTAAGTAGTCGTAGTAAGTAAAAGAGGGTTATTACAAAAGTAGCAATACAGCATCAAGAAGAAATCCGAAGAAAAGAAAAGAAAGAATAGAACGAGAGAACAGTGAAGCGACAGCCTCAATAACAATCACCTCCAAGTCCCATGAATCCTCGGCCGACGACTACTCCCCCTCTTAAGCCCCACATCCCCGTTGGCCATAAGCGACTTCCACCTGCGCCCAACACTCCCGCGGTCTTTTTTCCCAAGGGTGCGCGCACAGTCCTGCCAGTCGGATTTGCTCAGCCGGAGCTTTTCCAGCACCAGCTCCACCAGCATGCGGTCCTCCTCTGTGCTCCACGTCTCGCCGTCTGTTTCTACTACCACATCGGTGCCGTCCTTTTCAATATTCTTGTTGTGGTTCATGTCGGAGGCGTGCAGCTCGTGGTAGTCAGAGCGCTCTAAACCGAGGGGAAGCACCTCGGGCGCGATGCGCGAGCGCTTGGGCGTGTGTGGCGCGGAGGGTTGGGATTGGGATGGCTCCTCCGTCATTTGCTCCTCTGGATGTGATTGCTGTTGTTGCTGCTGCTGTTTTTCTTCTTCGGCCGACCTGTCGCGCTCATTGTCGCTGCTGATGCTATCGCCGTTGTCATCGCGACCCATGTCGTCGTCGACGGCGCGGCGCCGCTTGTTGGGTCCTCGCGCGGGCGGCGCAAGCGCCACCGAGGAGCGCTTCACGATGCGCTTGCGCGGCGGTCCGCTGTGGTCGTGTCCGCTTGCGCTTGGGCCGGTGTCTGTCTTGCGCGAGCGCAGGCGCAGTTTGAGGGGCGGCAGCGGCGCATGCGCCAGCGGCGGGGTGGGTAGTTGCGCGTGCGACGAGGTCGGAGGGGTGATGGGCTCAGTGGCTGCTGCTGCTGCGATGGTCTCGAAGGAGGCAGGGCTGGTCGCCGCGAGGAGCGACTGTAGCGAGCGACATGTCGAAAAGATGTTGCCAAAGGCTGTCTGCGGCGACTGCGGCGGGGGGCTCGCGGGCGGGGATGCGAAGAGGGTCGTCTGGAGGCGCGTCAAAGGCGGCAGTTGCGACGAGTCGCACGAGAGTGCGGATGGTAGCAGCATGGCTTTCTTTCTTTATTGTGCTTTGCGAGGTTTGTCGAGCGACGGTATAGGATGACGGGAATATAGTTCCAGCCTCTAGTCGCTGTTCGGGAGAGATATAAGGGGCGGGAGGATTTCCGGGTTGTGGCTAAATAGAGGAAACCAGAAACGAGCGTTTTGCGACCAGGTCAGATGTGCGACCGCCGGAGCTGTCGGAAAGATTGCGCAATGCCGAAGACGGCAGCTCTGGGATGCCACAGCAGCGCGCAATAACAACTGCGAATGCTCTGGGGTAGAGGTGAATAGCGCAGTTGGGGGCAGGTGTTGCGATGAAAGGTAAATTGTGTGCGAAAAGCGTACACGTAAAGGCGCAAACTTGGTGAAGGCAGAGAAGGCGCGGCGAGAAAAGAAACGGAAGTCTTCGTCGACGGGAGCAGTGGGCGAGGCAGAGGAATAATGCGCCTAATAAGATGTGGGACGACTCAATTGCAGGGGTTGCCGGTGCGCACAAAGTGGGCCACATGACTGACAGGGCATCAAGGTGGGGCAGGACAGCTAGCTAGCCAATCACGGCAAGCCGCACGCTGCAAGTGCCCCTCTCACCCTCGCTCCACCAGCATGCTTCTTCTGCAAGCACTTTAACGGGAGTGACACGGAAAATGGGGCTTCTGAGCGCAACTCCGGGCTGCAAGAGCGAGGTACATAGGAGAAGCAAGCATCGGAATCGAGTGAGACACCGACGGTGAGCCAATATCGACGCTGACCATCTTTCACCTTTCTAGCTTCGTACATGGCCAGAGGAACACGAAAAATGAGGGAGCGCGTCTCGTCAGTCTATTTCTTGAAGCTAGCCACTAATTTGATCGCCAAGTCGGTCGATGTGGGCTGGCCATTGAATTTTTTCTTCTTCGTCTCTCCTGGTCTAGCTCAGGAGTTATCACACCATCTGGGTCCGGCCGGGATAGTCCTCCTACCCTGAATAAAACTGGAGTCACATCTAGTTGTCATGACCACCTTGGGTGTAAGTACAGAATCTGTTGAGTATCCGGCCCTCTCTGAATCGCAGGTGATATGCCACGATGCGAGGGGTGCTGTGCCTGGTTCACGCGCCCACTTGCGTCACTTGCATACTACCTTATCCCTCCCTCTCTGTTGAATGTAGGGAAAATGTAGGGTAGGGTGTGAAATGCGCGCCCGTTTAGCTGCCCGTTTCAACTTTCCCGGCCGTGAGATACCGAGAAGGTAACGGCTTCCACCAGCTTGTTCGATCTAGGTCGATTGCCCAGCGTTCCGCGACGCTTCCAAACAAAGCCCTGGCTGGTGCCTTGGGCTGAACACGAAGGTGTACACGTCATAGGATCGACCAGGTCAGCAACATCACACCGGCGATGCCAGACGGCTTACACTACTTGAGTTGTGCTGAAGCTACTGAGCCACCCCGACAGCAAATATGTACATAGTTTGCATAAAGGTAACTATTTCTGTGACCTGAGCTGCAGGAACCATGTTGGATTCATCTCGACAGCAGAGGCCGCAAGGGAGAAGGGAAAACCACAGTCAAGAGCAATAAGTAGGACAAACCTGAAGGAGGGTTGCAAGTTAATGCATTGCTCCTCCCCTCCTCTGCGCGAGCGATAAGCCAGCTGCCCCTCGCAAGACACAAGATTTCTAGAATCCTCTCTCTCCCTCTTCGTCGTCGACACCAGCACTGCTTACGCTATGCGCTACAGTCTGGACAGAGTCGGGATTTGTAAACGAGTAGCTTAGCCATTCGGAGCGAAAAACGTGTCACTGACGATGGCGCTCGATTGCCGACTACGAGCTTCAACAACTGCAGTATCTGCATCTACTCCAGTTTTGCAATGCGCCACAAGACCTGCAGAACACACCCCGCTGCAGGTCGTCTCTTTGAGGTGGAAGCAGAGACGACTGGGGTGAAACTGATCTGGACCCGACCCGGGGAGACAGCTGCGTAACGAAAGGGGCGGGGTTGTCGCGAGACGCGTCTGGTCCGCGAAAAACACGCGACTGAGACGCGATTGCCAGTGGGTCCAATTTAAGTAGAGTTAGAGCCATTGACCAATGATTGCGTGGCGGAAGATGGCGTTGCCAAATCATTGGCTGCCAGAAGAAACGGTCTCTGATCGGCAGAACAACCCATGTCGTGCACCCTGATCAACCCTTTGACACGGATGTGGCTTAGTGGACGGCTAAGGTACGTACCAGCGGGTGCTAGGTGTACGGGAGGATCAACCCAGTCCCTTGGACCTGTCTCCTTTTTGCTCGTTTTGTCAGCTGCTGATCCGTCGAGGCGGATTGCGGGCTCCGGGATCCCTTGGCCCCTCAATCGGCCGTGGGACATCTGCCGCGCCCGGATCCGCATCCCGCCGACCTCGGCTTCGGGGCAAGTATCGGCTCCTACAACTAACGAGACAAGGAGATTGAGTTACACGATTCCATTTTGTGACTCTACAGTTCCTACACTTGTATCAGTGCCAGTCAGTTACTAGGATTCAGAAAGGAGCATTGGCTGCGAGTGCTTACTCCTCGGCTCATGACAGTCCGCTGATATTCAGGCACATCAAGTGATGATTCCATGCCATTGATATCCTGATTTTGTTTCTGGCTGTAAGTTGCGCATGTACAAGGACAAGTCGCCTAATCATCGTTTGCTTCCTCTTCATGTCTGTGCTTATCGGCTTTGGGAATCGGATCCTTGGATCGAGAAGCCTGTGGCCTACTTTTCCTTGGAATCGCTGCTTCCGCTGGTGATGAAGACCGGACAGTTGATGAACCCCACGATTAGAAGTTGAGCAAACAAATAACGCCATGAATCCCAGTTGAGCTATCAATGGCTTGGTTGGGACGAGCTGTGTGTCCCTGGATTGGCAGTTGGCGTATCGCGGGCTGACCATTGAAGGCAATGGGATGAGCGAAAAGGGGTTGTTGATAAGAGCGTTGGCATGGGCAATAGAATGAACGGCCGAGTACTAAGTATTACTTTGGCTGTCAGCGACTTGGATGAACAGTGATAGCCATCTGAAGATTCATCACAAATCTGACAAACGCGAAATTTGTGATGCGGTCTGTTCATACCTCTCTTCGCTCACTGCCATCCAAAGGGCTCGTCACGCGGTCTGTTTACACTTCTCTTCACCTCAAGGTCATTTGAAGTGATCCATCACGCGATCTGTTCAGGTTACCTTCACTCACTCTTATCCGAAGAGCATCCATCACGCGACCTGATAATACCTATCTTCACTTATCCCACCAACTCAGTTCAGGGCGTTTTGATTGCGCCTTGAAAGGTACTTAAACCCAGTCTCCCTCCTGCTGGGCTTTTCCCCCTCGAATGTATTTCCTCACACTCTACTCTCCATCCATTTCGACTCACTGTGCCAACCAAGTCAACTAAGTCGACCAATCCAAGAGCACCTTTGATTCTTATTTTCTTGGAAAGTCGGTTCTTCCCCTAAGTTCTTCTCCTCACCAACTGTCAGTGCAGTCAAAGATGGACAACAAGGAGACGCTCAATGTAGACTCCCACAATAACTCGAATCTTGCGACCGACCAGTCTTCCGACCCAGCGGATCCCTTTGCTTCTCGCAGTCACAGGACCTGGACACCCAAGTATGGGCGCGTCCAGAAGTGCGACTTCTGCAACGCTCGGTCGCCAGGAACGCTCCACGTGTGCACGACGTGTGCCATCCACATCTGTGAAAAGTGTTCCAGATCCGACCGCTGGCATTCTGACTCCAAGCACTTTATCGATCCAGACGCCTACAACTGGATTGAGGTGAAGTCCTCTAAAGCCTCCAGCAGCCGTAAAACCAGGGCTTCAGGAGGCAGTAGCGCGGTCGGCGATGGAATCGCTCGTTCAGGAGAGCAGCATCGCAATGCTGAAGTCAAAAATCACGACGAGACTGATCCCGACGATACTGAATACATCGATGACGATAACAACTCAGAGAACTCGAGCACGGCTTCTAAGCGTCCTCGCTCGTTTGTAAACTTCAGCAGACCTTTCCGGGGCGGTAACACTCGCCAGCAATCCACCTATCCATATCCACCTCGGACCACAGCGGCCGCCGCACGACCGAGTGTTCGCCAAGCGGCTGCTCGGGCACTGACCCGCATGAGCCGTCAGAACGGCTCCGACGACGGCGATGGTGAGGGTGATGAGGGTGATGACGATAACAGTGGCGATAACAATACCAATAACAATGGCAATAACACTGGCGATAACAGTGGAGAAGACGACAGTAACAATATTGAGCAACAGGGTGCTGATGGCAATCACGGCTCTGTTCCGACTCGTCACCCGGTTCCTCCTTCGGGCTTTCCCCTTGCGGACCAGCCAGTAGCACCTACCCCCTATGACAACCTTGTCTACGACATCTACGAGCAGATCTACGGCATCCGACCCGTGTGGTATGTACTACAGGCAGAAACTCCCGTCTTCGTGTCTTGTTGGCTCCGTCTAGCGTCACGAGCAAAACGACATGAAGACAAGGCCTTGACCCCAAACCTTCCCCTTACAAACCGCCAAGAATAACGCATGTACTATGTATGGCGTGACTGACGTTGATTGCCGAACAGGATGCCGCGCGTCCGTACATCGATTCCAAGCCGTTGGGACGGCGAATGGCCCTCCTCAACTCCATCGCCGGGGCAGCACCGCCGTGAAGAGGACGGCACCATCTACCAACAGTACGAGCTGTACCACCAGCACGCCTTCTCTGCCGCGACTCAGTTCTACCCGCTCAACAACCTCCTGCCCGCGCCCCGCGGCTACGAGCAGTATTCGTTTGAGAACTACCCGCCGGTGCGTTTATCTTTGCCTTTCCCTTTCCTTTCATTTCAGCTCCTCCCTTTCAAGTTCAACCTCCAAAACCCACTCCATTCACTGGTCCTACCCAACAATGGGCGAGCCCAACCATAATTTCACAGACTAGGTACTAACATGAAGTCACGCCAGCGAATCCAAGAAGGCTACACCGCCACAGTGCGCACCACACCGCGATTCCACCCGTACAACGAGCTTTCGCCAGCCGAGATCGCACTGGTGGAAGCCGACCGCCTGACCCTCACCCAAATGAGAGCGGCGTGGCACGACAACAACCAACTGGCAGCCATGCGCAACCAAGGCCGCCATCTCGCGGCCATTCAACTGCTTTGGCACGTGTTTGAATTGCGACGCACCCGGGTTGATGTGCGAGCCTTTTCCCAGACGGTTCGGTTCTTTGTGGCCGAACGGGACCGTGCCGTGCAAATGGAGCAGGCAGTTGAAGAACTAGATCGGGTGCGAGTCGAGTCGTTGGAGCAGGAGTTCCAGCGTGAACGCAGGCAGGAGCAGTTCCGGCGGTACCAGCACGGACTTTTGACTGCTGCCATGCGTAATGGGTTCCGAGGAACGCCGGCGCAGATGGCGCACCTGCTGCAGCAGCACCTGCAGCAGCTGCAGAATCAGCAGGGTGGTTCCGCTGCTACAAATACGGGTGGTAGCGGGGACACCGCTGGCAATAACGGGGTCACAGGCGCAGAGGCGCGTCACTCGGAGATGATAGAGCAGCTAGAAGAGTTGCTGCACCGCCGGGGCTGAGCGGCCATTGCCCTTTGATTTTCTTTCATTCTTCATTATCCCAGCGCAGCATCTAACCACGGACGGGCATTGCATTGCATTGCACTATGGCGTTCGGTGTTGATACTCCCCAATGTACTTATAGACGAAGCGTAAACAACGCACCACCTAAGAGAGACTAAACCCACCAGTCTGTTCCCGTTGCCCCTGAGGCGAATTGTGTGTGCGCAGCTGTCAGGACTTTAAAATGTCTATGTGTATTCTGGTGATACGGGAGACATCAAAGGCGGGCAAGGGAGGAGACCGTTTAGCCACTGACTGACTCTATTTGATAAGTTCACAGAACCAAGAAATCTATTCGCCATCCCTGGGAACCCGAAACTCCGTCTTATATTTTGTCTACCCCCCAATGCTCTAATCTTGAGTAACATACCTATCCACTGACAACCCATTATCAACCTCTTCCCTCATCCTTCGCCTTCTCATCTGCCACATGGCCAAAGACCTCCTCCCAAACCGCATCCTTCTCCTCGCCCAAAATCATCTCCACCAGCTTATCCCTCTCCGCGCTCTTCTGAACCAGCTCCCAGAAAGCCCCCGTCCGGTAACCCTGCCCTTGCCCTCGCCCATCTCCCTCACCCTCACCCTCATCTCTCCGCAGTGTTCCCGCCTCAATTCCATCCACATTTCCATTCACACTACCCCCAAAAGGTCCAGACCCAGCAGTACGCCTCATCCCCGCGACAAACAACTCCCTCGGACTGCCCATCTCAGCCACCTGGCCCTGTTCCAGAACCAGCAGCCGATCAAAATCCGCCACCGTCGACAGCCGGTGGGCAATCACCAGGACGGTGCAGCCCGCCGCGGCAAATTCTTTGCGCAGCGACTCCTGAATGCTGCTGTCTGTTCCCCTGTCAACGGCGCTGGTGGCCTCGTCGAGCACGACGATCTTGGGCCGCCTGAGTAAGGCCCGCGCCAGGCACACCAGCTGGCGTTGGCCCTGCGACAGGTTGGCGCCGCCCGTGCTGATGGGCATGTCCAGGTTGGCGAAGATGTTTGTGTTGTTGTTTGTGGTGGTGGAGGTGGTGGCGTTGGATTCGGAGCTGGAATCGGCGAGTGTCGGGTCTGTTTCCCCGGCTATTGATGTCTCCGTGGCTGTCTCAGAGTCAAAGGGCAGATTCGCGGTCGGTACTGGGTTGGCTGCCGCGGTATTATTGGTATCGGCGTTGGCCGGGGGGTACTCGGATGGACGTTCAGGGTCGCTGCCGCCTTCAATAAGGTGAACGCGTTGAAGCGCCGCTAGCAGCTCGTAGTCGTCCAGAACGCCTTCCATGTCAAGGTTTGAACGCAATGTGCCGCTTGATTATTTCATCCGGTGTTAGTGTTACCGTACAACAGGGTGGCTTTCTCGCCAAGAGACATGCAAAGGGGGCTGCTTACGAAAAAAGGAAAGGGTCTTGAGGGATGATGGCCAGGCGGCTCCTCAGCTGACTCAACTTCAAGCGCGAAATGTCGATATTGTCAATGCGGACACTGCCCTCGACAGGCTCGAGCAGACGAAAGAGGACCGCAGCAAGAGTCGACTTCCCTGCTCCTGTCCGTCCGACGATACCAATTCGCTCACCAGCACCAACGACGAAATTGAGCTTCTTCAAAACTGGTGGGAGGTCCTCCGCGTAGCGGACAGTCAGGTTGTCAACCTCGATCCTGCCTTCGGTCGGCCAGGCAGCCGGGGCATCCATGCCGCCCTCGGGTTCCGTCTCGATCTCGGCGTACTCGAGCACTCTCTCGCATGCGTTGAAGCCCAACTCGACCGAGGTCATGGCCTGGAGGAGAGATGTCAGCGCGTTCGTGTAACGCAGCGCAAAAGCCAGGCTGAAGCCGGCCAGCGCGGCGTCAACACGGCTGAAGGCGACGGCGTTGGCGACGACGGTGACAAACAGGGCGCCCAGCAGCCCCATTCGGAAAGCCATCCAGCGGCTGGACAGCTGAAGCGCCCAGGATGCTTTGGAGCTGTTGTCGATCAGGCGGTACATGCGCTCCATGTAGAAGTTGGTGCGGCCGAAAGCGCGAATGGTCGACAGGCCAGAAAGAACTGAGCTGAACTGGTCATAGATGGGAGAATGCGAGACCGAGTTGATCCGCTTGACTTCGCGCGCGGCGTTGATGTACACCCAGGCAATGCGCAGGTAGAAGAGGAAGAGGAAGAGGCCGAAGAAGATGACATGCACCGAGACAGACAAGCTATCTCCCATCAGCCATATTTCGCTAATCAGTGCTAGGTTGATCGGGGACATACCTTGTACCAATAACGACAACCAAGAATAGCGTAGTGCGGATAAGACTAAAAGTCTGAGTGGAAAGCCGTCTGTCAACAGTGAAGGTATCGGATGTGAAGCGGTTGAGGATACGGCCGGCCGGGACGGTGTCTATCCAGCGCAGGGGCGCTCGGAGGATAGCATGCGTCATCCTCTGGAAGAGAACCCTGGAGGCCGTCAAGCCCACGATGAAGAACGTGATGACGCGGACGATCTGAACCAGAAGAATAGTGAAATCGATGATGAGAAACGCTCCGAGCCCTAACAAGTTGTAAGTCAAATGATGTTAACGCCAGTATTAAAGCCAGATGCTCGAAGAAAACACAACCAAACGTGATGTGCTGGAAAACATACAGAAGAAGATGCCATGCTCAGCGCCACTAGTCGTCCGGAAGCCAGGTAGGTCGATGTGATTCTGAGAAATCATTATTCGGGCGGTCTGAAAAGCGGAATGGACAGTCTCGGATGCCGCTTGTTGGGCGAGTTCCTTCAGACTCCACGTCCGCGCCACAGTCAAGAAGTGACCAAGGAGGAGAATCGCGATGCCAATCAGCCAGGGAACTGCACCACCACTGGCTTGGTAATAGGCCTTGTACACCTTCCACTTGACACGCCCGCTCTCCCTCTGTTCATCATCCTGGTTTGTCTTTTTTACCTGTTTCTGCTCCGCCGGAGTGGTGTGGCCGTTTTGGGCATCTGCTGGTGTCTCGTCTGGCGGTGCCGCAGCTGTCCCGGACTCAGAAGACGCAGCCACCGCAACTGGGAAGAGGTGCTCGACGGATTCCACCTCACCGGCGTGGAGGCGGACTAGGTAGCTCGCATGAGGCAGCACCAGCTCCGCATGATGGGTAGCGAGAATGCGAGTACGCCCTCGGGCGAGCTCCCCGGACAGGGCCCTATCAACAATCAGTCTGCCTACGTGGGCATCAACAGCGCTGAGGACGTCGTCGAGCACCAAGATGCCAGCGCGGGAGTAGAGAGCCCGGGCGAGCGCGATTCGCCAGCGCTGTCCGCCGGACAGGGTGACGCCCTTGGGTCCAACCTCGGTCTCATCGCCATCGACCAAAAGCTCCATGTCCTTTTCGAGAGCGCAGGCGGCAAGGACCTTGTGGTAACGGTCCTCAACGAAGGGAAGCCCGAAGACGATGTTCTCCTTGGCGGTGCCACTCTCAATCCAGGGCGTTTGGGAGACAAAGGCGGTCAACTGCGGGATGATCCATTCAGAGTCGTGGATGTACGCCGCATGCTCATCAAACGGTGGCGGAGTAGGCATGCTGATCCTGCCGCCCAGTAGCTTGACCTCACCCAAGAGAGCTGCAAGCAAGAGGCTCTTCCCTGATCCGGTTTTACCAGTGATTACGCTGAGTTTGCCGGTGGGAAACTCGAGGGTAGCATCTCTGAGCATCGAGTGCGCCTCGCGCTGCTCTTCTTCAACCCCTTTTGAAATCTCGGTGTCCTCGATCCTCGGCCACGCCACTGTGGCATTCTCAAAGACAATAGAATCTCCCGGCTCCGACACGGGCTCCTTATCTGACTGGCTGAAGTATCTCTCCAGCCTGACAGCGCTAGTCCAAGCCTCGAGCAGGTACATTTGCAGGAGCGGCAAAAGGGCTACGGCCTCGTCGAGCTGGTCGAAGAGACCGAGCGAAGTGAAGATGACGGAAGCTCGGATGTGGGTTCCATTGTGCCACACATAAATGAAGAAGGTAACGCTTGCAAGCAGCAGGGGCCCAAGGTTGACCACGAAGACGACAAGACACTGCCAGAGGGCAACTTTCCAATACTGGCCGAGTTCTTCATTGCGGCTGGTCAAGATCTTATTCTCCCAATGCTGCTCAAGAGCCGAGTATCTGATCTGGCGCATACCCTGCAGGGCTTCAGTGAGGAGATGGGCCTTGCCATCGCGGTACTTCATCAGGCCAAAGTGCAGCGACGTGTATCTCTTGGACAGGAGGGAGCTCAATGGGACCATGAGCGATGCGGCGCCAAGGCCACACAGCACGGGCATCCAGCCCATTAATCTGACGGTGAAGCCACCTGCGAGTACGAGGTTGAAAATAGCCATGGGGAAGTTGTTGTTGTACATGCAGAATATGGTGACACGGCCACTAGCAGCGTTGTTAGTAGCGATCCAGGGAGATGCGAGGTCAGGGGAGGGCAATACCTGTCAAGCTTCATGTGGTTGATTACCGACTGTCTGGTTTCCGGCTCCTTGTCTTTCTTGACTTTACCTCCTTGCGTACCTGGCTTTCCGTTGGCGTCGCCTGCATTGTCCTGGCCGTCACCATTGCGCTTGTCCATTTTCTGGCCAGGCGGCGCGGTCTCGTACAGCTTGAGGGCCTTTGAGAAGACAACAGACTGCAACAGTGAGCCCACTGGGATCTCCAGACGAGTTGTTGTGATCCACCGAAGCCAATTGCTGACTCCGACCTGGAGAAGCTGGCTGAGCAGCAGGCCAAGCACCCATACGAAGAGGGTTGGGTCAGCAGACGTGTGGTCTGCTCTCTGCTCAATTCTCGACAAGAAGTTGTAGAGTACAACCTGAGGGAACAAAGACAACAGGGCAATGAGCAGAGTCAAAGCCCACTGCAATGCAAGCTCGCCGGCGTGACTCTTGATGAGCTGCCACCAAAGCGGTCCTTCATAATGATGGTCGAGAAACCTCGAAACAAGGTTTCTGGATCGAGTAGCAAAGTCGAGGTTGGGGATGTCCTGGATTTCCATTTGGCGCTCCTTGGCGATGTCGAAAATAACCCTGTTCCACGAGAAAGAGAACAGGGACAGCAGCGAGAGGGTGCGCTGTTGGTCAACAAGGCCGGTCTCATCGTAGACATCTGGACGGCGCGGAAAGGCAGCAAAGCCAGCTGCCGTGACGACGGCGAAGACGACCTGGGCAAGATAGAGGACCGCTAGGGCCAACATCAGGACACCACCATGGGACCCGGAGAGCGACGCCAGTGCCTCGTAGCCATGGCGGAGAGCAACCGACACGGCGACTACCACGGCTGATACCAGGCCGGAGACGGTCAGGGGAAACTTTGCCTGGTGCTGGTGCCGAGGAGGCAGACAAAGGCATTGCAGGCAGAGGAATATCTACAGCCGGGTCAGCGAGAGCCAGAAAGCATTCAAAATAATGGGGCATTATCATCCTTACCCAGCATGCTGGCTCGGCCCAGTCGGCCAAGCTAGGGAGTAGGGGTGAGTCTGTATCTAGGTCACGTCTCAGGGCCACGATTCTGGTGGCAATAGAGGCTGCCAGTCCGCCAACGACGCCTAGGTAGACAGCGACCCGGGGCCGCGTGTCCGAGTATGCGCGGATCGAGTCCTCGGTTGCGGTACCGTCGAGGTCTTCATAGCTGGTTTGGTCGAGCTGCGTGTAGTGTCCTCGTGGTCTGAGTGGAGCCGTGGTTCTCCATGCATAGCGGAGTGCAGGCGCTGTCAAGAGTGCTACCGAGAACACCGCAATGGCGCCAATAACATCATGCAGGACGAGTTCTGGGTCCAGCATAGTAGTGTATTGCCCCCACCAAGAGTGAGTGAGGAAGAATATCTTCTCGCTAGGTGGTACTGGCAGTCCCTATTGCGTCTCCAATGTGACGAACGCGAGAACGGGGGGCGAGTTCAGTCTATAACCTTGGGCTGTGCATGGCAAGCTCGCTGCAGTCTTCCAACTTGCTCGAGTGAGGTCAACTCTATGTATTAAGGTATGTACGGATACAGAGGACCGGCAGGATGATTTTTTTTTCCAAGACAGAAATCGCCATCAAGAGCGGTCAAAGAGTTGGGCTCGTCCCAACCACCGTGCGGCCCTGTCGCCCCAGGCGACTTCGGGGCCAGCAAGGTTCGCAACGGGACGATAAGGCAAGGGACGGACGGTAAATTTTGTCTTAGCGGCCGTTCCAGGCGCATTTGGCCCGGGGCCCCGGCATTTTTTTTGCAATCGGAGCATCGCGATTCGATGTTTTGATATTGTGTGGGGCATCCATGTGCTATTTGATGGGCTCAGATAGCAGCGGATGACACGGGGCTACACAGGTACTTGTACCTCCGTATCTCGTACCCGCCCTTGAGCTCTACAGCTTCATCAATCAATCAATCAATCAAACTGCCAACTGCCGCTGCCAATCCTAATCCTCAACACAAGCGCCTTAGCCGAGGCCATATTCATTTCTGTTTTTATTCAGCCATGCCACTCGCTCCATGCCGTTGAGCTATTGTAGTAGGTGGTACGGAGTATTCCACAGGCTCATTCTAGTCAGCGACTGCATACGGATACAGTACAACAAATCGACCCTACGCCAGCTCCTTCCTTAACGTCGCCAATGCCTTCCCAACAAACTCCAGCACTACTACTCATTGCCTAACCGTTAACAATAGTCCCGCCGTTGCAATGGATCGTCTGCCCGCTGATGCAAGAACTGTCAGACGAAGCTAAAAAGACGACGCACGTGGCGATCTCGCTCGGCTCTGGAAAAACAGCACAGTCCTGTGTCAGTCTTGCTCACACTTGCGATGCATGAGTAAGAAATACATACGAGCTGGCCGGCCCATGGGGCTGGTGAACTGCTTCTGGGCGTCCTCGGTCATGGTGGAGGGGATCAGCGGGGTCCACACCGGGCCGGGGGCGACGGCGTTGACGCGGATGCCCTTGCCGATCTGCTGGTTGCTCAGCCCGCGCGTGAAGGACACGATGGCGCCCTTGGTCGACGTGTAGTCGAGCAAATCGGGCCGCCCGACGTAGGCGTTGATGCTGGCGTTGTTGATAATGGTGCTGCCGCGCGACATGTGCGGCAGCGAATACTTGGCCATGTAAAAGTACGGGTGGATGTTGGTGTTGAAGGTTTGCAGCCACTGGTCCCTGTCATCATTCCATTAGCACGCCATGTCGGGTTGTGGTCCTGGCGGAGCTCTTACTCGGAGAGCTGGCTGATGTCGTCGACCGCCATCTGGTAGGCCGCATTGTTGAACAGGATATCGATCTTGCCGTTGAAGACCTTGACCGCTTCGTCGACCACCTTTTTGCAGTTCTCACGGTCTCGAAGGTCGGTGGATACAAGATGGCATTGCTGGCCGTAGGCCTCCACGCGCTTCTTGGTATCCTGGGCGTCGTCTTCTTCCTCGGGCAGGTAGGCAATGAGCGAGTTGGCGCCCTCCATGGCGAACAGAATGGCGGTTGCCCGGCCGATGCCCGAATCGCCGCCTGTGATGATGGCGTTCTTCCCCTTCAGCTTGCCCGCCGGCTTGTACTTTTGGCTTTTGCCATCGTCGGTAGGGATCTCGTCGAAAAGGGGCTGCGGGTTGGGCATTTTGCCCTCCTTGCCCGGGAAGTCCTGTCCCGACACGGGGATCTTGTGGCCTTTTCACGTGTATATTCTCAGCATACTAAGGCACTTGCGTAACGGTACGGTGCACGACTCACCACTCTCGAACTGAGATTTGGACGTCATTGTGAGTGTGCTGCTTGTCAGAGTTTCCTGCTAAGTTTGGGATTCAGAACAGTAAGCAGTTTTGATGCTCTCAATGATCAATGTGGTCTCGTATGATTTGTATCCTACTAGCTTTTATCTATTTGCTTGCGGGCGCTATGACATAGTCAACATGGGAGAGCTCCGTCGTCATTGAATCCCAAGTGTTGGGATCAATGACGACATTGGGTACAACCTGCGACTTCCCTCCTCCCCACAAACAATCCAATCTTCACACCGGATATCCGATCGATCTCACACATTCGCCCAACGTTTATTTGGGGCTGCATTAGCGCAACGCGGCCCTGTTGGGAAGTCGAGGCGAGCCTTGAGACGACATCAAATTGTGGTTGCTACTATTACTGTCTCCTTTCTCCTCTCCATGTCCTTGACTCCACTGCGAGCTATCTCAACCCAAGCATTCCTGTATGAGGCTCGTTGGCCCATCATCGCTCATCAACCGCACAGACTCAACTCTTCGCCGAGATGCAGCCAATTGGTAACTCCGTAGGTTCAGCATCGGCAGGGCCTGCGTCAAATATCATGGACTTCTCCAAGTCCGTTCTCCTCCGGCGCCAGGCTTATGCTGAACTGACCGTAGCCGCCCCCTTTACCGCAGAACTAGGTGATCCGGAATGGTCAGGGATCGGTGGTCGGTCGTTGCCAAGAGATGCTCCTCGCCGGGCTCCTGCGACCAGTCTGATCTCTAGTAGTCGGGGCGGTTGGCGTCCTGTAGCTAAGGGGCTGCCATCAGGTCTCGAGTCGCTGCAAAGCGCAATATGTATGGCAGCCAAGTCGTCCCGTCTTCGTTGAGCGCTCAGGATGCTCAACATTCACTCCCTTCTCTCCGGCCCGGCCCAGCACATCGTGATTTGCTACCTGTTGGTTCTATGACCTGGAAAGAAATGGCTGGAGCCCTCGAATACCTCGACCCTCGAACAACGAGGCTCTTTGTTGCCCAGATTGTCTTTCTGGTTCTTGTCTGGGTTTTCGTATTTCTCAGGGTCGTTGTAAGAACTCTGATCGTGAAACAGGTGTCCCTACACGACTCGTTGATGTTTACATCCGTGGCATGTATTCCCCCTACCTCCTGATCCCGAGTCTGGGTGTCTAACCTGGCTGGCAGGTCCTCTATACTGTACAAGCTGGCCTGACGTTATGGGGTATTGTTTGCGCAAGTAGTCAGGCCAAAACCGATCTCATAGCTGCAAGAAGCGTTGCTCTGCGCGTGTGGTTCCTGTGCGAGGTCATATACACACCGCTGTCGGCTCTCATTCGCACCTCTATCGCACTGTTTCTGTTGCGCATAGTCGTCGCCAAGGCACACCAGCTCACCATCTACGCTAGCCTCACATTCATCTGGACCCTGTCAACCGTATATTTCTTCATCATTATGTTCCAATGCAATCCGCCCATGTTTTTCTACGAGCAGGTCTTTGATGGGCGGCGAGGATACTGGTATGTATCTCATACGAACTTGGAGGGGGACCTGAGCCCTGGACCTCACAGGACTGGGACGATGGCGAAGCTGACACAGATTACACCAGCATCGATCATGATATAGTCCCCCGAGCAACCATTGCACACAGCATCATGAGTGCCCTGACCGACTATACCCTGGCCACCCTCCCAGGGGTTGTGCTATGGGGCATCAAGCGCAATAAGAGAACAAAGATTGGCATTTGCGTGTTGCTCAGCATGGGAATTCTGTAAGCCAAATCCCTCGAGCCATGCTAGATGGCGCCAGTTGACCGCGAGAATCACAGCGCTGGGGTCGCCATAACAGTCCGCATACCGTACGTCAGATTCATACCTATTTTATCACCGGACTTTCTGGACCAGACCGAGTAGGTGTACTCCATGGAGCAGCCGTGGCAGGATATGGCCTGACAACTCACAATCCGACAGTGGCGTCGCCTTCTGGAGCATTGTGGAAACTTCACTCGGCATCATTGCTGGATGCGCGGCAACCCTGGGGCCGCTCGTGCGAGGTTCGCCTGCCAAGGACGAGTGGGAACAGAGATTGGCGGCCGAGGCTGAAGCATGGCGGGCTGAGCGTCGTCAGCGGCGTCGTTCCCTGCCCAGAACCGTGGATTCCTATGCGCTCTCGGATTCTTTGTTCCCCGGTGAACGGCTTGCCCGCGCCTCGGAAGGACAGGCTTCAGTTGCGGAACGACCTCTCACGCGTCTCCCGTCTACGTCTTCCAGAGTCTATGTGCAGACCAGTATCGAGATAGGCGAACCGGAATCAGACAACGGCAGGGGTACTCCACTGGGCTGGATGCGCAATCCGCCATCGCCGGAGCAGCCGCAGTGCGTTGTTACCAACATTTATGGACCGGCCAGTCGTGGTCGGCTCCATCAGGGCAGGTATAAAAGGTATACAGCATGATGAGCAGGAGCTTTGCTGTCAGCATCATCAAAATGAGAATGGAAGAGAAACAGAAAAGAAAGGAAAGGAACCAAACAGTGAAAAGGCTAGTAGAAAAAAACGGCATAAAGATCGCAGCCGTTCTCGCTAGGGAGGTCTGACCCCTCGAAAAGTCCAACGACAAATCGTCGGCGAGGATAGTCGAACTCTCGGCCTCCCGGCTGTTACGAAACCGTGCAAGACGATTTCTAGTTAGCTGATATTCCACTCGGCCACGGCACCAAAGTCCCGTGGTGAGGCTAACTTGGCAGAACCTGTGTTGGAACTTGACTATATACACCCCCCCCCCCGGGTGTAAACATCGGATCGAAGAACCCCCAGTTTCTCCCTCCCATGGCCCTCAAACCATATTACTTAGTTTGAGTCTCATGTGTTCTTAACAGGATCTTCCCACAAGACTGTAGTTTCCAGGTAAATTACATTAGAATAACCTTACTGTCATGGAATGACATAGGCATATGGACTGCAATCCGGTTGTTCGACAGCAAGTCGAGCAACGGTCCATCTTTTGGTGGTGTTGCGCAACGGTCATTGCACTCAGTTCCGTAACACTTACCTCCAGCATCCCTTCTTTCTTGCCTATGTGCTGTCATGAAGGTAGATTTCCAGAGACTGGTGATCCAAAACACTCGTTACTGCGTATTCGTCAGGACTTTACCGGTGTCACATAAGATGTCCAGGGAAATAGCACACGGAAGTGACCGCGAGAATAGCCCCTCCGAGAATCAGAAGAGAGCCTGACCATAACACAAGTCAGCTCTCCTGGCTTCTCCAGTAGTCCTGAGGAAATGGCTGCTTTGTTTAAATTTAGCAGACAGCAAGGACTATTCAACACCTTCTGTCTCCTCATCAAGAATCACCAGGTTCCCCAAGTCGTCATAGCCAACCCGTCCCATCTCCACGGCCATCCGCATATCGTCACGGAGTGGTTCACGCTCGCCTGTCCGAGGGTCCCATTCCCAACCTTCGCGCATCCTGCCGACCAAGTTAGCTTCCGTGGTCAATCTCAGCACAGCTTCCCTTCCCCGAGGCAACTTCAAGTATTGCACAGTATCAAGCAGACGCCCTTGCCTGCGTAGCAGCAGCCCGCCAACCGTAGCCATGGAGAAACCCTCCCACCATGGATGTACTGTAGGACCCTGAAGTAAAAAAGGACAAGGAATAGGTAGTACCTACCACATCCAGCGCAATAACGCCCTCAGCTCCTTGTCCCTAGGCAACACCCGCATCCACTCAGGCTGAAACCCAGGCCGACAATTGCCCTTGCCGTCCCAACCCGTCCAGTGCTCCGCGCGGCCAAGTAGCACGTCCCGGCAAAAGATGCGCCACGAGTCGAGCGCGTAGGGCCCGCGCGTGAGGTGTCCAATCTCCCAGGCACAGCCGAGCGCTCTGGCACGCGCATCCGCCACGGCATCAAGTACTTCCTCTTTCTTCATACCGTCATCATCACCAGCATCACTCCCATCAAATTGCCGTTCCAAATCCTCCGCCCCAAACTCCTCCTCCTCCCTAAACCTCCTCCCATCCCCCTGCCTAGGATAATTCCTCACCACATACCTAACAAACCTACTAGGCGGCCTAGCAATCCAAGTACGTGCATACCGTTGAATAGCAGCCGTGCGGTTGACTCCCAAGCCAAGCGGGCGGAGCAGGCTCACAAGCTCTTCGCTAGCGTTGTTATTACTGTCGTCATCGACCAGAGATTCAGGGGTGGGGAACCGCTCAACCAGCTGCCGAAACACGGGAATCGCGGCCTTTCCCGAGGTCCTGATCAGCAATGTCACGGCGATGAGAAGCTGGAAGGGCTTGTCCCAGAGTTCTTCCTGGATTAGGCCGAAGTTTGGGGCGGAAAGCGGGGGGAAGGGCAGGCGGGAGACTGTACACCCTTGGGGGCGGGGTTTTTTCTTGGTTGGTTGTAATAACGGTGGTGGTGTTGTTGTTGCGGGAACGGGGAGTTGTGGTAGTTTTTCCCGAGACGGGGTTAATGCGCTGCTGCTGTTGAAGAAGGGCGATTTGGAGGTTCCTCGTGCCTTGACTGGCCGGGTTGTCTCTCGGCTGAGGAGAGGACTGTTGGAGCAGCAAGTCCCGTTGGACAGCGCCGGCCTGGCCGCCGGGGAGTAGCTTCGATTTTCGTCCAGGTACGGGTCCAAGGATGGTTCAGTTTTGCTCTCAAATGTCTCTGCGACTCCGGGCGGTGCGGCCTGTGTGATCGTGGTGGTTCGCGTCTCTGGCACGGCGAGGCAGTCGCCTGCAGATGCTTTCCTCTCCCTATCGCTGTCCCAGTTCCGCTGTTTGGCATCGGTGACATCCTGACTGAGATCCCGCCTATGAGCAGTACCAGTAGTGAAAGGAGCATCTGCAGCCTGTTTCCTCGACCGAGTCTTCTCGCTCGTCTCCCCGGGCTCACCCCAAAAGTGCGACACTTGTTTACCAGTTCCTCTCCTCCTCTTCAAACTCAAGCCGGATTTACCTCCCCTCTTAGAGTTGCCCGCCACGGGCTTCTCGTTCTCGTTCCCCTTCTTCTTCTGGCCCAGCGCGCCATCTTCGAGCAACTGCGCGGGACGACCAGTGAGGGCCTCTTCAAGAAACGGCACCAAGCTTGTTTCGACCACACGCGACCCGTAACTGCCGCTGTCGTCCTGTATTGACGCTCTGTGCTTGTTCTGGAGAGACCTGGCGCGCTCAAATAGCATATCCCATTCCTCAACGCCGCGCATCAGACTGAGCTTCAGCAGGTCGTCCACTTCTGCCTGCGGCGCCTGACGCGAGTCGATGAGGGAGGAGAGGAAATTCCTGGTCTCTTCATCGCAAATATCAAAACCGGAGAGTAGCTGGCCGGCGGGCACCTGTTTGGCCAGCTTTGGCGTTGTGTTTGTTGAGTACGGCATGATGAATCTGCCATGATAGATTTGGTGGTGAGGGGCAGATTGTTATTTCGAAGATTCAGCCCATTGGCATAAGCGGGTCTTTATGTGATCCCTAGCATCTGCTAAATGGTGAAATGATGCCGGTGCGGGTTGTGAACATCGATAGCCATGAAGGTGGAATTGTTAAACGTTTATGTAAAGAGAGGTTAGCCGCGATGGGTCAACTTTCCACGAATACAGATAAGTGCGACCGACGCGCTCGGAACATCCGACATGAGCAAGCGGCGATGAAGAAATGCAGCTTCTTGACGACAAGGAGAAAGTCTAGATGTATTGAGACCGAGACAATTGATTTACAGTCCACCCTCCCCACCCCACCGACCTCCCTTCACTGCGCTCTTCACCTAAGAGGATCTTTCTGTCTTTCCTTTTCGACTACGCTTTACACAGAAACGAGGAGACCTTTGCGGTATATGGTACATGCATATAGAGAAAGGCCAAGCGGTCATAACTGCTGCACCCTCGCCTAGCACTTAATGGCGAACGTCCTTGGGTGGGTCATAGACGATCTGTCTCGACTTGATCCACGCCCACTTGTACCGCTTGACCCAGACGCTCAAGGCAAATAGAACCGACGTGACGACCAATACCTTCATGCCCATCTTCTTCCGGTCGTCCATCTCGGGCTCGGCCGCCCAGTTCAGAAACTCAACCACATCCTTGGCCATCTGCGACGTCGATGCCGGCGTGCCGTCCTCGTACTCAACCAGGCCATCGTACAGGACGCGCGCCATGGCGATGCCGGTGCCGGGGAAGTAAGGGTTGAAGTTGAGGCCAGCACCGACCTGCGCGCCGGCAGGGGGCTCATCGGGGTAGCCGGTCAGGAGGGAGAAGATGTAGTCGCAGCCCCCGTGGCGGGCCTTGACGATCAGGCTCAGATCCGGGGGGAGGGCGCCGTTGTTGGCGAAGCGGGCAGCCTCGTCGTTCTTGTAGGGAGCCGGGAGATAGTCGGACAGCTTGCCGGGCCGCTTCTCAATCTCGCCCTGGTCGTTGGGCTCCGTGTCGTACTCGTTCTCCTCGGCCAGCGCCTTGGCTTCGTCGACGGTCAGGATGGTGCCGACAAGGGCGCGGTAGGGCACTCTACTGAGCGAGTGGCACGAGGCGCAGACTTCCCGGTATACCTGGAAGCCTCTCCGGAGCCTGCAGCGGTTTCCTGTGAGCGACCGATGCAACAGGTTTGTTGAGCAGATGGGAGCTTACGCCTGATGGTCAAATGTCTTGAACCACTGCTGGTGAACCCAGGGGTAGTGGGTAGGGTGCAGACTGTGTCCAGAGTAAGCTTGCTATTCGTTCCTTTTCTCCATCCTCCCCCACGGCAACCGGATCGACTGAATAATGCCTCAATGGCGACGAGCAGCCTCGGTCCACCGGGGAGGATGGCCCAACATCGGAGTGGCACTCACCCTTCCTCAGCAGGGGTCATGGCGTCGGCATTAGGTCCGTAGAGGTGATAGTACCAGGCAATTGAGCCGGCGGCGACAGCGGTAGAGGCGGCGGCGGCGATGTTTAACCGGAGCGGCGATTCGGCGGTCGACCCGGAGCTCGAGGAAGAAGCAGCGCGCTGAAGACGTTAGCTTCGAGAGGCATTTTGAAGGCATTTTCCTTGCAGTTTCTCAATGGGAAGGGCATAATTGGCGATACGCAATTGGGCGAGGCGGGATCGTCGTCAACCGGTGGTCGTCGGTCTTCCCGAGCTGCTTCCAAGTTGCATTGACAGAAAATCGTACAAATCGCAGCGTACCTTTGTAATTTGCACGGCGCCATTTCTCGCGCCGGCGAATGCGCGCGTTGCACGCAGGCAGGACCTCGCCAGCATGGTCGGCACGCCTTGCGGAGCTTAAGAATGTGTCGTCGGTCGGTCTGACAAGCAATTGACTGCCACCGTCGGTGTTTTGAGGTTGGAGGCTCGAGCTGGGTCGAGGTCGTTCCAGGTCAGGTTTCTCAGATTCGGGATTCTTAGGAACTCGGGCCATCCCATTGGCTGGCCAATCAAGCTCTGCTGCGTGATCTGGGCTGCTCGAACTTCCCACGGCCGATTGATTTTCCGGCCGGCTGCTTTCCAGGTTGGGCCGGGCCGGGCATAACCGACCGAACCCGACTCGACTCTCCCCCAACGGTTCGACCTGGAGCTCTACTTCATCCTCAGACTACAACCTCTGTGCAAAAGAACTTGAATCCATCATATCAACGCCAATGCGGTGGACTCCAGGATGAATCATGTCAATGGACCAATGGCTTCGGACACCATCCTCTACGCCACTGAGGATCCCCTCGTCACTTCAACCTGCAGCTTGCAGCTATTCAATCAATAAAACATTGCCTCGGCCACGAACGCTGGTTTATCAAATATTTACAGAAAATAAGTATGACCTCGCAGAGTTTGCCTGCCTGCCTGGCATGTGTCTAGGCCGTTTCAGTGGTCCCGTTTTGGCTCAGCACTTCCCTCCGCCTCTTTACGGCCTTTGCGAGCATATCTAGAACCTCGACCGTGTCTTGCCAGCCGATGCAGGCGTCGGTGATGCTGACACCGTACTTGAGCCCCGCCTTACCCTCCTTGGGGACCTTCTGGTTGCCTGTGTGCGCAAAAAGTCAGAAACGATTTCGACATTCAATCGCCGCGCTGGAAAGCGACTCACCCTCGTTGATGTTGCTCTCAATCATGACGCCCATGATTCCCTCCTCGCCCTTCTCGATTTGTTCGGCAAGCGTCGCCGCAACCTTGGGCTGATTCTTGTGGTTCTTGAGCGAGTTGCCGTGGCTGCAGTCCACCATGAGCCGCTGCCGGAGTCCGGACTTCTGTAGCGCTGCCTTGGCCTCTGCAATGCTCTGCGCGTCATAGTTGGTGCCCTTGGTGCCCCCGCGCAGAATCACAAAGCAGTCTTCGTTGCCGACTGTCCCCACTATGGCAACCACGCCAGGCTTCGTCACTGACAAGAAGTGATGCGGGTGTCTAACGGCCCCAATGGCGTCGACGGCGACGGTGAGGCTACCGTCTGTGCCGTTCTTGAAACCAACAGGGAAGCTCAGGCCGCTGGCCAGTTCGCGATGAAGCTGACTCTCTGTGGTCCGGGCGCCGACGGCCCCGACGCTGAGCAGATCAGCCAGGAACTGGGGGCTGATGGTGTCGAGCATCTCGCTGGCGATGGGCATGCCCTTGGAGGTGAGATCGACGAAGAGTTGCCGGCTCAATCGCAGCCCTTTGTTGATCTTGAAGCTGTTGTCAATGTCCGGGTCATTAATCAGGCCCTTCCATCCCACCGTTGTGCGCGGCTTCTCAAGGTATGAGCGCATCACAATCAACAGCTCATCTTTGTGCTTTTCTTTCTCCTTCAGCAGCAGGTCGCAATACTCGAGCGCAGCCTGGGGGTCGTGGATCGAACACGGTCCAATAACCACAAGCAGACGCTGTTTCTCGTCGACCCCGTTAATGATTGCGACGGCTTCCTCGCGTCCCTGCAGGACGGTTTGCTTCGACTGGGCCGTTTGGGGGATTTCGTGTTGCAGGAGGTCGGGCGGCGTCAGCGGGTTGTAGCCACGAACTAGTCCTGTGTCAGTGGTCGCCGAGAATCCCCGTGGGGCTGCGGAACGGGTTGCTTACCCCTCCAGTCTTCACTCTCGGCCTTGTTGCCCACATTCTTGTTCTCGATGTAGAACGACTATGCATCGCAGTGTGTCAGTTACGACCAAGGGCGACAAGGTTCAAGACGAGGGCTTAACCTACAGACATGGTGAGTGTGCGGATTTTTGTTTTTCGGCCTTTTCGATGTATCCCAGCCAAAAGCCAGCCCAATTGATACGGAAAGAAAGTGCCTCGGTTCCAAGGACCCGCTCTAAGGAAACGCAGATGCTGGAAGACAGAAATTGCTGCAGTGAATCTTTTTTTCCTTTCAGCAGTGGCGGTCAAAAAGCTGCCCTCAGAGATGGAGGGGCAAACAGTGAGTCAATGTGGGGTATCAGTACGAAGTACTAGGACCTGAAAGCAAAGACGGCTCGCTTCTGTTGCAGACACATGCAAGAAGCAGGCCACTTGTATGGTCTGGGGCACCTTCCAAGTTGAAAGACTTGATACCAATTGCTTTGTCCAAATCGCTTATTTTACCACCCAGCAAGTAAGCCATAACAAATGAACTTGATTAAGTCCCACGCCATATTTACCTCGTTTATCTCTTCGAAGCGGATGCGTGAGGTACATACAATTTGGCTTTTGACGACTGTCATAGAGCTATACTGTGGTAAATGTTCCCGGGTCCGAAGTTGGATGTCCAGTTTCCATATTTCTTGACCCTCTGCAAAGCTTTTAGTTCTACATAGCCCGTTCAGTGCCATATGTATATGTAAGGATACGGATACAATTGTAACTTTCAACAACCTCATCACACTGGAAGACAAAATGTCAGTCCGAGGTCGTGACACCAGACTAAACAGGAAGAATACTATCTGCTCAGCCTAGCTAGTATGCTGATTAAGGAGACTCTGAGAGTCGTCCAGTCCAAAGCAAACCGAGGTCGATATATGTAAACTTGCGGTCGTCGGGGCTTCCTGTGTACTCCGTGGAGAGTACGTACTTTGTACCTGATTAGTAGGTGGGGCAATCTCGGCGAGGCCCACTTCCCGCAGCATCTGGCCATGCGCCAAGAAAGTGGACCAGCTGCTCCGTACCTGACGTACATTTTCGAGACGCGGTTCAAGAAGATGTTGAACTTGCGACGACCTCAAGGCTAACAGAGATACTGTATTCGACGATGGCCGACGCGAGCAACGATGACGACGCCAAATCGAATAAACGCAGTCATGCCGAGTTCACAGGCAATGATGGCTCCGGTAGGTCCCAACCTCTCAGACGAAGCTCGAAGCACCCGTTCACTAACCACTAACACAACTCCCGGTCCTTAGAGAGCTCTTCGGACGATGACATGGGCCCTCAGTTGCCCTCGGAGGCTCCCAAGAAGAAACGTCGCGTTCTTCCTTACGAGGATCTCTACATATCGGCACTCCCCAAGTCGGGCCGTTATTCCAAGAGCCTGATGCACAAGGAGCAGCTCTCCTTCCTCACCATGACCCCGCTTACCGACTTTCTCATCACTACATCGGTCGACGGCGTCGTCAAGTTCTGGAAGAAGGTCGCCGAGAACATTGAGTTCGTCAAGGAGTTCAAGGCACACCAGGGCGAGATCCGGTCCGTTTCTTGCAGTCAGGATGGCCGGAGCTTTGCGACGGCGGGCGTGGACAAGACGGTCAAGCTGTTTGACGTAGTCACGTTTGACCTTCTGACCGTTGTCCAGCTTGACTTTGTGCCGCGCTGCGTGTGTTGGGTGCACAAGAGGGGAGCCTCTTTACCTCTGTTGGCCGTTTCCGACAGTGAACCGAAGCCAAGCATCCGCCTCTACGACGGCAGGGGCGAGAACCAGGAACCCATCCACAGAATTACCGGCCTACATCGGAGTTCCGTGTCTCTTATGGCATTCAATGACAGATACGACTGCGTGGTGTCGGTGGACGAGGGCGGCATGGTCGAATACTGGCGTCCAGGGGGTTCGTATGAGAAACCCGACAGCGTTTTCCAGTACAAAAGCTCGACCAATCTCTTTGAGTTCAAGAAGGCCCAGTCCGTGCCGACTTCGATTACATTCTCGCCTGATGGGAGCAAATTCGCTACCTTCTCCTTTCCGGACCGCAAGATCCGCATTTTCGACTTTGTCTCTGCAAAGCTTCAGCGGACATACGATGAATCACTGGGTCTGATGGAAGAAATGCAGCAAGCTGGGACTGCGCTTCAGAAATTGGACTCGGTTGAGTTTGGCCGTCGATTGGCGCAGGAGCGGGAAATCGATTCTCCAGCCCTCCGCGAAAAGGTCAATCTCGTCTTTGACGAGTCAGGCCATTTTATCCTGTTCGGCTCCTATATAGGGGTCAAAGTGCTAAATACGTACACGGACGAAGTCGTCAAGGTATATGGGAAAGAGGAGAATTTCCGCCCATTAGCTGTGGCGCTGTACCAAGGCCAACCCCAGAAAAAAGGCGTGACAACCGTCGCCATGGCTGCGTCAAATAACCCGCTTTTGCAGGAGTCCGAGACGAGGGATCCGATTTTGTTTGCAACAGGTGTGGGCAAGGTCCGCTTTTACATGTTTACCAACGAGGAGGAAATATCCAAGTCTACGAGGGACGTCCAGAACGAAAAACCAACCGTGCTGGGACCGAAGAAGACCGAGCCCAAGAAGGTAGCCGAGACGGGAACGGCGGCCATTATACACACCACCTACGGCGATATCCACATCCGGCTCTTTCCCGACGCCGCACCAAAGGCTGTGGAAAACTTTGTGACGCACTCGAGGCGCGGGTATTACAACAACACCATATTCCACCGCGTGATCCGCAAGTTCATGATACAGGGTGGAGACCCCCTGGGCGACGGTACGGGCGGCGAAAGTATCTGGGGGAAAGAGTTTGAAGACGAGTTCAGCAGCTTGAAACACGACAAGCCGTACACTGTCAGCATGGCCAACGCCGGGCCCAATACCAACGGAAGCCAATTTTTTATCACTACGGAGAAGACGGTAAGACCCTTTCCTTCCAGTAATATACCCTTGCGAAGAGGTTGAGTAATTGCTAACGCCGCCGCCCCAGCCTTGGCTGGACAACAAGCACACCATATTCGGGCGCGCCGTGCAGGGGCTGGACGTTATTCATAGAATTGAGAATGTCAAGACATACAAGGAGAAGCCGGTAGAAGATATTAGGATCCTCAACATTGACATTGCATAATGCAGTGGGCGGAACGGTCTTCGAACCGTCTCCGAATTTACGGAATCTGCGGTTTCCTGCTGGCTACTGTACTCTATCTCCAGATGATAATACCCCAATGGCCCAGTTAGACAGGGGCTTGTAAGATGTGATGATGAGACAAAGCAAATTACATGCATAGCTGCGCCATCTTTCTGGTCCTCACTCCTAGCTCAGCCAATGTTCGAAAAGCTATGTAAGGGTAACAGCAGGAGGCGCTTGGGGGTTCTTGAACGAACGAGAGAGGCTAGGGTAACCAAGAATCCTTAGGCACCGCAGAGTAATAAATGGGAGTCGTGAGGAGGCAATGGGTGTATAAGCCAAGTCCCTCATCCTAATATCACCCCCCACCGGGTAGGAGTGGTAGAACGGTAGTAGTAGGCAGTCACGGTGAAAGCCACCTCCCTCCTACCTCAGCAGAGTGATCCGTGTTCAATCCAGAAACAGAGCTATTTTCAAGTTTCAAACCACCCCTAGAGCAAATGCTGAGAGCCCTGAACTACCTCGCCGCCAAGGGGTACATTCATCGGGATGTTAACCTAGAAAGCCGCAGAACATCCTTTGGAAGTACAACTCTAAATCCCCTGGAGGCCGCTACCACTTCCAACTTGGGGATTTCGGCCTGGCGAACCATTTCCTGATGGCACAAGAGTCGAGGCCAGCTGAGCTCTATGACACCTCTGATATGAAGGTCGGCAAGGACGTAACTTGGGTTACAGACAGTAGCAAGGCAGGTCCTGCGAACATCTTCTCTGCGGTTCTGTCAGTGATGACAAGCCCGCCGTCTAATCATCCGAAATTGGAAACCGTCAGCACGCTGCACGACAGTCGCGGAGACGCATTCTCTTTGACGAAGAACAGGTGCCTCAAGATGAAGGCTACCGCCTACCGCTAAGAGGACAATATCCAGTCGCCGAGAGTAAGAGGAAGATCCTCCCCAGCTTGTCATCGAAGACGCACTCAAAAAAAACTTCGTTGACGAGGCTAAAGCGATCCTCCTGACGTGAGCCGTGTGTGTCCTGTCACCCTTACATCTACATGTATCTGAATGCGGCCTATCAGCGCAATCAAGACCTGCCCATCAGCTACGAAGGCCAATGGTTTCCTGGAAGATGCCGCAAAGGGGTATCGCCGCTTCTTTCTGGGAATTGCCCCAGGTAGGTTCCAAGTGGAGTCCGGGAGGAGGCTGGGAGGTCACCAGACCCAGCCTTCCTTCTCGAGGACGCCTGCCTCCCGTAGATGAACGGGCCTGCTCACCCAAAGGGTAAACATCCATTGTACACCTATATGCAGTTGCCATAAGGCCAGCACCTTACATTTCAACGACATCTCTTATCTTCTACAATACAGGAACACATTGACATTGCCAAAAGACCTTTTACCTCCGATACATCTGGACTCCAATGGCTGAACGGGTCTGCTCGACCAAAGGTAAGAACTCCGTGACCCTGAGAGAAGTGGTCAACCCTTGTGGAGTTCCTTTGAAGTTCTAAGGTTACAATATTTAGAGTAAGCACAGATGCAACAAGACCAACCCGTCTGTCGGTCGCTCAATGGAGACCTTCCATAAGCCGGCTGACTTTGTGATGTTGGGTATACGTCCTGGAAGGTGACTGAGAATGGTGGTTTGGATCCGTGGCTGCCACCAAGAAGTCTTGAGGGGCGCGTTTCGAAGAAGTTGTCTAACTGCTGCGCAGCGGTTGTTGCATTCCCGTAGACTCGACAGAAATACCCGATGGTCAACCAGGGCCGTTTCCAGGCAATGAATGACCGTGACTTGCCAAAAGGCCAGGCCTAAAGTCATTGCCCAGGTGCCTACTAACCAGACTACTAGAGATACAACCGTTCATTGTCTGAGAGTCCATAGCCTAGCCCATCACCTCCTGGCACCTTAACGCCTAAGTCTGCCCGGAACTGAAACAGGCACCAGTAACATCCGTGTGCTGCCTGCTGTTGGAGACATATGCTCCGCAAGGGGAGGATATGGCTCCTTTCTGAAGTCCCTCATCTTCGTCCCATGCTAAACCCGGTACTGCCGGCAGCAAGCAGTACAGCAAGGAGATCGAGTTCTCCAGCTTCTATGCTCATGATCCAGAAGCTTCAGGCCGGAAACACAAGCTACTCTCCAACCATATGACCTTCAACCTAGCCCCGTCCTGTGCAGCCTCATGGCTTGATCGTCCACAACTCCCTTGACCTAGCCCAGCTGTTAGTCATAAGCCAGCAAGCGAAGGGACCGGTAGTAGTAGTACGTACCAACCCATCTCTCTGATCTTCTTGGAGTTGTTTTGTGCACCCTTTTTGTCGCTGGTCCAGATGGCCAAGGCCTTGCTGCAGGACGTGAAGGCCTCAAGCAACTCCTTCATCCTGTTGCACCTCATGAACTCTTGGGCCACATCCGAGCCCTTCTCCGCAATCGCGGCGGCCAGCTCCATGCATTCGAGAAGGTTATCACGCGAGAGCGATGTGCCTGCAAAATGCAGGCAGCTGATATAAGCCAACACCGTCTCTGGGATGTACGCCTCGCGGAGCTCGAAGAAATCCTTGTCGGCTAGCGCTGCACCGTCAGCCTCCATAAGCTCAATCCCAGCATGTAAGGTCAGTTCGTGCTTACGCTGGTTGGATACCAACAGCCAGTTCTTGAGGACGGGCTGCATGCATGCCTTGGCCGCGCGCACCTCTTGGCTGGTGTGCTGCCACATCTCGCGCGACGTGCTGGACTCCCTGATGATGGGCGGCTAGGTTAGCTTATAGTCCGAACGCCAGAACCAGTCCCGGTAAGCAATGCGGAGGGGGGTAAACATACTCCCTACTGAGCCCAGCCAACGAAGAAAGGGTCTCCATCGAATCGAGAGCACGGACAAGACACTCAAACTCCCACATATTCCGCACCAGCGTAATCAGCTTGTCCTTGGGTAGCCTGCAACTCGCCAAGAACTCGGCGGGGAAGTCAGCGTTTGCGAAGTCGTCGAACCAGCCCGGCCCAGAATCCTCGCTCGGGTCCCGGACGGGGATAGGCGTCTTTGTCCTAATGATTTCGCGGCCCGGGACGCGTTCGCTGAATGCGCGAGCGGCGCGCAGGCGCATGCGTTCTTTTCCAATGGTCAGTACTCACATCCTAAAACATGGGCTGGTTGGGGCTACACACTCAAAAAGTACTTGTAGACCCGGATGGTGTACATGCAGGTCTCCTCAAACAAGTCCGGAACCAGCATGAGCCATTCCATAGAGCGGATGATGCCGTCGTCCTCACTGTCGACAAATTCTGCATCCTCTCCAAAGAAATCCGGCTTGACAATTCGGCCGTACTTGAGTGTTAATGGTCCATCTTCAAGAATCTTGAATCTCCCCTTGGCCTCGCAGCTCAGCGCCTTATCCTGAACGTCCTCCAAGTAGAGCTCGGGCTGACGCTTGACAAATTCGGCCAGATCAATACCCAGCTTTCGCATGATGGTAAGCTGGTGAATGCGTGAATCATTGTCATCAATATGAATAAGATTTCTGCTCAATGTCTCGTACATTCGAGCACCATTCAACTTAGAGCAGTACACCGGTATCAGGTCCTCGAGTTTAGCGAGGCGCAGATAGCTGATATAAGCAGCAATGAGGTGCTCTGCCGCTCGGTGCCGGGCCTGCAAAGGACCGGTATCAATCGTGAAACCCTTCAGGCGGTCGAGAGCTGAGACTATGATGAGAACGTGGGCCAATATCCGTATGCCATCGTGGTCACCCAAACCAAAGTATTTCTTCGGGTTGAAGCCCTCAAAAGTCGGTAATACAACCTCGGGGAGCAGCTTCGACTTGTCCTTCTTATTGGCAAGCCGGGAGAGCACTAAACCTTGATGGAAGAGGTGTCGATCGACTTCATTTGCAAGGATGGCGCCTTGTAGCGCCTTTGTCGTTCGTAGTGCCTCATTGCTCGTCCTCTCATCCTTCTCAAGTGAAGTAAGGAGGCGTTTGACGGCAGTCATGGGATCGCCGTGATGCAAGACTGCATTGAACGCCGGGTACTGTTGAGCAACCTTTGCGGCCTCCCCACTGGCATGCTTGATGAGATGAGAGTCGAACTGTGTCCTGAGAAGGGCATTATAATTGGCAAACAGGAAGTCATCCCATGATTTGCACACCTTCTCGACGCTTGTAATGTCACCCGCAAGCAGCCCGTGAACGGCGCGATCATAGTCGCTTGTCCCACCCTCGCGAGCTGTAGCATAGCACATACGCCTCCATAAAATCAGGGAACTTGGGTCAAACGCTGATTGCTCTTCGTCCTCGGGATTTGAGAGCGGCAGCGGTGAGATGGAAGCGGCTCTCCACATTTCCGTTCTCACGGCGCACCACTCCCTGATCTCGGACATGGAGCAGCCCCGGCGAAGCATCTCAAAGCAGCCCAGCCAGATAGCGCGTTCGAAATACTCGTCCTGGGGCTCCAGTTTGCGCCCCTGACGGGTGAGAGCGTCCGGGTCAAGTTGGGTGATAAGAGTGTTTGAGCCGAGATGTGATTCGGCGGCAGCGGAATCGTTTGGGTCCAGGACGCCTTGGTACCCATTGACGCTCTTTTGCAGCTTGATTTTGTGGCGGGTATGGAGCCAACCGTGTCCGAGTATGTCTCCGCGCTCAGCATTCTGTTGGAGCTCGCTCACAATTTCATCAATGGATGGCCCGTGGCTCGCACTGTTCTGCAGCCACTCGAGCACGATTTTCCTTTCGCGGGCGAGTGAGTCGGACAATAAAAACTCGTTCCACCACTTCCTCCGCGACTGGGACCGGGCGTCATGATTCAACAAATGTTGCACGGCTGACGTATCGCGGTATCGCAGTGGCAGAATCCTCCGTAGAAGGTCCCATGTCTGCGCCTCCTCTTCCACGCGTTGCGCCTCTTCCAAACTGGCATCCGCGCCGCCATTGTCGGCTTCGTCGATGTCCATCTCAGCCGATCCTGCCCTTTGCCAACTCCCCCTCCGCAACGACCGTTGCCGAGATTGGCGCTCACGCAGCCGGTCCGCCCTCTTCCGTGTGTAGGTATGGTAAACATCGAGGAGCTTGAATAATTGAGCGCGCTGCTCTGCGGGTGAGCCTTTGGGGTCGGTGGTGTAGCGATCGAGTTGGGCTGCGAAGTAATCGACTTCTTCTCCGAGCTGAATGGAGCTCTCTTGGTAAGTAGCCTCCAAATCCGCTATCTCGTCAACCGAAGGCTCTGGGAAGACAGTGAGCGACATGGACGCGTGGGGTTCCAGCTCATTTCCAGGGATTGGCCAACCTTGAGCAGGGCTAGGCGAGCGGGAGCTCGCATCTGAGGCCGTGAAGTCCTGGTTTAGGAAAACGGTTAGCACCACCTCTGTTGATTGAGCAGATAGAGCGTTGATCAACCCACGAATGACGGCGCCATGTTGCTCAAGTAGGCTGGCTGAGCGGAATCGATTTGGGCTTAGGCAGGTGACGTTGGGTATTCTCGAGTCGGCCGAGCCAGATATAAACTTGAGGAGAGGCCTGGCGCTTCGATAAAATCGATTGGCCCTCTACCGCATCCTCGAAATCGATCGCCGCTTCCCTCAACAGCCAATGGATTACAAATCGTGCTTCTTTGTAAATTCGCGAGGTCTAGTCACAGTCCACCACGGAAGCCGAGCTGATCTTGGTTTGTCCAGAGCGCGGGTCGCGTCGATGCGGCTCGAAATTCTGAGGTGTCGAGGGTGCCAATCAATTGCTGCGATGAGCGCCAACACCACGAAGCTCCTGTGGAAGGATTAGGCTGGCCTGTTAAAGCACCAGCCGCTGATTGGCCCCAGCAGTCGTGCAAGGCCCAAGGTTGCCCCACCTGCTCCGCCGACAGGGAAACTAAAAAGCTTCGTTTGGTGCCAAAATTTCTGAACCTTTTCCTCTTTTCTCATCAATGTCAAAAGGCATTCATATTAGAGTCTCGGAACAAGACCATCAGTGCTTGTTCAGGTCCACGGGGCCTCACGCGCGCTCAATGATCGCCTAGAGGAAATCCAGCACCCTCCTTTGAAGTTGCCTGACGCCTTTCGGGGTCATGCAGGTGGACATATCTGGATGTGTGATACATGCCCTTCACCTTCAACGAATGCCCTTTCTCCTCTGCTCCATTTTCAACCGCAACAGCTCCGCCTTGGGGCAGCTGGCCGTCACTGCATCGTTACCGTTCCTCTCATAGAATGCCTGGCAACACTCGTATAGGGCATCGACGAGCTTGGAACACTTGTCCTCGTTATACCCGTTCCTGGTCAAGCAGTCTGACGGCTGGTGTAAATACACGTGCTTCTGGCGCATGGAGTTACCGCTGTTATCAGAAGTCGGAACTCACCTTGAATAGCACACTGGGGAAATCAAGCAAACACGTCAGCATGAATACAACTAGGCTTTGGACTTATCAGACGAACCGCACGGGGATGGCATGGCGGGTTGCTTTTGAGGTCCTGCTCGAGCGCCTAAGGATAAAAACCAAGTCAGACTTTTCGGTCATAAGTATGGGATTGAAGGCATTGTATCTCATCACTTACCATTGCCGCAGGTGTAACCTATTCAAGTACCAGAAGCCAAGGTCGTGACTAAACCTCCTTGCACAGACAGCTCTTTTTGCAATTGGTGCTGGGTGAGCTATCATGTTTCTGTAAGGTGGTCAGGAGTGTTGCATTGTGTGCCTGAGTGTGGTGAGTGCTGGGAATTATGATGTCAGATGGAAACCCTGCAAATATTCTGGGCCTAGGTCTCCTTGTCCGATTAGAAAACAGTGGTTAAGGTACTCTAGCAATCATTCAGCGGTAGGTCAAGACTGCTTTAGACTCAAGTTGGGTGTTATGAGCAGATAATGTAGGCAACCTACCTATAAGGGCATCTCTCTTACGAGCTTTGTGGTTGTAGATACAATATCCCTCTAGGTCCCAGCGCTCACTGCCTGGTTGTGGACTCAAGACCTACACTACTTGATCGTCCAACAACGTAGGCATCCTTCCATTGTGCTGCGCAAAATCCGGGCACTCACGATTTGGGGAGTTAACGTCGAGGTGAAGCCGTGTGCAGTATACCCACATTGGATGTGTACCTCCGTAGGTAGGTTCTTTTTATTGCCGGTGTTTGTCAAGTCCTGACTCTTGAGGCGGTTGAGCTGGACCTTCACCCTTCAACCTTCTTCTACTCTACAGTTAGCTCGCCTCCTTTCTATCTCAGCCTTTGCGCGGGCTAAATTTACCCATTCGCAACTAACCCAGACCTGGGATTAAGGCTCTCTCGGCTTGTTCACTCAACCCCACCACGCCAGGGTGCCACCGCTCCCCGCCACAACCGACCATCCCACCTCAATCTTCATCGCCGGTCTGACCCCGCGATCGATAATTATCCAGAACCATCCCAGCAGGCGTCACCTCGCAAATTTCCTCGTCCAAAAAGAGAACACCTTCGTCCTTTAGAAGTCTACAACTTTTCAAGTGAGTGTGTCGCTCCTGCCAACCCGTCAATATCACAGACCGACTTGATTTAAACCGGTCTTGGCTCCCTTCACGCGACTGTCTCTGACCAAACGAAACGCCACTCTTCTTCAGCGTAGCTCAGTACACTCTCCTTCACAACACTAAACTTCACGATCCTACCCACTTCGGCGACGACGACCGCACCAAAATACCCAATAAATTATCTCGCTTCCCTCGAGAAAATCCGCCATGGCAGACCACGCCGAGAACGGAAGCCCTGGCCAGCCCGGCGTGGGCGCGGACGCTCCCGGCGCGCCCGAGCACCTCAACATCAAGGTGACGGACAACAACAACGAGGTGTTTTTCAAGATCAAGCGCAGCACCAAGCTGGAGAAGCTCATGACGGCGTTCTGCGAGAGGCAGGGCAAGTCGCTCAACTCGGTCCGGTTCCTCTTCGAGGGCCAGCGCGTGCAGCCGGGCGATACCCCGGATACCGTGAGTCTCCCACTTAACACCCATGAACCAACTACCTACCTTTTGCCATCTCTTCCCCCATCCGTTCTTTCCAATCGTGGAGCCCATTGCTAATATATTGTTTGCTCCCAGCTCGAAATGCAAGATGGCGATACGCTAGAGGTGCATCAGGAACAGGTTGGCGGATGCTAATCAGGCGTCGGGGGAAGTAGACGTAGGCGGAATCGTTCCGAGCTGGTTTGAGGAAGAAGGGCGTCCGTCGTGGACTAGACAGAGCCGTACAAGGCTGTCGAACCACCAGAACGTCGTGGTTTGGGTTTGGGCCGGATCAGAGATCATCGGTTTGCTTGGCTGGAGGGGTACCAAGGGGTTGGTTTGTGGTATGCATTACAAAGGATCTTGTTCGCTGCGCTCCTTGCCAGCAAGGAGGTCCTGGCGCAATTTCGGAGCAGGTACTTTGGCACATAGGTGAATTAAACACCTACGGCATTTCAGTGTTGATCTCTAATGTCGTCCATCGGATTGTGGTTCTGATTTGGGTCCCTTTGCCTCGGATGGGGCGCGGGCAGAAGACACCGCACTTGTTCTGACTTAACGAGGGATTTATCATATCCGCCGTCACTCACATCAATGCAGAAGGATCAACGAGGTTTACACAGTACAGAGTCAAGTGCCACAGGGTACCTAACAATCATCAAACTCAGTACACGCTACACAAGCCGACAATAACGCCTAACACTCCGCAATGCCTTCCCATCCCATCCCATCCTACCAGCCTCCAATACCCGTACACATGTAGGTAACCCCCTTCAGGCCTTCAACTCCTTCTCCATGCACTTGGTGCACAGAACGACCGTCTCCCCCGGCGCACCACGACCCTCCATGGGGAAAATCTGCCCATCATCAAACCCACCTCCACAGGTCTTACAACGAAAGCACTCGTCATGCCACTCGCCGCCCAGAGCGCGAATGTACTGCCCAATAACGGCAGTCCTGCACCGGCGACACTTGGGCGCCCTCCTCTCGGTACGCTTGGTCTGGCAGCTCACACACCACGCGTACCCGTCCTTCTCGATGTGTGTCATGCCCTTCTCAAAGGGGTCGCCGCACTCGGCACAAAAGAAGTGGCCGGAATGCCAATGCGCGCCCAGCGCCACGACGTGCTCGCCCATGATGGGCGTCTTGCAGTGCTTGCAGCGCGGCGCGAACAGCTCGTGCCAGTCGAGGTGGCAGTAGAAGCGCAGGCGGTCGTCGCCGTCCTCGGCCATGGTCTCCCCGGGAGCTTCGGGGAGGGTCTCGCCCCTGGCGCGGCGCGCGATGCGCTCGAGGCGGGCCGCGCGGTGATCGTCCGGCTCGGGGGAGATCTCGAGGGCTTCCAGCGAGGTGCCGCAGGCGTAGCACGTGAAGCAGTGCGGGTGGAACCGCTCCGTCATGCCAGCTAGCGACACGAACCGGCCCTCGATCGGGTCGCCGCACTCGTGGCAGCAGGCGGTCGCACGGCTTCCGGGGACCGGCCTTGTTGGGGCTGTCCGGGGTGTGCGGGGTTGTGCTGGCGGCCGAATTCGAGGGGCTCCGCTCTTGGGAGTGGGCAGCGGGCGACGGGAACCACCCGTCGTTGACGAGGCGTCGTCATCAGGGGTCACAATGACGGGTATGGCGGGACCGCCGCCCGCTCCGTCCGACTCGACCGTGATGGAGGGAACAGATGAGGAACAGTCGGACACCGCAATGGCGGGGATGGAGGGTCCGTTTACTTGAATAGCGGGCGGAGGTTGCATTGAGCGTCGCGTCGGGGACGGTGACGGCGACGGCGATGGCGAGGCCGCAGAATTATCCGTAACAGCGATAGAAGGGACCGCCTGGGCTTGTTCCTGCTGCTGCTGCTCCGGCTGCTTGTTGCGGAGCCCGCCTGGGACGAGGCAGATGGGATGGTTGCCGGCTCGCCCAAATCTGGACTCTTCTGACTTGTCGTCAGTAGCCTCCTCTGAAGGCTTCCAATCTCTATCAAAGCTTACGATAGGACGACCCGGGCTATCGCTGACAGCAGACGGTGTCGGAAGCTTGGGGCTGCGGTCCTTCAGCTTCATGCTGGTGGCTTGCCTAATCTCCTCGCTGCGAATCTCCATGCCGTGCTTGCGGGGTACGTCACTGTTCTCAACAGGCAACCGAGTCAGGCGTGTATTAGTAGTGTACTGCGGGTTGCGAGTCTGGGATGGAGGGTTTCGGTGTATCTCAGTTTTGGACACGGGCTTCTCGGTCGCGGCAGCGGACGCATCCGTTGTAGGGGATCGGCTGGGGGCGAACTGGACCCTATTTAGGGGGTTCTTTGGCTTGAGTCCGAGCGGATTGGACTTGTCTTCTGTCGAGCCCTGAACAACGCCTGAGACGTCGGCGTCTGACTCTTCCCATATCTGTTCACCAGAGAAGGGCTTATCGACCTCACCGCTAATGTTCCTCTTCATGCTACTCCTGCGCCGCCCTCCCGCAACCGGAGGTGGAGCGCTCCCGATGCCGCCGTATGATTTGGAGCTACGGGGTTCGGCTGAATTGCTCCGTGCATTGTCGAAACTCACACGAGGAGTTTCGCCCACAACTGGAGTCTGGCGAGAGGAGGAAAACGACGGCCGACCGCCAACGGGGGTATCTTCAGCCGAACCGCCAGATGATATTGAACTCGAGGTAGAATCACGGGCAAGTCCCGTAGGCGCAACATCGCTTCCGTACAGGCCTGCACTGGCGGAGCGGGCATGTGCATAGCTGTTCTTGCGCAGGTGAGGTCGGTATCTGTAGGGCGCCCCCGGCTGAGGCAGCTTGCCGGGATTCTGGTGTTGCCAGACCAACTCGGCTGCCTCGTTGAGAGCGGCTTCATAAAGGCGCTTATCCTCGCTCGTCTCCTCGTCGCCACCTCTTCCCTGGCCTACATGCTCCGTGAGATCCATATCCTCCATCGCCTGTCTTAAACTGAAGGCTTCCTCCTTCTCCATCCACCTCTGGCCGCGCTCAATGTAGGTTGCGGAAGGAACGACTTCTGATGGCTTCAACGGCTGTACTGGCCGATCCGGATAATAATCCTTGCCGCGGTTATTGGCTGAATATCTCGACGCCACACTGCCACAGATTGACGGGCGGATGACAGACGGGGGGACACTGCTGATGTCTGACTGGGCACGCTGGTGCGTTGGCTGATGGTTCAGTGATGTTTGCGAAGGCGCGGCAGCCCCAAGGGAAGATCGGCCACTGGCTTCGTATTTCGAAGCGGGCGGCGGGCGGGCACCGGCGGGCCTATTGACTCGGTGATTGCGCAGATCTGCGAGATATGCAGCTGTTGGAGTACAGTAAACATCAGCAGCCGGCCGGGCTATCAATCCCTATTTTGGAGAGACGCCAAAGCCAGACATACCGAATTGTTCGTTCGTCATGTAGGAAGGAGACGGAGGCGTCACCTTCCGGCCCGAACTCCGGTCCTTGGGCTTGCCTTGGGCGAACATAGCTGCTCCTGGGCCTTCACGGCTCTACCTACAGCGTCCGCAATACGCCCGAGAAGTGCTTGATGACTTTGTTGATGAATTGAAGTGCGAGGAGATTCTGACGCGTTGATGTGTCTCGACAGAATCGGTGGTTAGTGCAGCAAGCAAGTTGGACGCTGTGTTGTTGACCCAATTTATTATGCACCCACCTCTCAAAGAATGGGACGGGACGAATGTTTATTCAATGTTTTGTCTCAATGTTTCATCGACGTTGCTAGGCAGTTCGCATTTCGTGGAAACACAACAGAAGAGAACCTGAGAGAAGGGAAGGGACCGTTATCTGCCTTTTTATTGAGTCACAAGCTCTTGCAAGGTCCGGGCGTTCATCCGGCGATTGTGCGAAGGCCGGTCGAATGATTGAGATTGGCAAGCCACGATTGGGCCACGCTGCAAGACAAACATGGGGTTCCCACAGCGACCGCAGTGGTGCGCCGGGCTGGCGGGTGGCGGAAAGCGGAAGTGCCTGCAGAAGAACAAACTTGGAATCGCTGAGCGCGGCTAGCGTCAGGAGCTTGGGCCACTACTTACCTTTCAAGGACAAGTGCTGTCCCACCCACAGAAATCATCCTCGGTCCACTTCGTCTGTTCATTTGTGCAACTTCAGCTCAGAATTCAGCTACGCCTGGTCCTTTACAACAGGCCACCTCCACGCTGTAAAGGTACTCAGTGTAACCATCGTCGACATCTCCGAGTGTCGACTCGGAGAGCGAGCAGACAACCCCCTCCCTCGGGATGACATGATCTAGGTTCAGTGCGGGCGGAGTCGGGTGGTTTCCGTCAATGGTCCTGTACCGGTATTCGGCATGCTCTCAAGATGAATGGCCAGGCCCTCGGTGTTCATCCGCGTCCAATTCCCCAGCTATCTCCACCGCGCCCGGTGCGCCCGACCTGCCCTACGAGGTGTTGCCTTGGGGTGAAGGCACCCGGAAAAATTCAGGGCTGAACTGCGGTTATTCACGATAATCAAATTCCGTCAGGATACCTACCGTTTCTCGTTGGCCCGATCTTAGTCACTCAATGGCCCCTATCAATCTGGGTGGTACGGTACCCTAGCACCGGTTTGTGGAGGTCGACCCCGGCGGTGGCGTCGTCACTTGACGGCGCGCAACGCAATCCGGCTCTCCGAGTCTGGCACACCGTGGATTCGGGTACGCTGGCGCCACGCCCGAGAGGGTGTGGTCCTCCAGATAGGGCCCGCTTGATGTCCCAGCCGTGGCCTTCATGCTGTTTCGCGACGAGGCGAAAATTCTTGGCCGCACACCGTGACGGTGGGCACACGTTCCTGCCGTAATCGAGGAGAATAATGGGGAAGGCCGACCTTGTGGTGTGCCGTGGCTCCGTCGCGGTCGCTGTGCCAGACGTTGAAGACAAGGGTGGTTAGACGGTCCCATTGTAGATGGTCAGGAGCTTGGCGTGGCGCGCGGAGACCAAGTCGATGCCGAGGGTAGAGCATGCTCTGGCAACCACTTCGGCATGCCCCCAACGCGCTGTGACGGATCAGAGAAGGGCGATGGATGAGAAGCACACGGCTTGATTGAGAAAGCTATTAGGCTTGCAGTTCTCCAAGATGGAAGGCCATTGTAAGGTACGTAACGACTAATAAGTGCCAGGAAAGCCGCGGATGGAGAGCGAGCAACAGTCTAGAGCCGCCGAGGAGAGGGTCCATGGCGGAGAGTTGGAGATGCGCTTCATTATCGGTAGAGTGCATTCTCTAAAACCACCCAGCTAACATGTGATTGAATGCTTTAAAAATGTGTTGTGTTGGTCTTCCCTTCATCAACAATGGAACACGCAGTTAGCCTGTCTGGCGCGCTGGCTCACTGGTCATCCATCCATCTTCGAGAACATCGATTGGAACACACAGAGCTAAGCTTGTTTCAAGCCGGCTCCGCTACCCGACCCGGGTGGGCTCCCGCCAAGCGGCTCCTGTCTGGTGGTGGTGTGGAGAGTGGGCGAGACGGTGCTCCGCTGCTTCGGCCTTGAACCGGAAATACGAGCCATATGTAGAATATTTGCAACTTTAATACTTTTACGTTTCGTTGGTAAGCAAAGTGTTGTAGTCACTGCCATGAGGAAGGTAGATGGGATAAATATTTCCCTTCGCCTCCCTTGGCCTTGGTTTTGGATGTATGGTTTTGCGAAATTTCCTTCGTCTGCTTTGGCACGTCAAGTTGCCAACTCGGTTTGGGAATCTTGATTTCGTCTTGAACTTGCTCCTGGTTCAACTGAAATGGTTCCGCATGCAGATTCTCCGCACGATTCAGGCCTCTCAGCCCCTGAATCGACACGGGGCTCCATCCCGCCCGCAGCCGACACTCCCCTCGATCTCCAAACCAAGGAAAACACGGCATCCGATGAGACCCCTATCGAGAGTGACCGTTCGGCAGGAGAGGAGGCCGAGTTTAAAGAAGGGGGTTATGGCTGGTTAGTATTAGCAGCAGCACTTGGTTCCGATGCTTTTTAGTCCACGGTATAGAACGTCGTTCCGCTGACTTCCCGCCCCAATCGGCATGCCAATAGGGTCGTCGTGGTCTCGGTCTTGCTAGTCAATGCCCATACCTGGGGCCTCAACTCGGCCTATGCCGTCTTCCTTGCCTACTACCTGAGATCCGGCGCCGTTGCCGGTGCCTCTCCGCTTGGTTTTGCCTTCGTTGGTGGCTTGTCAATATCAATAGGTACGTATAACCGACCCGTACACATCCCTAGACAAGGCACATACTGACCTCAGCCTGGGAAGCACTCCTCGTGTCTCCGCTTGTCACTTGGTGCATTGGCCGATTTGGAACAGCATTTGCCTTACGGGTTGGCGTCGTGCTTGAGGCGTAAGTGATGAAGCGTCCAGCAGCTGGAAGTTCCCCCTGATTGATCATACGTACTAACTGTTCCCCCCAGTGGTTCGTTTATCGGAGCTTCGTTCTCAACCCATATATGGCACCTTCTGCTCAGCCAGGGCGTATGCTTCGGCCTTGGGTTGGGCTTCTGCTTCACAGCAACTGTAGGCGTCGTCCCCCAGTGGTTTACCAAACGGCGCTCTTTTGCGAACGCGGTGGCCACTTGCGGCTCCGGCTTTGGCGGTCTTACCTACTCGCTAGCCACTAATGCCATGATCTCCAACCTCGGTCTGGCCTGGGCGTTTCGCATTCTGGCCATCCTGGCCTTTGTTGTTAACGGAGCATGCAGCTTGATTGTGAGAGACAGGAACAAAGCCGTCGGCGCCGTGCACATAGCCTTCCACAAGGACCTCTTCAAGCTGACCGAATTCTGGCTTTTCCTGGGATGGGGCTTCTTCAGCTTGTTGAGCTATGTCATTGTCGTCTTTTCACTCCCGGACTATGCCCAGCAGGTTGGCTTCACTGCAAGCCAGGGCTCTCTCGCAGGGGCTCTGTTCAACTGTGAGTCTCCGAGTATACCTGAGCCATGAACAATCCTCGTATCTTCTCTTACTGACTTTGTCTATTTCCAGTATCCCAAGGAATTGGCAGGCCGATCATAGGCTTCGTGAGCGACCGTCTTGGAAGAATCAACGTTGCCGCACTTGGAACTCTGATTGCTGGCCTGGCGGCCTTCTTTCTCTGGATCTTTGCTGGCCCTCATTTCGGAGGGCTCGTAGTGTATGCCCTCTTTGGCATGTTTGCCGGTATCATCTGGCCCTGTGTGGCACCTGTTGGAGCCGAGGTTGTTGGCCTGCAGTTGTTACCTGCTGGTACGTGCTGCTCCCTGAACCTGTGCTGTTCTTCGTGGACCGGAACTAACCTGGGACACCAGCCTTGTCCATCTATTGGCTTGTTTTGGTCTTGCCAGCGACCTTGTGAGTTGTCTAGCATCCCTCTTACACTTAGTCGCTCAAGGTTTCTAATTTTCGACGTTCAGCTCGGAAGTAATCGCCTTGAGCCTTAGATCAACCGGCGTTGCTGGATACATCAATGTCCAAGTCTTTACCGGGACAATGTATATCGCTTCGTTCTTGTCCTGTACGTGCGCAGCATTCTGCTTCCCAAAAAGTTCCCCTGGTCGCAAGTGCTCTCGCTAACGTGGCTTAGTATGGCTCCTGAGAAGCTGGAAATTGCAGCAGCTGGAACTCCTAGGCCTGAATGATCAGCAAATAGCAGATTATCGTCCCGGATCGGTCCGTTCATATCTCCGCGGCATGCTCACGGTCAGGCGTGTATGATGTTGAAGAAGACCATTTCTCGCAGCGAATTGGACGATAGGACAATAGAGTGTGAAGTAATAGAGTGGTATATACGTGCCGTGGGCCTTATAACCAAAGGCTGCCGCTCTGCTAAGTGGCCCGCTGCTGGACAGCTCCGATCTTGAACCGTACATGCTTGGATCGGGTGGTTCAATAGACCTTCCCCCCATATGAAGACTTCGTCCCCTTTCGCCCTTGCCTGATGTAATTGCCGTAGATACTTCCAGTCATGTCGATGTAATGATTCTTGATCGTTAATAACTTGTGACCGTGTCGGGATCTTGCAGGGGAACCTCGAATCCTGCTAGTTGTGTCGCCATTTGAGTCAAGCCGCTCGAAGCAGTCGCAGATAGTGCGTCAACCGTTTCATTGCGAATGTAGCGGCTACCCGGGTACCATATCAAAAGGCTGCCGCTATCCCGCATCAGCCCTGCTAGATAGCAGCGCAACCTGAGGGATAAGAAAGTAAGGTATCGTAACTAGGGACTGAGACTAACCATTCGGTGCTCGGAAGGTCGCACATTGCTAAGGAATTGAGTCGGCTCTTGAAGGGATTGTTGTCGTCTCACCACCTGAGCTCGCCTTTTACCCCTGTCTCCCCGCTGTCGTCCTTGCCTGCCGGTGATGACTCCTTGAACCCCAGATTCCTAAAGTCGTCTTTCGCCATAAGATTGCTAACGACCTCCAACGGTTAGTCCGCCGGGGCTAGAAGGGGAAGGCGCCCAAGTAAAAAGCTCTGTCACCCACCGGTCCATGCGACAACCAAGGTAGGATTTCGCCAGTAATCGACACTGGTCCTCATTCACTCCCTTGACCTTTTTGAGGCAGCTCAAATAATTCATCATGACCTCCTTGCATTCTCCTAAAATAAGGCCACAGTTGGATATCGTTCTTGGAGAATGCAACCGCCGAGGTGAATCGGGCTCACGTACCATCATGATCCAATGGAAAACTTCCCCTCTGAGGTCTGAATAACGAGGGCAGCGGTTAGTGGGCAGTAACAAATGTGTCACCAAAACATTCAAGTTGTGACTTACGGGACTGGCTTCGTCGTTGGCAACTGCCCTGGGCTCCCAAATGTACTCATATTGCGACTCGTTTGATACTGTGTCGTGATGTATTGTGGACAAGGGTGAGGATTGATACACACCGGTATCCGCAGATGATACCTTAGCTAAGCCAGGTAAGGGATCTGATGATGGAAGTGGCTTGGATTCTACTGTACGTTGGCGCCTGAGGCCATCACGCGCCACTAACAAGAAGTGCATCGAGTGCAAAGCGCCGCTGCCTTGCAGAGCACGCACGCACGCGCAACAGCGGGATGGGACCCCGGCTCACTCAGACGCGCTTGTTTGCATGACGGCAACTCCACTGGATCGACGGTCTAATCTGTACACTAGATTTTATCTCGAGTTTGCAAGGTGCTGACCATCACGACATACTCAAATCCGTCCTTGTATCAGCCCGTTGCCCTTTTTCTCCAAAGACACGGCCAGGAGTCGGCTGCGTTGTATTCTCGACGGCCGGTCCTCCTTTTCTTCGTCTGTCGCATCGGCCACAGTTCCAAGGTTGTGGAGCTCAAAACCTGAAACTGTCGACGCTTGGTCGCTGCGCTCAAAAAAACCGCCGGATTGCTGGCGCATCCTTCCACTTCGTCATCGACACGGCGTTAGAGGCCCTCGCAGCTTTGCACGACCGCCGCCATGGCTGCCCTCGGTGATGACTTGCTTGCGACCGTCAACAAGCTGCAGGATCTAGTTTTCAACACTATTGGAAATGATTCCCTGGATCTCCCGCAAATTGTATGCGTGACGCCTGCCTCGCCCACCTCTTCCTTCGCCTCGGCCTTGCTAACGGTGCTCGCGGCTTGCAGGTAGTTGTTGGCTCCCAATCCGCGGGCAAGTCCTCGGTACTCGAGAACATTGTCGGTCGAGATTTCCTCCCCCGCGGCAGCGGCATCGTTACTCGAAGACCCCTCATTCTGCAGCTAATCAATGTTCCCGAAGACGACCCGGAAGATGTAGTGAATGTTGGCTACCGGAATCCCAACCAGGCTGCCCGCAATGAATGGGCCGAGTTCCATCATATCCCGAATCGGAGGTTCAACGACTTTGGTGATGTCAAGCGGGAAATCGAGAACGAAACAGCAAGAGTCGCCGGCACCAACAAGGGCATTAACCGCCAGCCTATCAATCTCAAAATCTTCTCTCCCCATGTCCTGAACCTGACTTTGGTCGATCTGCCGGGACTCACAAAGGTCGGCACCGCAAAAGTCCCGCCTCCTATTTAGCTTGCCCCGGCCTAACCAGTGCTCTACAGGTGCCCATCGGAGACCAGCCGACCGACATCGAGAAGCAGACGCGAAATCTCATATCTGAATACATTGCGAAGCCCAACAGCATCATTTTGGCTGTGTCTCCTGCTAACGTCGACATTGTTAACTCCGAGGCCCTCAAGCTCGCGAGGCATGTCGACCCCCTGGGGCGGAGGACCATCGGCGTGCTCACAAAAGTCGACCTGATGGACCATGGCACGAACGCACTTGATATCCTCTCGGGCCGCGTGTATCCACTGAAGCTGGGTTGGATCGGAGTGGTGAACCGGTCGCAGCAGGATATTCAAGGGAATAAGCCCATGGAGGATGCTTTGAAGTCCGAAGCAGAGTTCTTCAGGCATCATCCGGCCTACAGGAACATTGCGAGCCGCTGCGGCACTCAATTCCTGGCCAAAACTCTAAACACAACTCTGATGGCTCACATCCGAGATCGCCTTCCCGATATCAAGGCCCGGTTGAACACCCTCATGGGCCAAACCCAGCAAGAACTGGCAAGCTACGGGGACATGCATTTCAGCGGCAAGGAACATAGAGGATCGCTTATTCTGCAGCTTATGACGCGCTTCGCGACGTCCTTCATCTCGTCCATCGACGGCACTTCGACCGAGATCTCGACCAAAGAGCTCTGCGGCGGCGCCCGCATCTACTACATCTTCAACTCTGTTTTTGGGAGCTCGCTGGAATCTATCGACCCTACTTCTAACCTCTCAGCCCTTGATATCCGGACTGCGATCCGCAACTCTACGGGCCCTCGACCCAGTCTGTTTGTGCCCGAGATGGCCTTTGACCTGCTGGTCAAGCCGCAGATCAAGCTTCTCGAGATGCCCAGCCAACGCTGTGTCGAACTCGTCTACGAGGAACTCATCAAAATATGCCATACCTGCGGCTCTACTGAGCTCCACCGCTTCCCCAGGCTTCAGGCCAAGCTCATAGAGGTCGTCTCTGATCTACTACGGGAACGACTTGGCCCCGCATCAGCCTACGTCGAGTCGCTGATTGCGATTCAGCGGGCGTATATTAATACCAATCATCCGAACTTTCTCGGTGCCGCTGCAGCCATGAGCCACGTTGTCACTAACAAGCAAGAGAGGGAGAGGAAGCGCCTGATCCAAGAAGAGCGAGAACGGCGGGAGCGGAGACGGATGAAGGAGCTTGGTGCTAACGGGGGCGCAGATACTCCGGCCGAGGAGGAGGATGAAGCGGCGGCGACGGAGAAGGCAGAGTCTCTCCCCGTGCGAAAAATCGCCGGAAAGGGGCCCCGCAGTCTTTCGCCGGCAGTTCACGAGAGTGTCAACGCCTCCAGTGGCATAGCCGCGACTCTCAACGGAAATCGCTCAGCGTCACCTTCTCGGCTACATGGGCAGGCCTTGGGGAGCGCGAAGGACTCATTCCTAAACTATTTCTTTGGCAAGGATGGTGCCCTCGTCCCCGGCGCCGCCCCTCCTCCTAATGCAAACATGACTCGCCACGTGAGCCATTCGGTGGAGCCAACATTCAGTCAGAGCATCAGACGGACAGACGACAAGGCGTTACGGTCTCCTATCCAAAGCCTACGGGGTGACGACGGCATGGACTTTGCGCAAGGCCCGAAGATGGATGCGGTAAGTGCCTGTCCTGCCAGACATTTTCGGTTTCACTAAAGCTAACGGGGTTCAATTGTAGGCTAGCAACAGTGAACTTGCCATGACCGACCGCGAGGCCATGGAGACGGAGTTAATTCGAGCGCTGATCAGCTCTTACTTCAACATTGTGCGCGAGAGCATCGCGGACCAGGTGCCCAAAGCTATCATGCACCTCCTTGTCAACCACTGCAAGGACGTTGTGCAAAACCGTCTGGTCAGCGAGCTGTACAAGGAGTCCCTCTTTGAAGAGCTCCTGTATGAGGACGATGCAGTCAAAAAGGAGCGGGAAAAGTGCGAGAAACTCCTTCAGACCTACAGGGAGGCAGCCAAGATCATTGGCGAGGTCGTATAACCGCTGTCCCGGCGCTGTTGTGTGTATAGGAGTGTAAAGAGGAAGAAGGACAGCAGTGTATGTTGACCGGTGTTTTGGGGCCGCTGGGTTACGTTGCTCGGATTATGTATCCCTCTTAGACAGGTGTTTTGATCTTGAGAGTTCAGGACAGCAAACGCGGGACGGAGCAGAAGAGACTTGAGCAGGACGGCGGAATCGCACTCGTTCCCTTGGCGCCATTGGGGGTGGGATGACAGATAGGGAGTCGTCTCAACTCTAATTTCTTGTATGTGTACATATATATACATAAAGGTCTTCCGGTTGGAACAAATGGTCTCTTTGAGTAAGGTCTAATATCTGACCCCTTTACAAACACAAAGTTGTTAAACTGATATACAAGTGCGGTACTTCAAAGGTTGGCTGGCGGCTGCATGTGAATTGTGAACACTGAGCGCCGGGTACGCAAAACGGTCTGTGCTTTTGATTGCTTAGCGTGCACCTCCCTTAGAACTTTGCTTCTACCTTTAGCCGACGCGTCCACCTTAAAACACTTCCATGCCCGATTCGAATTTCAAGTATCGTGCAGCTACCCGAGCAACTTACTGCAGACAACTCGGGGACAGTACATGATTCTTTACTTTGGATTCTGTCCATCACTTCCCTTCGTTCCTTCCTGACCGTCACTCGGCACAGATCTGACGCCTTCAGCGCAGTCGCTTATCCGCTCCAGCGTCGCAATTGCCTGATACTCATTGATTCCTTCCAACAGCAAGCAACGAGTGCTTCCTGCCCGTTCCTGACGCTGTAGCCAGCTTAGGCCCAGAAGACTTCTCATTCCCTTTTTCTCTTGCTCTCATTATGCTACGTCCACACTACACATAGAAAATCGGTAGCGCGTTATTGGGCAAAGTTGGATTTGCTCGGAGCTTGGGGTGCGCCGGGGACGTTGGGAATAGTGGTTGTTGTGTCGGCTCCTATATCAAGCACAGGATCCCCCCCAAGGGCAACGACTCCAGCTGAAGTCGTTACCCATACCGCTTTTTACCCGCCCTTGACAAGTGTTATTCAAAATCTATCTGCTGCTGCATCCAGGAGGCTGGTGCGGCAGCCTTTTTGCTAGTTTTTCCACTCCCAGCTCATTTCTTACTGCGTTCCGGCCGAAGACATGGACGCAGACGGCTCATCACACGGACATGCCGTTTTCTCCTCCGTCCTGTCTGATGATGTATCCGGCAGCAGCCGACCCGAGAATGTGGGCTTGGTCACGAACCAAGAGGACTCCCGACGGATGGGTGATACGCTGATGAAGCCAGCGGACAGCAGCAGCGGATTGGAGCCATCGCGTATGACTGAAGACGGGAACTCGATACTTGAGCCTCCTCGTGATGGAGGTACAGCATCGACTGGCCCAACCGGACTCGACAGAAAGCGGAAGCCTCCTCTTGATGGCGCCGAAACCGAACTCGCCGAAACGGGGTTGCCCCGAGCAGGTGTTAAGAAGATGAGGCTGGCCGAAAATAACGATCGTACGCCGTCGCTGACAGACCACCAGTCCCGGAGCCCGGACAAGTCTCTCATCTCTCCTGAGGTTTGGCATCACATCTTTACATTTTTGCCCCCAAAATCGCTAGGCAATTTGTTGGCTGTCAACAAATTGTTCAACCTCTATCTTGATCCTGCGTCGTCAGTTCGCAGGGGAATTCCTGCCTCTGCGGACAGCGGTGTCCTACGCCCGTTGAAGCCCAATGCCATTTGGCAAGCTTCGAGGCGGCTTTTTTGGCCGCAAATGCCCACCCCCATTCGCTCAAACACTGAACTTGAGATGTGGCGACTTGCATGCTCACGCAGGTGTCAGAGCTGCGGGAAAGCAGCCGGTGGAGACCGCGGTGCTCCTCCCAACCCAAGGCAGCCGGGCTTAGGATCAGAAGGAGTCACAGCCATCTGGGCTTTTGGCAGCCGCATGTGCGTCGACTGTCTCGTTCGGAAGTCTGTGAAGGTACGTTTTGTCAATAAAAGGGGCCAACATAGTTGTCTAACTTGTTGCTCAGGAGGTCGATTTGCTCCTATCGCCAACTATTCCTTCCGTTGTTGTTCCTGCACTCCCATTCGTATTTATCACACAGGATCTCCGTGTGTTCTCTGCTACTGCACTGGAGCAAGCACTGGAGCAAGGTCAGCTGCCTGCCGACCTTCAGGTCACTAAGCGATTTTTATCATCAGATGTCGAAGCCCTTGAACAGGAATTTGTACAAGTCCAAAGCATGGGCCACGGCACCGTGAGCGAATGGTTAAAAGGCCTTTCTGGTCGAGGCAAGGACTTGCAGCACGATGCCTTAAAATGGGAAAAGTGGGAATCCTCAGGCGGGGTTGCAAAAATGTGTTCCCAGCTGTATCCTGGATTCGTGGGAAAACCATCGGCTTCGCTGGTTCGCGAGTCACTGGCCGGCCTTCCTACGACGTTAGCAAACCCACCCTCATCGACCACGTCGCGTCACTCTCTGTCCCAGGGACGTCATGAGCGGACTGCGGAAGAGGTTGCCGAGCTAAAAGCAACCAGGAAGGCTGAGATTGAGCGGCGAGCCCTGCTCCTGGACCCACCTTTGACCCCAAACGTCCTTCGCCACATACCTTCCTTCCAAGCTGCCACGCAGATTGTTGCTCCGTTGGACGGCAACGCCTGGGAACTCCTCAAGCCGCGATTGTTGGCTCAGCGAGCAGATGCTGAACGCAGGGAGAGTGAAACTTTCGTGCAGGTCAAGGCCGAACTGGAACCCCCAGGGCACGGCCGTCTCGAGACAACCTTGGCTACTACAAAGGAAGCTCGTGATCGCATTGACAAGGACTGGGAGGAGGCGCAAGCGCCATTGCGTGCTCGAATCGCTGGTTACGCAGACGAGATTATCCGTGATGCTTGGGATAGCGGCAAGAAGGTCACGCGAGAAACATGCCCACGGTTCGCTGTCGAGGCTCTGGTATATGTTCGGAAGCGGTTCTATGCCCAGATGGCAAAGGACACCACAGCCGCGAGGGCCGCAGGCGAAGCACCACGAACGGACCCGCCGGAGGGACCGTTTACCCAAAAGCTGACCCTGGAGAACATGAAGTGGATCTTTGACACCAAAATCAAACCTCACACAGAGCCCTTGCGCAAGGAGCTTTTCTTCTGCAATGGCTGCGAGGGGAGTTACAAGACATTTGGCTTTGAAGGCGTCATTCAGCATTATGCAGCAAAACATACAAATGCCCTCAGTGCCGGAAACGTTGTCGTGCATTGGAGAGCCGAATGGCCGGAGCATCCTCCGTTTAGTGCCGAAGTCCGGCCAGTCAGGACCTCCCTTTATCCTTCCCGCCCGGGTGGCTTGATTATGGCTGCAGGACAACCTCCGCAATCGAATTACAATCACCTACCAACAGCCACCGGCCCTGTCCCACCTCCTAGCTACCCGCCTGGTGTGGGATATGGGAACGGTGTACCAACTTACCATGATCCTTATCAACAGCCGCCAGCACTACCGCCTCCCCATACACACGCCTACCAACCGCCGCCAGCAGCTCCTCCTTTTCCGCCACAGCCAGCATTTCAGCCACAGGCGCCTTATGTCCCCCCGCCACCCCAGTATCAGCCGTTCCAGTCGCCCTTCGCGCCATATCCTCCCTCGGCTGTTGACTCGTCGCGAGGTTATGCTGCACCCCAGACTGGCCTGTACAACCACAACTACGGATCTTACCAAGCCAACAGCAATGGCATCTATGCTAATTCCCGCCCTCAGGCATACCCGAACCTCTATCAGACCAAGTTGGAGGATATTGCCCGCAACTCTCGAGAGGTTTGGCGGCTTCTTGGTGATATCAAAGGCCTGCCCTCAAGTGCAAGGGTTTTCGCGACGATCCATCATGTCGTCAAGAGATTCCGGTCCAGATTCTACGAGACGCCTCCCTTATCCATGTTCATCGATGGCTTGTCCAACAATAAGGAAATGCGTCCAGTCCGCTATGTCAACGGCCTGATTTGCAAGGCTTGCCGCTTGGGACTCGGCAACGCAGCGTCAGTTGAGGAAGACCGAAAGCACTTCTCCTTACCGCAGCTGACAAATCACTTCCAATCCAAGCACGTGGAACCGATGCTGAAAATGCAAAATACGGCCGCTCCCCTCGACTGGGTGGTGGATATGGTGTTCTTGGATGGTATGGACACCATGTCCACGATCGTCGCCTCCGCCAAGGAGACTCAAAGAAGCTTACTCACGGCCGCTTTTCCGTCTGCCATCAAATCCCAGCCAAAGCCCGGTCCAGCCTCTTACCATCCGGAACAGCCAGGCCAGCAGCATGAACCAGTATCCGCCGCAGGCTATGTCCCTGATACGGCGGTTGCTCGCCACGAATCGAACAGATACCCGCCACAACCACCGCCAAGCGATGCTCATCGACCTGCCTCCGGTGTTCTAGATAAACATTCTGCCGCGGCGGAATCTGTGGGAGCAGGCCCACTTGCAAATTCCTGGAGCGCAGGCCATTCTCTCAACAGCGCGACGCCAGACACAATGTCGGAAAATGATCGATCGGGTCATAGCGAGGGCGGCGGGAATCGCCGGAATCGTGCGCAAGACGCGTTTCAGAAAGGACGGGCTAGCAACAATAGAAAGGCAAAGGCGCCAAGTGGCATTGGCTCCAGCAATCGCACCTCAGAAAACCAGTCGAGTGCCGATGGTGAAACGGTACGACGTGACGAGCCGAACGTACGCTTGACGGGAACTTCAAATCAAACAGAGGCCATGCGCGCGCAATCGTCGTCTATACAACCTCGAGAACCTCGAACAGTTAGTACCCTGACGGCGTGGGCACCTTCACAGCGAGCCGCGCAATCGCCACAGTACCCTGATGGGAATTACCCCTCCCGCCGCGAGCCGGTGCCTCCGGAAGGCGCGAAACAGGAGCCGGACATTGTGGCGGCCCTGGAGTCGCGTCTCGCGGAGAGACGCTCCCCACCGCCCCGAAGCCAAGAGCGAGCTTCGAATGCAGCGCTGTACGTCGACAGTCACGGGACTGCGGTATCATCAGACTTGCAGGATGCGTCCAGGTCGCACATCCGGTATGGCCAGAGAGAACACCGCGCAGACTCACCCGTGCACAGAGCCAGATACTACGAAACTAGCTCAAGGGGCGAAGAACTCCCTGTTCGACGGCACGAGGTCATGTACTACCCCAAGATGGAACCGGTCCACAGGCGGGAGGAAGAGTATAGCCCTAGATGGATCCAGCCCGGTGAGGTCGGGCCATCGGCGCGACATACACTCGAAGGGCGCTTCAGCCGACCTCCATCTCTCCGACCGGAAGACATCGATTACGGTGCAGCACGGCGAGAACCAGACATGTATTACCGCTATCGCGAGGACAGTGCACGGGGGCAATCCCGGCCGCCGCCGGTGGAAGCGTACGAGATTGTGCAGGTCATTGACGAGCATGGAGAATACTACATCCGCCGCCCCGTTCGTCGTGAACCCGACACGCGGTACGGATACGTCTACGAAGAACGGAGAGTGCAACGCGACTTGGGCCCTTCTGTTGCTGCAGTCTCTGAGCCGGCCTATGTTTCCGTTGGAGGAAACAGGCCGGGTTTTGCTCGTGACGCGGCTTGGGACGGAGGCATGCCACCCGGGGGTGGTCGGCCAACTGCTCGTCCCGGTCCTGCTGACCCGGCCTATCACGAGGAATACAACCCGTGGTATCCGGCGGCCTGACATTAGTAGTAGCAAACAATACATCTTTGAGGTGTCAGTCAGCCGCTTCCCTGATCGATACACAAAGCTCGCTTGTTTTTGACCGTACAGTGAGTTGGCGGCGGCTTCTTTTGACAGTGATTCAGTTGCCCCTGAGCTAAGTGTGGTTGGTTGTTTGGGGGTTACACTACTTTTCGAGCCTGTACTGTACTGTAGAGCTGCATCAAAAAACTTCTGTGCCACACACAGTGATGGCAAGCGGTGACTACTGTATGACGCTAATGTCATTATGTATGTCTGCTCCGTGGACACCGCATCGGCAACTTGTGAGAAATATATTAGAGGGAGGTACGGAGCATGTACGTATTGAAGAGGGGCACAGGATGAGGCAAAGGGATCCGGGGCTACGGCGCAGTCCCAACCACAGACGACGAGGCGTTTCTTGGCAAAGCTTGAGGGGAGCGATCGCCCCCTTTTCGATCTTTTTGATCGCGCCACTGCATGCGCCGCTGCACGTGTCCTGTTAGCCAATTGATGGCCTGAAACAACGGCCCACTGTCACTGTTTGCTACAGACAATGGAGCCCTCCTCAGAACCCACTTAGAAGATGGGATGAGGATGATACGGTGAGAAACCGGGGCCTACGGCCCAATCGTTCTTGGCCCCTTGGAGATCTGCTCAACCTGGACACTGTCTTGCAGCCTGCTGTTCACCTTCGGACGGTGTTCGAAGCTGGTCCCCAGCTTCATGCTCGGCTTGGGGTTGGTCGCCCTGGCTGGAGGGTTCCACGAGGCAACACATCAGATGAACCCACGGGGTCCTGGTTGATTTGTAAAATCATCCAACATAAAGTCCCAGAGACTTGACAGTCTGTTTGCTACTCGACCCCTTTCTGGCCACTTTGCACCTTTGCCGCTGTGCCTTGCTAGGGTATAAAAGGTTTCGCCTGCCAGTTGCTGTGTTGCTAGTCCTGGTCTTCGAGTCTTACAACCTACCTTATATATACGAATACACAACTGTCTAAACGGCTTGGGCCCGGGACAACTCGAACAGAAACAGAGACACTGATTCCCATCCACGACGAGCGACTGACACCTTCCCTACTCTGAGAGCAGCAAAGAACAATGCGTTCATCAGAGTACCTATCCGTTCTCCTCCTCGCCGCCGGGCTCGCGAGTGCGTCGCCCATTCGGGGAGTATCCGCCCGGGCAGAGCCGGAGAAAGCTGTCAAGTGCCGAGGCGGCAACGATAACAACGCCGATTTGGCCAAAGCCATCCTGGCCATCATGCCCAAGTCCAACACATGCGAGGGCGCCAAATTCCCAGATGAGTGCCGCACCGCCGAGCAAGCAGCGCCCTACATCGCCAAGTCGTACGCCAGCTTCAGCAAGGGCGAATTGGCCGCCGCGCTGGCCCTGATGGGTCTTGAGAGCGACGATCTCAAGTACAAGCATAACGTGTACCCCGGTGTCCCCGGGCAGGGCACGGCCAACATGATGAGCCCTTCGGTGAGTCTTCACTTTGTTATGTCATGACTACCTACCTACTCACATAACTAAACAACTGACGAGGAAAACAGTTTGTCAAGGAATACGCTACTTCCATCTTCGGCGCCAACGCCGTGGCCAACAAGTCGCCCGTCGAGGCGCTCGCCATGGTGACGCCCGACGAGCACAACTTTGGCTCGGCGGGCTGGTTCCTGACGGCCCACTGCGAGCCTTCGGTGCGCGAGGGGCTCAAGACGGGCTCCGATGCCGGCTGGACGGCTTACATGCAGTGTGTCGGCGTCGACGGGTCCGACCCCGCGCGCGTCGAGTACTGGAACAGGGCGAAGAAGGCTTTCAACTTGTCGGGGTAGGGTAGCATTTGTTTTTGGGTCTGGGTTTGGTGGATGAGGGGGAGGGGATACTATGGTGTAGCTCGTAGGTTCTGGTTCGGCGGCGTCTTGCATTGATATGGGCTGCTGGATAAGGTACCAAGGTATGCATGATGGGTCCGTTAGAGCACGCAGAGCGGTGCGTTTTGCCTTCTGATTACATGTATAACTATCATTGTACTAGATGCTGGGATGATCTTGAGATACCCCCTTTCCGGTGGGAGCTTCTAGAACAGGTAGCCGGTCAAGCTTCTTCAAGCCAGATTGTCCCGCACTGATACACATTCTCGTTGATGCGGCGAGGCCTATACCATGTACAGCCTTGGACCCTACCGCAATGTATTGCTTCTGCTTTCGCTGATGGTTGCTGTTGCTGTTGTTGGACTTCACCTCCACCTCCATTCAGGAACCGCATGCCACTATTCAACAGCCACCGCAGGATCACACCTCCCACTGCCTTTGCGAAGATGATACTGGGCTGAGTGGGCTCCCATTGCGGACAGAAGGGATAGAGGGCAAAAAATATCAACAAAAATATCTCGACGTGGGCCTGATTCGAACAGACGCTCCCGAAGGAACAAGATTTCTAGTCTTGCGCATTAGACCACTCTGCCACCACGCCTTAATTTGTTGATATTTGAAACGAAAAAAAAATATTGAGGCCCGGTGAGCCAGTTTGCATTTGTTTTCAATCACCTGCTGGCCCTGGGAATTCTGTATGCTCAGTGCAAGGCTAGAGGGAGCGGATGGGATTACTTCGATGTCAAGAACCGACGTTGACTGAGGGAAGTTGCCTTGCCATCAGTTGGCTACTCTGAGCCTCACCTACACGGCAGTCATGCTCGGCCCGTGGTATTTCGGCCTGTAGAGCATCCCCTAACCTTGCCGTGATATTCGACCGTCTCGCCATGACTTGGACATAGACAGACGATGTGTGGAGGATGATTGAAAAGCCCAAGGCGGCACTTTACCTCTACTCAACTTGCGGCTTGGAGAGGAGGGGTATTCGATATACACTACCAGAGAGAAGCAAACCAATATCGTTCACGCCCAATGTCAAGCCCCGCTCCCTACATTGTTGCCTTGTTTGTGTTGATACTCCATCATCCAAAACATGAGGTCTTTATCCGATTACCGGCAGCTGGACCTTTCCCTGTCCTCATTCGTCCACTGCTCCTCCTTCAGCTAGTCCCCGTCGGGTCTTGGCCGTAAGGGAATAGACTGTTATCCAGTGGCGCTTGCTGCTGCGATGGATCCGTGTTGCCGGAAAAGAACAGGAACGACTCGGCGCCCCAGTGTGCCGTCTGCGTATAGTTCTCGAACGAATCCTTGAACACAGCATTGTCAGTAAGAACACAGCCAATAGCTTGCGGGAGGGGAAAGGCTAGCTGTCCCATACCCAGTCTAGGTTAGCCGCATAGTCCATGTTACCGCTCGCCATGTTTCCAAACATGCTTAGCGGAGACTGTCCGCCGTCATAGCCCAGCACTGCGCCCGAGAAATCAGACGATACGCCGGTTCCTGAACCGGTGCTTGTGCTCGTTGTGATGCTCGCACCCATACCGCTATCTTGCCTCGGGCGTGTCAAGTCGACTCCGGAGTACGCCGAGCCGACCGGTGTCCTCGCCAAATGGAATGCGGCCGCAGTGAGTGGCATCGCACCGTTGGAGAGCATGCCCAGCCCCATGGCTGCTGAGTGCTCCGATCTGAGTTCCGGCGAGTCATTGGCACCGAAGACGCCGTTCCTCATTGCTACATCGGGAGAGCTATCCGAGGCACTGGGGCTATTGGAGCTCTTGATCTTGGTCAACATGATCTCAAGCACCTTAGAAGCCTTGAACGCCTCTACCGAGACGTCGGCTAGCCCCTTCCATATCTCTGTTGTCAGGTCAAGGCTGTTAATCATCTCCTGATGCATTTCCGGGCTCCAGAAAGGGGGTCCTTGCGAGCCACCTCGTGTCCCGGATCGTTGAGCATTGTCAAAATGCAGGTCGAGCGCAATGAGCATCGCAGGAAGAAGGAAGTCCTTGGTCGCCACCGACGTGACGTACCACTGCATTGACTCTAGCCGCCCACCAGGTTGTGACTCGCGGTGGAGCGTCACCAGATGTCGCAGCATCTCCAAGGACGCCTCGATGGCGGCGCGCCTCGAGTGGGCGTATCTGGGGTTGTTTCGCGCTCGCGGTATGTATTTCCTGTGCAGCACGCAAACAACCTTCAGGTAGAGAATATCAATGCTGAAGCGCGTGACGGTAAGGGTGGCTGACTCGGTAGAGGATTCCAGCGGCAGCATCTTCAGGTGAGGGGGGAGCTCGGCGCGGATGTCGCGCAGCTTGGCATCAAACCGAAGGATCTCGTCATAGTGTGCCTGATTCTTGACCCTGCCTGTAACCTGAAGAATAGTGCCCAATTCAAGGCACAGCTTGACCTTGAAGAGCATGTAGCTAATGGGCGTCGGCTCGGTGAGGGGTTTTGACGGTGGGAGGACCTGTGTGTCTGGGCCAAAGTCATCGTCGAAGATGTTGCGAGGCAATTCTGTGTCGCAGTCGTTCTCGGAGATCATGCTGGGGAGTGATACTTGATTCGAGAAGAGCACATCAGACAGCCTCAGAAACGCCCAAGTTCTCCTCCTCATCTCCTACCGTTCGGGTGAAGGTCAGAAGAGCGTTCTAAGCAAGCAATCCAGGAAAGAAAGAAGGCATGGAGAGAAGAAGGGAAAAGAGATGAGGGGACATACGGCTTGAAATGGAGACAGTGTAGGGAACCATTTGGCGTCTCGATGATAGCCCATTCGAAGCGCAGTTCTCACAGTCATGGCGATAATTATCCACAGGCCCAACTCGGCGTCCCAGCGAGACGAGTATTCGGCAAAAGAGTAAAGGATCATGGCCTCGACCGTATACGCGCCCGGTTTTGTGTAGTCACCAGCAATCAAGCACTGCACCGTCCGCAGCCGGTATTCATCGGCCAGCTCTGCTGTCCGCCCTTTCCACTCGGACGGCTCGTCTCCTACTTTCTGGTAACTCATCATTGCCAAACAAAGGACCGAATAGAGCACGGCCAGCCACATAATGGGCGTCTTGGACGGATCTTGCCAGTGGTTGCGAAGCTGTTGGTAGAATGTCGGCTGGTGGATAATCATGGTGGCAGCATTATCCATTGAGTTGAAGTACCTCGCGCACAGCGTCAAGACGGTCGATTTTGGCGGCAGCTCTGCCCTGAGCTCGACCTCGGATGCAGGAGTTGCGCCCATCAACAAGATTGGCGGGTCCTTGGCCGTAGGAGGCTTGGTGAGCCTGACCCTCTCATAAGTTTTCTCCACTTCCTTCTTGTGGTTTGCAAAGTAGTTCTTGACCTCGGCAATGTCAAGCAGGATTGTGTGCCAATGTTCCTCTCCGAGGTATACATGCTTGGACTTCACCGGATCTACCTTCAGGACGCCTAGGGATTTGGCCAAGCCGCTGTCGGTGTCGCTGTCGTCGTCTTCCTGCATCATACCGTCGTCTGGCCCGTCAACCTTGGCCACTAAGGGACTGCTTTCGGCGGCGGAAGGAGATGAGTTGGTCCTAACGCCGCCAGAGCTGGAGGATACTCCGCCCGACGATATGTCGATGTTTGCGCCTCCGTGCATCAGAGACAGGACTAGGCCTTCCAGCCTGTCAATACGATTTTGCATGTCATCGGGGGTGGGATCGGCCTGGCCCTGGTTCTTCCTGCGGGATACCGGAGTAGCGTAGGAGCAATTTAGTGTGTCGGCGCCTTCGCGCTTGGTGCAATTGCTGCACGGATGAGACCTGTCACATTTTCTGGCGTGCGCCTGTTAGGTTATGCCACAAGGAACGAACGACGGGAGGCGAGAACCTAGGCTGGATAGGGAGGAGTCGCCAACTTACAATCTGAGCATCACAGCATTAGCAGGCCGACCTGTGATGGCAAGACAAGAGCACACAGAGCATGCATTGGAGCGGCTTACTTTCTTGTACGGCAAGGATAGCAACTGAGTGGCACTCTGTTCCTCTTGCGGACGACTCGATATTGCGGTTCGGGCGACCGACCCGTTGACGAGACGGTGGCCGATGGTGGCGTTGGCGTCATGGCTGGCGGCTAGTCGCTATGTAGTGTAAGGTAGTCGGTGCGACGTGCAATACGGCTGCAGGGCGCTTGACTCTGATCCGGTGGCTTGCTACAGTAGGGGCGCCAATTGTCGTCGGGGGCGGGTCCGGGGCTGCGATGTGGGGATGCGTAGCGGGCCGCTGCCTGATGGGAAAAAGATGGGAGATGGGAAGACGTCGCGTAAGACAAAGAATATAGAATACGTAGAGATGCACCGCGGGTTTCTACGGGAGCGGGAGAGTCTCCGGAAACGCGCGGCGCAGGATGATGACTCAGACGATATACCTAAACGGCTCCTGGCGTCAGCGTTCGAGGGAGGTTTGGGACCTTTTCGTGCCGTGTTTGATCAAGGTCGTTGAGAGTAAATCCCCGCCTTCCGCTGTGTCCGCTTGGGTTTGTCCCACGCTCAGGTGAGGTAGTCGACCAGATACGAATACAATATATAACTTCGCATATTTCGATTTGGTTTTAGACGATCAAACTTGCAGTGCCGCTTGGTTCTACACGCTCCTGGTCATGGGATTGGGGGGATCGCCCAAAGGACCAGAGGTACATACCTTAGGGAACGACAAGGGGTTGCTGTGTGATGGCGAACAGCCAGTGCAAGCTCCTCAGTGCCCAAGCACAATGGAACTTACCGCCCCACCCTTGGCTGTGCGGGGCACAGTTAACGCTTTGGTGGGGGCCAAACTTGTGCTTGACAGTACAGCCAGCAACTGACTTACGGATACAACGTGGAACATAGTTACAATGAGAACTTCACATTGGATAAGGTATCCGTTCGTACATGCAACAGTACCTATACACATAGCGCCAATCTGGAAGTAATATCGGGGCGGCTGCCCTCAATGGCGGTAGGTAGCAGGACGCCGCCGTATTGGGAACCGAGTCAATCGATCACTAGCACTATCTATCTGTAGGAGGAGACGGGAACATCAGGGAGCTACCTAGTGGTAGACATATGCGCCTTCGTACATGTTGGATTTCCCCATGAGACCACATACACGGCAATGCCCATGCACGCAGCAGTAGGCTAACCGGCCCAGTGGTGTAGTTAGTAGGTCAACCGTCATACCATTAGGGATTCAGGATGCACACTCGGGTATTTTGTGTCCAACTCTATCAAGACATGTTCTCGAGTGAATCACCACCTCGCCAGGTCATTGATAACCATACACATTTAGCATCCACGGGAACTCCCCTAGCATCTCACGCCGCATATGACAGCTCCCGCAACTTGGATTCAAGCCTCCTCAACCATCCACGTCCATCTCGACTGCCCACCACCCAACTTGCACCCAGTAGCGATATAGATCTACAGGAAAGAGCCATCAGACTTTGATAGCCGACGAGCAAGTGTTTCGTTATCCGGTCGATCAGTCGGGGAATTGGCGGGTGCGACGACCACGACCAAACGTAGGTAGATACAACCTGAAGCGTAAAGTCCCCTTCAAAATGGCGACACGGTGACTTCTGTTAGCTTTTATGGCCCAGGGTGTTTCACGATGCCGCAGCGGAGACATCTCCGTTAGCTTTGACGCTGAAGGGCTTCAGGAAATCAGGGTCGTTGCTTAGTTCTTCTTTGACCTGTAGTATTGTCAGCGTACCGGCATCAGTAATAGCGGGAACGAGAAACGACTCACGATATCAAGCCCGCCGACAAGCTCCCCGTTAACCCAAAGCTGTGGATATGTTGGCCAGTCGGCAAATTCCTTCAGGCCCTGCCGAACTTCGTCATCGGCTAGGATATTGAAAAAGCCGTACTTGACTGCATTCTCTCGCAGGATTCCCACAAGCTGCCTGGAGAAGCCGCACTTTGGCTCACTGGGCGTGCCCTTCATGAATAGCATGACCGGCGCGGCCTTGACCAGATCGCCGAGACGCTTAAAAAGCTCTTCCTTCTTCTTCTCTGGGTCTTCGGTCTCAATTTCGCCCCCGGCGTTGCCAGTCGTGACAGCGGCGCCCGTATCGGCCGTGGCTACTACTCCCGTTTTGCTCGCGTGGCTCTCGATCGCATTCCGGACCTTGACCGCGCTACTCCCGCTGACTGTCTCGAGGACCTTCCCACCTCGGATGAGCACAAGAAACGGAACAGCCGTCACGTTGTAGGCCTCGCTGATGTCTGGCAACTCCTCGGCGTTGATGGATACCCATGAGGTGGAGGGCGGCTCGGATACCGGGTATTCGCTCGCTAGGGTCGAAAGGACGTTCGCCATCTGCGCGCAAGGCGCTGCCCATGGGGCGTGGAACGAGACGATTAAAAGTGTCGAGGGCGGCAGCGATGCGACATGTTCCTCCCAGCTTTCGACGCTGGTGATCTCCTTGATAGCCGACATTGCGAGGTGCAGGGGCTCCGGTTTACTCGAAGAAGAACAGTGCTGGTCCGAGGATGGATGAGGCCAGAACTTTGTGCTTTCTGGAAGGTAGGAATAATCTGTGCAACTTCAGATAGGTTCTTTGACAGCGATGTGTGAAAGGGACGAGAAAGGCGGGGACACTAGAGTGTTGATATGGAAGGAGATGAGGCAGAACCCTTCGCCGATGGTTTTATTTTCTTCAAACACCCTCCATGAACTTTACAAACGCCTCCGTGGGCCGATGGCGGATGACCCCGCAGATGGTGGGGTGTGGATTCTGATTGGCATCTGGCTGTTGCGTCATTTCTCGACTTTCCAGTTCCCAATCGATCTTCGAGGTACCCTCGTACCTACATCAAATACAATGCCGAACCGTCCTGATACCGTCGTCCCCTGATCAAAGCTTTGAGTAAGCCTCAGTAAGGCTGTTTAGCGATATCTCAATCCTGCAGATGTCGTTTCCTGAAGTCTTGGTCGAGAGGTCAAAGACATTGGATATATGGAAACTTGTGTGTATGTACTTGTGTTATGTACATACAACCTCTGTGCTAACCGACCATTTATGGTGCCAATGGTGGAGAAGTGTGCACTTACCATGACGAGGCATCTAGGTACCTTAGCACCTGACGGTTTGGTAACCAAGAGTTGACTTTAGAAGAGGTAATTCAGATACAATGTTTGATGCACTCGCTATGAGAGTACTTGCCTGACTTATGTTCAACAATCCTGCTACCTTGGGCTTGTTAAACCCAGTAGATTGCCGTAGCTCGGTGCAATAGTGTACCCACCTACCGGAGAAGTCGGACAAAAGACTCAGGACGTTTTCACGAGTGCTTCCAGCTTCCAAGGTTGTGCATTGCGCCGTCACACCCGACACATATTGAGGCAACACCGCCTGCTCACAAAATCTGAAACTATTCACTACTACCGCATTACCTTACCTTGCTAGCAATAGGTACTTGTACCGCTCACATTCATCCAACACTCGGGCGTGCTTCGGTCCGACATCTTCACTTCTTCCCAGACCCGGTAGCAGGTTACACGCAATGTCGGCCCAGGAGTATTATCAGCAAGGCCCGCCACACGGACACGGCCACGCCCAGCCGGGCCAAGCTTACCCACAATATCCCCAACCTGTAAGCATCCAGGGCATTGGCGAATCCCTAAAAAGAAGACCACTGTCCTGACTGTTGCACCATTCTATAGTCTTATGGCCCGCCTCCGCCGAACCAGCCCCAGGGCTACTATCCGCCCCAGGCCCCAATGCAGTACCAGCAGCAGCCTCCCCGGCAGAGCAAGAGCGGCGGCGACGGTTGCCTCAAGGGCTGTCTAGCCGCGCTGTGCTGTTGCTTCGTATGTGAGGAAGGCTGCGAATGCTGCGCCGACTGTTGCGAATGCTGCATGGACCTCTAAGGTCACCTCAGAGATGGCGAGGGGTCTTGGCGACTGACTCTTCGAAGAGCGGTATTGGCCCAGCTAAGGCTCAGCGGAGGAGTTTGCATTTTGCGATGATATATAGCTTGGAGTCTTGAATGAGGTCCAAGTACATAATGCTCAAAGTGTCGGCGGGCGCGGGCAAGTCTCTGATCGAGGTGTTGAACAATGTACAAAGAGTTCTTGAGCGCTGTGGAGTTGTTCTCTGTTGATGCCTGATGTCGCCTGGCCTGTGAACTCTTCAACCACTCAGCGCAGCCACGAGCTCCACAGGGCTGTACTCCGTACGGTACTGGTAATGTACTGTATGTAAATTACAATACACCCTCAATACGCGTACTGTGGCGTAGTCAAAGTACCTTTTTTCCTGAGCTCTTTGGTGACCAGGCTCAAGCGAGGCACAGCCTCATTGACGTTCGCTTGCAAGCTCCCTTCCATGTTCTTGGCTTCCACATCCGCAGACCTGCTCTACAAAACATCAACACTGCAACCGCCGCCTTTTCCCCCTTAGATCACTGCGGGATATACAACTTGCAAGGAGCGATCCAGAGCCACTGGTGCAATGGCGTCGCTCAATCTCTCAATAAACGGGCCATCGATCAAGAGCAGCTACCAAGGCGTCATCAATGGCCCCGCCCTCTCGTCAACCTCTCCCACAGCGGCCCGCTGGGCTCTTTTTACGGTGCAGGCGCCGCTTATGAATGCCTTCCAAAACACGGGTGCAAAGGAGAGCATTCTGAAGGTCGAGACCACTGGGGGTGAGTGCGACAATGCCGGGTCTCCCGTCCCGAACCATCCCGGGTTGCCCTTGTTGCAAATGCAAATTCCAAGCTGATTCTAATCTGGCCAACAGAGGGTGAACTCGCTGAGCTCACCGAAGAGTTCAACGAAGGCCGCATTCAGTTCGCTTTCGTCAGAGTCAAGGACCCAAATACCGGTCTTCCCAAGAACGTTCTCATCGCTTGGTGCGGCGGCGGTGTTCCTGAGCGTACCAAGGGGTACTTTACCAGCCATACTGCGGCAGTTTCCAAGGTGCTTCATGGCTATCACGTTCAAATTACAGCGCGCTCCGATGCCGATCTTGCCCCCGAAGATATTGTGCGAAAGGTTGCCGATGCGTCAGGAGCCAAGTATACAGCTGGGGGTTCTGCCCCCACGCCCACAGCGGCGCCACCCCTGGTCGCCAAGAAGCCCGTCTTCACTCCAACAACGTCTAGCTCCGGGAGCTCCTTCAACCCAATTGTTGCCGCCCGCACTCGGAGACAAGACAATGTTGACGAGGACGGCTGGGGTGCGGATGCACCCCCCGTTACGCGCACTGAGCTTGAGAAGGTTGCGCCAGCATACAAGCCCACAAAGGTTGATATTGCGAGCTTGAGGAAGAACAATGATGACTCAAGATACAACGGGACATCCAAACCAGACGACCGGCCGAGCGATGTTGTCAAAGGCGGGTATCAGCCAGTGGGCCAGGTGGATATTGCTGCCCTCAGGGCGCAGGCCAAGGAGGATGAACGCCCGACTGTGGTAAAAGGCGCCTACGAGCCTGTGGGCAAGGTGGATATTGCCGCCATCCGGGCAAGAGCGCAGCGCCCGGCCGAGCCCAAGGAGGAGGAAGCAGCAGCAGCACCAAAGAGCCTCGCAGAGCGCAGTGCAGCCTTCACCCAGTCGGAGCGTCTCACGGAGCTCCCCAAGCCAAAGGTTGCAAAAAAGTTTGGCGCTACTCCCTTCACTGGAACAAAAGCCCCCACGCCTGTTGGGCTCGGTTTTGGTGTTCCGTCAACCCCGGCACCACCGCCGGTTGGCTCCGCCAGCAGGACGTTTGCTGACCAAGGCGGCAAGACTCCAGCTCAGCTGTGGGCTGAAAAGAAAGCGAAACAGGGCGGTGCCACTAGCACTCCTGCGTCGCCCCCAGTAGCGTCACCTGTCACAGCCCAAAAAAGTGGTAGTGAGTGGAAGAGCGGCTACTCGGGCAAGAGCTGGGCTCCCGTACAGACGCCTGCTTTTGGCCGGGGAGGCGTGGAGGCGCAGAAGACAGGGGCAACTGAGCGGTCTGAACCCGAGCCCGAACCCGAACAGCAGTCGGCCGGTTCGGGAGGTGTCTCAGCTCTCCGCGACCGATTCAAGGGCGCAACGCCCATGGGCAGCACCGCTCGGTCCGCCCCTGAAGCCCCTGCCCACAGTGAGCGGGAGCAATCCCCGCCGTCCCCGCCGATGGGTAGCCGGCCCGCTGGTGGTTTTGCCCTCCCTGGTCTCCCGTCTCGACCGGCTGCCACCAACCAGGAAGAGGAAGAGGAAGAAGCAGAGGAGCCGCCTGTCGTTCCATCCCGCAACTACGAGGAGCGCGAGTCGTCTCCCATTCGTGTTGCAGTGCCAGTTGCCCGCAGCACGGTGCCCGAAATCGAGCCCGCAGCCGAGAAGCTACCACTCAGGCCGGTGCCGGTTCCGGAGGAGCTGCCGAGGGAAGAGGAGCTCCCCGCTGAGCGAGAGGCTCATGATCCAAGGGCTGCTGCTGCCGCCGTCGCGGCGGTTGCCAGCGAAGCCGTCGGTCACGGTACGGATCAGGGAGCCGGCGCGAGCGGTGGTTTGAAGGCCTTGGTTCAATACGATTACGAAAAGGCCGAAGACAACGAGATTGAGCTCCGCGAGGGTGAATACGTCACAAACATTGAGATGGTGGACGAAGACTGGTGGATGGGAACCAACGCGCGGGGCGAGAGCGGTCTTTTCCCGAGCAACTACGTCGAAGTGGTCAGTGAAGACGATGACGCAGCGGCTCCGGCCGCCAGCCATGAGCCCCCGCCGCCTGCGCCCGCGCCGGAATCGCATGCTGAGCCCGAACCAGCGGCAGCGGGCGGGGCCACGGCGACTGCGCAGTTTGACTACGAAGCTGCAGAGGACAATGGTACAGTACCCCTTGTTTTCCCTCGTACTAGCTGAGGCACCTGATGGATGTGGCTAACAGAGACGGCAGAACTGAGCTTCCCCGAGGGCGCCAAGATCACGAACTTGGAGTTCCCGGACGAGGACTGGTGGTTTGGTCATTACAACGGCGCGTCCGGTCTGTTCCCGGCCAATTATGTCCAGCTTGACTCGTAGGTTGTATGACAGCCGTGTTCGGTGATGGATAGCTAGCCTGGGTGGTTGTTGGTGGGTGGTGGAGTAGATTGATGGCATTGGCCAGACTTAGCAGTTGCTTCTTATCGGTAGTCCAACGAGGAAAATGGAAAAGACTGGCGGTTTACCGAGTAGATTTCCTGTCCTGCTGTGTGCATTACGAGGGAAGTAAAGTAGCGTAAGGGGGCAGCGATGATGTTGTCTGTGTTGATGGGTGGGCAATCCAATACCTTGGGCTGATGGAGATGTATTGTACAGTGCTACGAGGTAAGTCAAGGAGTCAAGCTACCTTGCATTGTTAAGTTGAGCTGCCTCTCCATCCCTTCGATACTGTCTTGCTATGTGCCTAAGATGTCGTCTGCCAAGTTCATACCACTATCCTACTCTTCTATGTACTGTATGTACCTAGGTAGTACCGATACCTACAGAGTGGCTGCCCCTCCTTCTGTTGCTGTTGATCTTAACCCCACCATTTAATTGTACGGCTTCGAACATCGACAACATCTCACCTCGAACATCATAGTCTCGCCAAACACCTGGCAACAGTAAAGCGTGCGCACATTCCCGAGCAACAAGGAGCTCTAGATTAATTCACAGAAGAGAGGAAAAGGCAGCAACAAGAGCAAACCATGTACTCCCACACCCCGCCCGCGCCGCCTCCGAAACCGCCAGGGAGCCACGATGTAAGCCGGATGAGCACGCCCGCGTCCCTGGAGCCGCCCCGCCCTCCACCTCTGCCAGAAGCAATCGCAGGCGAACTGGCCGACGTGGCACTCTCGGCCGAGGAGCGTGCCGCCGCCGCCGCCGGCCAGTCAGCGCAACCGACCCAGAACCAGATCATCGAGGACCCCGGAGACCAATGGCTGCCTGCGTTCCTGCAAGATAAATCGTACGCTACTAGTAACACTCATCCCATTGTTGTTTTTCGAACGGACAAAGGCTAAGCCGGAAAACACAGAAAACAAGACCTAGCCGAGATCCTCTCGGACACCGCCACTCTCTCAGCTCTAACCCACGCCCCACGGACGGCGCACCCATCGCTACGGCAGTCTCACGAAGTGCTACAGTCCGCGCTGGCGGAGAACATGGAGCGGGCGGCATCCCTGGCGCGGCTCGAAGCGCGCATGCAGCAACAGCGCGAGGCGGCGCAGGGCCAGCTGCTCGCGACACACGCGCTGGAGAGGCAGTGGCGCGCCAAACAGTCCGCCATGGACCACGCGCTGTCGCCCTTTGCGCCGGCCAGCCTGTACCAGCGCCTCGCGCAGGGCGTGCAGGAGCAGGAGGCCGTGTGCCGGGCGCTCGAAGAGAGCTTTTTAGAGGGCGAAGGGGACGGGGCGCTGGCCACCGAGAGGGAGGTTTCCGAGTGGATCAGGAGGTACAGGGAGGCCAGGAAGGTGTATTACCTGCGGCAGGCGAGGAAGGAGAGGTGGGATGAGGGCCGGGTCGGGGGTTGGAGGTGACGTGAGGAGTTTGGTGGGGGGGAAGATATAGTCAAGATTCATCATTGTGAAAGAGAATCACGGGCGATGTCTGCGAGGAAGAACAAGAAGTGATAGGGCTTACGAGATGCTCCAGCAAGCATGGTTACCGTGTGCGGAGCACATGAGCTAGGCTACAGCAAGGCGAGTAACAGCACGGACGGTAGACGGAATACCGAAGAAGGTCAGGTATCCGCAGGAAGCGAGGGTCTCCATAGGCCATGGGGGTAACAGGTGCTCATCAGCTAATTGAAAGGTATCAACTACAGCCTCTTCGCGCCGAAAGTTTTGAATCCACCACCTCATAGGTGTATATTGACCCCTTCACCAACGGTCGTTTGGTCTAACCGGGAATCCAGCGCTCTTTGCGTGTTTGCATTGTCCCGTACCCTGCTAAGTGCCGGCACAAGCAGGACTCGAGCTGGGGTTCATCGACTGCCGTTGGTGGTGAGACGCCCGAAGCCAGTTGTCGCGGTTGCCCGCAAGTGGGAATCTTGGGGCACAATCTATAGGATACTGAACGGGCTCCTCTTCATCTCCGGGCTACGCGGGCTCATCGGGAGAGCAAACAAGTCCTCCTCTGTTGTGTCGTCGGCACCCGCTTTCAGGGTGGTTGTGGCCGATGCCATGCTGCTGCCGACAATGGCGTCCAGTGAACCAACACCCACACCCCCAGACACGGGTTGTAAACTCAGCGCACCAAAGCCGGCACGCGGTGAGACGGAGGTTACGTCGGAGCCACCCGCGGGCGGCTGTGATGTCACCAACGGATGCTGCGTCTGTGGTTGGGGGCTTCTGGCTGCTGTATGTGAGTGAGCAACGTTAGTTAGTCATCGCATCTATGTTGACACTGCAACGTTGCAATCCTTCCCAGCCCCCATTCTGCCAACTGTCACTCTATTCCCCTCCTCTTACAACATGCAGGATGGCACCTCCCGCATAGTCACCGCCAGGCATATAAATGCAGCAACCCGGCATGTATGTGTGTGTGTGTGTGTGTGTGTGTGTGTGTGTGTTTGTCCTCACGTACCTTGACTAGCAGCGGCTAGCTCTGCTGGGCTCGTCGCGAGCTTGAGGCCCTTGAGCTTCTCTCCCAGCTTCCCTCCTATCGGACTCCTCGGAGATGTCGGGCTGATGGGCCCGCCCAGAGGGATGTGTAGTTTTGTCGGCTTGGGGACGACGCCGACTTCACCAGCCTCGGACCCGAGGCCAAACTGGTCGACGATCCACTGGCGCTCCTGCAGCGCCATCTCAAGCCCCACACTCTCGCCGTTCTCCCTCATTTCCGCCGCGATCTCGGCCTGCAGCTCCACCAGCCGCTTCTTGGCCCACACCGTGTGGAGCACGCCGCGCCGGCCGGCTTCTTGCTTGCCCGTCAGTTCGGCGGGAAAGATGGCGGGCATCGGCTGCGTGCGCAAGATCGTCGTCCCGCTCTTGCCCCGGATGCTGCCGCCGGCACCCTTGTATGTGATGGTGACGAGCGCGGGGATGGGCGCCCCGGGAGGCAGCAAGAAATACACGCGGCGCAGGCTGCCGCCGCTGGTTGTATCCGTGTCCACCTCGCGGATCCCGAGCGCCGCCGTCTTGCCTTCCCATGACACCTCCCAGTCGCCATCGCCATCGCCCTCACCATTGTCCACGCCCGCGGTCGCGCCTCCTTCTTGCTTCCGAGCTGATGAGCTGTTCCACTCAACCATAAGGATCTTGGTGCCCTCGTTGCCCTTACCCGTCTCGAACTCAAAGCGAGACAGAGCCAGGCCCGAGGATGGTGAGGTAGGCGGCTCGACCACGTCCAACGGTTCCGGTTCCGGCGGCTCACCCGTCCCCGGAGCGTTATTCGAGTTGTCGGCCAAGATCATGGTGAGTTGGAGGGAAAGCGCATACGCGGAGGCAATATAACACTATATGTATGTATGTATGTATAAAATGTGTGTAAAACCACTGTCAACAGGTCCAAGAACGCGGGCAGCGGAAACCGGGAGCCGCGGTCTTGGTCGGTGGTGTCTGCCCGGTTGGTAGCGGCGACGGAACGGCCCGGCTCGAACTCGGCGAGTGACAGACTGACCGAGGTTCGCCAGCTGGTGGTCCGGGGTGGCGGCAAAGCTACCGAACCAAGGTCAGGGTTGTTGAGCCTCCCAGCGGAGCGGTATCGAGGCGCCGCAGCAGATGCGTGCAACGGACGTTGTAATGTGTCAGCCTCCGAACCGTTTCAATGGCTTGCTTCCTGTAGGCGGGGGAGAAGGGGCGGGGCGGTTTCTGTCGCCGTTAGATGCGGCCGCAAAGCAGAGCGGGCTAAGAGGCTGACGGGTCACTGGCAGGTCGGGACCGACCGGTTCGACGCAACCGAGGATCAAGACGGGATTGGACACCTGAATAAAGTCGCAGCACCGGCGGGTAGGTTGCCAGTGTGCCCTCCTGCCTATCCAGTCGGTCAGTCGGTCGGTCGGTCGGTCAGTCTAACTGCCTGGCTGGGAGAGACATGGCAAAGAGGGTAGGTAGCGAAGAATGGTACAGTAGTTACCCGGACGGTGGCTAATATGGAAAATGCACGCCCGCCGCGGCGGGACTCATATATCCGAGAACGGGTTGCGCGAGGCGATTTGGAGAATTGGGCGGGCCCTCTTATGGTTGGAGCACTCATGCGCGATACAAGCAAGGCTGAGAGCGCGAGCTGTCGCCGACTCACGACAGAGCAACTGCGCAACTGATTTATCGCGGCTTGGAACAAGGAGGGGGGAGGGCGGATAAACCACGAACAGAGAGGAAAGCTTAAGTATTGCTAAATCACCTAGCTATTCCAGTAGCCTGGGTGAGCCTGTTCAGGGCAGAACTTGAACTGGGGCGGGGCGGAAGGTGCTTCTCCTGGCTGTTGAAGTAAAGCTGGAAAGAGCAGCATAACGTTAGGGTAAACCGTCCTCTCTCTCTCTCTCTCTCTCTCGCAAAGAGCCCCGCGAAGATCACGACTGGGTCAGGTTTTCCCCACAAGACCAGGGCCCGGGGTCACAGTTGGCTGACCAAATGGGCGCCATCGTCCATGATGGGATAAGGCTTCTTCTTGGTAGCCAAGGGCACAAGAGGGGAGTAGCATGCGTCGACGCTCGGGACTGGCGCGGGAGCAAGGGGCCTACCTAACGATTACACACCGGCGCAATGTCGTAGTGGTAACGCACTGTTTGGGACGCCATACAATTATGTCGTGCCGATGCAGCTTGTCCATGATTTTGAAATAACATTAAACCTGTCTGTGTGTAGATATCAGGTTGATCCTATAGCTCTTTCCAGTCATGACATATTTTACCTTAGGCGGACAAGCAGGCAGAGAGCCAGACTGACAGAATGACAGCCAGGCATACTCAGGTTAGGTACTTTGGATGTCGCGACTTCCATGTCATGGCAAGCCCGCATTTTGCTGGAAGGTGTCAGGGAGAATCGCAATGAGGGGTACAGAACTAGCGCCATCAAAGCTTCCAAAAATAGGTGACCCCATGTCGCTTGGTATCAAGCAATCAGCGAGCCGCGCCAGCAGTGATCGGCCTGGCGCTTTGTCCGTCAGGTTGACAGTTGTGCGCGAGCATGTTCTGCATTCAGTTCGAACTGCTCATGACTCGCCAACGCCGCTGGTCAACTATCGCCAGGACTTACCGCGCCAAAAAAGCTCTCCTTAGCTGGCACCGCGAGCCTAAGCCGTGGACAATATGTAGCCGTGAGTGCGGGGGTGTGTAGGGATGTGTTCGGATGTTTGTGTCCTACCAAGCTCACTCGGACAAGGCGTGCGACAGAGGTCATTGTTGGACGAGCCGGTCTAGGCAGGCATCGGCGGGAGGGAAGAAGGCGAACCGGAGGGCGTAAGGCCTTGCGATGCCTGACTTTATCAGCATCGATTCGGCTTTGAATGCATGGTGAGACCATAGGCGGTGTGACCTGGCAGTGTGGTCAGGTAAACCGTAAACCCCGCCTGCGCCGGGCCGGGGACACCCGACCTCGTGGAATCACTAGGCCGAGCGGACACGGGATAGAAACGGCTTGCACGGGCCGTTCCAAGGCCGCTCCGAAGGACTCCACCGTTCCGCTCCTGCAACATCGTCAGTGCCGAGCGCATCTCTTTCTCGTGCCAAGTAGTACCGATATTTCCTGGGTCGGTGGCAGTGCCAAAGGACTTGAAGTGGGAAAGGAACAGGACCGGCCGTTGTATGTAAGTGTACTCTCGCCCACCTGAATCCCCCAAAGGCATCGTGCCATCAACTGCAATGTTGTATGCTCGCACCTAACTAAGGTAGGTGGTACCTTGGGCCGCTGACCGAATGTCAGGCGCCAAGCTGATCTTTTCTAGGTATTCAAATGGTTGGGCACAATGTCCCTTGACCCAACCAAGGTTGACTGTAGTGTCGAGACGGCGATGCGATAGTTCGCCGAACGGCGTGCAACCGTGTCCCGCCTTGAGATGTCAGCTGATTCCATTTTGTATCGCTTTGTGCCATCGCGGATCAGAGACGATGAGTTGAAAGCTGTCAGGTTGTAGGAGCAAGCTCTCTCAGTGGCATTCTAAGCCGATCAATCATGACGTTCGAGGGAGATGGGAGGGGTGGCGGTTTTTGAACGACTGTCGACGCAACATGTCTCGGCCGAACCCGACCTCTCGGAACACGGAAAAGAGTGGTCCTTCTTGTCAAGCACACGGTGATGGCAGATGGCCGAATAGAGAGGCGCCAGCAAACGCCCAATCACCGACGCCAGAGCGATAAGATGGGAAAAGCAACGAAAGAGCTGCCGAAGAAGCGCCGTGACAGGTCAGCTTTGCTTCGAAGTCTCAACGGCCTACGGCTAAATTGCAACCCCATATAGATTCATGTCCCGTCCTGGACAATGAGTGTCTCCAATCGACATCGACTGTGCATCACGAAGGACCTGTGTTAAGAAGGATGCATGGCCGTAACCCTGTCGGGAAGAACATACGACACCGTGAGGCCGTGACTCCGTGTGCTCTGTGCTTTTACCCGACTCTGAAGCCATCCAACGTTACTGTCGGTGCGCCCGCAGTGCTGAGTGTGTGGGCTCCTTCCCCTGCTTTCGTTGGGTAGGACTTGTACGCGGTAGTTACAGCATCCTGAATACCGTAGTTACTAGTTGTGTGATGATCGCGGCCATTGAGGCAGGCAAAAGAATCCTGGTAGAAAGACCGTTTAGCAGTTGTACGTGTACGTGTAGCTCACGTCACACACCTGCTGTGATTCCGAATGAGCACGACCCAACTGCCGATCAGAGGGTCCTAAAACTATCGGCCGGCCCGGTTGCATTGCCCTTTCTCGGCACCCTCCCTCCCAGGTCGCCCTGGCCCTGAGCGCTGATGAGGTGGTGCGGGCACATCCGCTGCATCTTCACTTCGTTCTCCCCCCACGATACGATGCCTACACGTATAGGCCGTTTTCCTTCTGTACTGTAGAGCTGTATGTCTTACCCTGCCCCACACAGGATGAGCGTCCTGGAAGTGCTGTATCGAGTGTATGTACCGCTTAGGGGTGATGTAGCACAAATTCTCTTCTCCGGTGGTACTTTGTCTCTGATGGTGACATGAAACATCGCAGTAATGATCGGCGGACCGTCAGCCAACAAGAAGGTCGGCCAGAGCAGGCTGCCCGCACCGACTTGTCATCGGACTGTCGGGCAAGATCGATCAACAACAAAAGAAACAGCCAGGATTGAGGAGATGGAACCGAACAGAATGAGATGAGAGGAAGAGGTAAGACAGCGAAAAGGGAAATTGAGAAAGATTTACCTTAGGAATCGAGATCTAGATCAGTCCAACCTTACTTTAACGTATGAATTGTATACACGCAGCACATTGTATGTACAGTACAGTACCTGCGTAGCCTCCTGTTTTGTTTCCCATCCATGAGCGGCAATGGCGATTCAAATCGTTGCTGCTTCAGAGCATCGCGCGGCTCTCGACCATCGCTGTCGCTGTCGCTGTCGCCGTGTGGCAGGAGGGTTGGTTTTCTTGTAGTTAGGGCCGATCTCCCTTCGCTAGGTGTTGACTCTTGAGTGGTCCGAGGCTTCCCCGTTCTCGGTGATTTTGCATCTGCTTCATTGGCTACGGCTAAATTACGACGTGCTTCTCGGCCCTGCAGCCAAGCCAGGTAGCGAAGAGTAGTGCTACCTTTACGTTGCTAGAGACTGTTTGACGGGCCGCTGCGATAGGCGCAGAATCTCAGCAGAAGGTTCAGTAAATATCGGGCCGACCAAAGGGAGCGAGCTATCTGGCCTTATTCCAGCCTCGTATCCCTTACACACAGTGGCGCACTTGCTACCCAAGACAGGGAGCCAGCACTGAACAGGCCCGATTGGGACGGGGAGCCTAGCTCAGCATCTTGGGGGCGCATCACTCAATGAAACGCCAACAGTCGTCCAGGCTGGGAGACCCTCACCCCCACCCTCTCTGGTCCGCCCGCTACGTGGAAAAAGTAATTGTTAGCAGGCTACTCCATGTCCCCCGCCTTTGCTCCACAGACAAGAAGTATTCGGTTCGCAGGCATTTGGACCGGTTTGCCGTCCGTCGCTCCTGTCTCTGACCCGGCTCCAGCACCTCTCCACTATTACGCCGGCCAAACCGCCGTGGCCTGCCATCCATGGCCTATCCATGGCCCTATTGCCCGTCTCGAATCCTCGCTGCATAGCCAAACCTTCACCATCCACATCTCTTCCCTGACTGCCCGAGAGGGCGCAGCGCGATTGTCAACCACCAATTCTACCGCCCGCGACACATTAGATTTTCTCGGCCGTATGTCTGCACGGCTCCGTTTCGGCCCTCTCACTGCCTAGCCATTCCGTTGATTCCGGTACACGGCAGAGAACGTCCATCATTTGCCTCCTCCTCCTGTGCTTTTTGTCTTTTTTGGATTTCATTTGATTTTTCTCCCCCTTGGGATACGACTCCCCCACCCCTGCATAACAGGTCCTTGAGTCTAGTTCTTCCGTGTCCCGTCCCGGCTCACCCGGCCACTCTTTCCACTCGTCGATCAACCAGTCCGGCGCGTCCCGTAATTCTCGAGTCTTTGAATCTTGACAGCGCCGGTGCCCGATTGACTTGGCTGCCGACCGTCTACGCGCCATCACATCGTCGTCGACGAAGGCAGACCGAGGACGAGTCGCTCAACCTTCTCTCTGCCTCGTGCAGCGAGTCGACACGAGACAGTCGAGGAGAGAAAGCGCCTGCGGTACGAGCGACCGAGAAGAGGGAGTCAAAGGGCTCGTGGCCCGCATCCGTCGCTGCGTGCTTTCACGGCCTACTAAGGAATCGGGTCAACTGCGGTCGTCGGTATCGCGAATTGTCTTGCTGATCAAGAGTTACCCGAGCCTCCGCCCTAGCCGCCGCCCTTAGCACAGATGCTCCCAACATGATTGCGCTGCGATTCTTCCCTGCCGATATCGACAGTTTTTGGTTCTCGACGGCGCTGTTGCGCTAAAACGGGGAGCGCAGTGTTGGGGGGCTTCTGCAGGCCGGTTGCGTCTTTTGTCTTGCCCACCCTAATTTAGGCTCCCCGGCGACCTCGTCGCCCTGCAGCCAGACATCATGGAGCCGCCACACATCACGGAGTTCGGGTCCAAACGGTACCTGGAAAAGCTCCATCAGTCACAAGCCGCCAGCCAGTCCCAGGCGAACGCCACATCGGCAGGGGCCGCCTTGGCCCAGTCTGAATTCATATTACCTCTCCGAGGGGCAGATCTATTGCAGCCCGAGAAATCACCCGTCAAACAGAATGACCAGAGGCGCTCCGAGAAGAAGGGTTTCGGATTCCTAAGGAACAAGTTTCACAGCAAGCATCCTCCGCCTATAGATGAGGTCGTGACCGAACTTCCTGAGCTGCCAACAGCCAAAAGGAGGTGAGATTCCGCTCTAAAAGGCCCTATCTTCGTGACCATCCAACTAACCGTTTCATAAAGGGTACCATTTGATATTCTTTTTGCTGCTCTTCCAAACGAGCTGCAGGTGGAAATCATTGCGTCACTTCCGCTGTCGGATGTGCTGAACCTGCGGTTGGCGTCGAGGGCTCTCCATGCTCTCGTCTCGCTAAACGAGGCACCGATTACTCGCTACCACCTCGATCACCACGTGCCTGCGTATGCCAAGCGACTTTACCCAGCTCCCCAGGGCGTCCCGCTGAATTTTCACTATCTCTGCGGAATCTGGCATCGGCTACACGTGGCCGCGAAACTGTCGTACCTGATGTGCGAATGGATATCCAAGGAGCTGTTCCTCATGAACACCGAAGAGAAGAAGCGCGAGTTCGCACCACAAAGGGAACGGATGAGACGGCGTCTTATACCGGTGCTCTTCACCATTTTCCACTTTTTTGAAACATACCGAAAACTTCATTTGAAGTATCTCAACGAGCACGACGGAAACGGGCTGCTCAGGACACCGTACACTGCTAACCCCATCGAAACCGAGATCTTGAACATGTATGACGACCGAACCCTGCTTCGGGTCCACGAGGCATTTCCCCTCGTAATGTCATCCTTTTGCAGACGCCTCCGTCCCCCGTCCTACGTCGGCCGAGTGGAGCGATCATTGAGAGGCTACCTGCGGGAGAAACCGCCTGACGAGGTGCATGTTGCAATGCTTTGCATTGGGGGCTTGCGGCAGGTGGAGAGGATATGGGAAGTCAAGGGCTACAACACGCGGAGAGCAGCCGTGGACAGTTGGTATGCTTCTCTCACGCAAGATCCGATCGAGTTGGAAACGAAGAAGCGGCGGGGCATGTTGAGCTTGAAGCGCAAGAAATCTTCCATCGCTGTAGGGAAGACCAGCACGCATGAGACCAACTCAGTCTCGAGGAACTCGAGCAGTTCGAATATCGTCCACGAAAAGCAGCCCGAGAACCTAGTTTTTGGCACCAGTCTAGCAGCCGGTATGCCTATGGGTCCGTTGGACAAGGAGGAGGCCAAATTACTCCTGCCCGATCTGCCGGCGCTCCAAAAGATTTGGATGGAAACCGCCGAGGCAATGATCTTGGACCGGAAGATTGTGGAGCGGCCGTCAGACATTCGCCGGAACGCCCAGATTTTCACCGAATTGATCCGCGAGGATGGCTACGAGGACGAAGACCAGTGGTTGTACGGCACGGTTGCGCCTGACTCGGTACGACCTAATCTAGACGCCATCGAGGAGGACCCTCTCGAGTGAGGCAAGCGATTCTGCCTACAAGTCCATTTGATATTAATGTTTCCTCGACATCAAACGTCCCTCTACTCCTACCGCGAGGCCAGAAAATAGGCGTCACCGAATCCACATCCACTTTACCAAAACTAAGTGTCACACGACATTCAATTTTATCAATTCATTACAGTCTGTCACGAGGCTATGACAGCTTTGTCGTTGGAGTGCACCAATAACTCCTTCCTTTGTCGAAACCGAATCTTGGCTTTCCCGAACCAAAATGCATTTACAGGCGTTCTGGCTCTTGAGTTTTGTTGTATTCTCATCCGACATGTATGGGTGTCTCTGGCAAGAGATCAGCATGGCGCGCTTGGGTTAAATGGGCCTTTTTTCCTCCTGTGTTTGTACTCCCCGGCTTCTCAAAGCTGTAGGGGGCAGGTGTTCTGTCTAGGGTTTCATCAATCTGGTCTTGTATTCTTAGGTCTTGGAAACCTATCTTCTTTCTTACCTTACTCTTGTACCCCGTCTTGGGATCTGCTGCATCGCATTGATGGCATAGTGGTAGTCGGAGAAACCATTACTGCGCCACAGGACGTCTTTTTGGATTGGAAGGATTCCCTGCTGCCGGATGCCGGACGAAATACCCTTTGGTCAACGTGGCTAGGCTGGGGTAGCCGCGATAGATTATAACAACACTATTTCCTATCCTCTAATTCAAGGCATTGTGTCAAACAGACCGCTAGTTGCAGTTTACAGGTGGCTTTGTGATGACACTGGCCAGGCTGACACTGATTACTGCTAGATTATGAGATTTATATGGTGCGCAGCATGCATGTCTTGTATCATACTCGGGCAGTTGGACTCTGACATGCCAGTCTTACCGGCCGCCAAAAGCCTCTTCCATACATGGATACCAGGAGCCCGTGGGAAAGAGTCATTGGGTGCTTAGCACTACATACCACCCAGCTCGCCAGGACAAAGTCAGATCTGTCGTAGCCCGCCTAGAAGAAATACCGAAGGGTTGATGCCACCACTCCAAAGACGAAAAGTACCCGTTTTCTCTCTCCGGGAAAAGCGTTACAAAAAATACCTTCCCGAGCACGACTGGCATAGCATGATGACCCAGATAAGAGGTTCAAAAGGAGATATGAAAGGACAACGCTGCCAGTTCCCAGAGACACACACACAATTCATCACCAAAACCCTTGAGGAACCCGATCAAGTAGAACAAATATTTTCCCCTAATTCAACATCACACCACTATTTTTGTTTCATCTCCGACCAACCCCATAATATCGATCGCTATCACTCAGGCCGGAAGTATCAAAGGCACCAAGAGCGGATGAGGCGAATGCAGAGCCCGGGTTGGATGCCGCTCGCACGCCGGCAGCGCCGACGCCGTAGTTTGCGTTGGCTAGGCCCATTGCTCCTTGGTGGCTTGACGTATCCAGTTGGCCGGCATCAAAGAGGCTCCATTCGGAAGTAGCAGCGTTCCCGCCAAACGTCTGCACACCGGCCAAGCCTTGCATACTTTGCGTCGTCTGGTTATTTACACTGCCAGAGCGTTGTTGCTGTTGCTGTAGAGCACCGGCGGAAGTGCCAAAGGACGGAGTGTGGTGTGGCAAGCCGTGCGTGCTGGTAGCCCGAAGGGAGGCGGCGACGGACGTTGCGGCAGGCTGGTTTCGTTGGCCGTACGAAGTGGTGCTGAGGGACGTACCCGCGGTGCGATAGTTACCTTCAGCGCTGTAACTATTGCTTGCAGATGTCCCAAACTGCGAAGACTGAGGCGGTGCATACGATGTGCTACCCGCCGAAGTGGTAGCTAGCTGAGCTTGATAGCGCTGTTGCTGGGCGAGCTGTTGCTGGCCGCTTGAGAATTGCTGCTGGCTTGGCGTATAGGATTGTGGCTTCGAAGTATACGCCTGCGACTGGCGGGTACTTGTGGAATACTGCTGGGTAGAGGGAACCTGCGTGCTTTGAGCAGCCTGCTGTCCTCCTGAGAACTGCTGCTGCGGTTGCGTGTGCTCTGTTTGCGGAGACACATAGTTTTGCTGGCTTCGCTGTGGCTGCTGCTGCTGCTGGTGTTGGTATTGGGAGCCCGAAGCACGGTTTGAACTATAATGAACTTGAGAGTTCCTGGCTTGTTGCTGACTGATCGATGGGCTCCCTGTTCCCTGTGAGTTTAGCTGCTGCTGCTTGGGAGATTGGCTGTGGGCAGTGGAAGCATGGTGCTGCTGCTGCTGCTGCCTGGGGTGGTGGTGGTGTGGTTGGCTATATTTCTGCTGCTGCTGTTGCTGTTGTGGTGCGTGAGTTGCCATGAGATGCGCCGGGTCCGGCCGATTTTGAGATGCCATCGCCTGCGGCTCAACCTCGGCCTGCTGCTCCAACTGAGCTTGCAACTGCGCTTCGTAGTTCTCCATCGTTGGAGACTGTACCTCAAAGTGGCTCGGCTGGGGCGAGTCTATGGACACCTGCGGATCGACAGGGACTGAAGAAGGAACTAGAGTGGATTCCGGCTTACGAGCCTCTGCAGGTGGAGGTGCTGGGGCTGATCTAGGGCTGGGATTCGGCACTGAGTCTAGGGATACTGTAACAGCAGCCGGAGCATTTGCAGATCCTCCAGTGGCGGTAGACAATGTATTTTCATCTCCCTGCTGGCCTGACAATCTTGGCTCTTTGCCCTTCCGCTGACGTTTGGGGGGAGGAGGTCCGGCTGCTCCAGTGGGCTCGGGAGGAAATGGCCTTGAATTGTTCGGTGGCGTAGGTAAGGTAAGATTGTTCACCTGGGGGGACGAAGACGAAGGGTTATGTTGGTTATTCACATCGGGTTGGGAATGCTCGGCCTCTTTCACGCCCTTTCTCTTCCGCTTCTGCCCCGTGTTGCTAACAGCTTTTGTTCGGGCCGGGCTGGCCGTTGGAGGGGTGGGTAACGTTAGAACCTGTCCTTGAGAGCCTTGCACCGTCTGCGTCGCCTGAGAAGGCGCCGCCTGCACTTGCACAGTAGATGGGTTGGCTGGCTGCACGCTACTTGGATCGCTTTGCTGCTGCAATTCCGGTGAAATCCCGCTGGATTGTCCTTGGGACTGTTTCTGTGTAGAGCCCGAGCCTTTCGGTCTCCCGACCGGCCTCTTGGCAGATCCTGGCGCTGCCGAGTTAACGGATGTAAAGGATTGGGGTGCGGCAGATCCTTCTTGTGCTTGAGCACTCTGGGCACTCTGGGCACTTTGGGATATCTGGGATACTTGATTGCCTTGCGAGGGTCCCTGAAGGGCCTGGGAAACCTGAGTGCCTGCCTGTGGCGCTCCTCCAGATAATTGTGCGGAGCGCGCCGCCAACCCTTTCGGCTTGTTCTTGGAACCTTTGGGCCGGCCTCGTTTCCTCCGGATCGGCTCCCCTTCGGTTGTCGTACCACTGGCAGCAGGGGCGCCTGGCAATGCCGTTCGGGCAGAGGCACCAGGCGCAGCAGTTGTAGACGTGGCCTCTTGCGGTTGTGAGCCCGTGGCTCGGGCGAGCAACATAACGTTGGCATCCACATCATCAGTTACCTCCATAGCATTGTCGTCGACGTCAACCCAGCTGTCGTCCTGAGCATTCCCGGGCTGACGTTGGTCTGCCTTGGAAGCCGCGTTCGAAGCCACATTCGCAGGCTTCATTGATCCCTTTTTGATGCCTTTGTCTTTGCGATATGTTTTGGATTTGCTTCCCTTCGGCCGGCCACGCTTGCGTCTCACTTCAGGGACCAACTGCCGATTAGGGCCCGAGGTCTGCTGTCCAGAGTTTCCTCCAAGTTTGGGGAATATCTCTGCAATCCAGCCGACGAAAAGGCTACCCGAGCCATTTGCCTCGGCGCTCTCCGGAAACCCGCCATTTGCCGGCGGGGGGGCCCCAGGGATGCCGCCAAAGAATGCAAGTGCCTTACAGATCTGGTCCACCACAAGGACAGGATGCAAGCTCCGTAAGAGGGTTAGTAAGCGCGCCTGCTCAGCCTTGGTTTCCTCGGGACTCAGGGGTCGGGTGCGCTCGAACTGAGTCTGCGTCGGCCCCGGCGCCGACGCCGGGGTTTGGGCGGGCACGAAAGACCCAGGTGATGGATGGAGACCCTGCGAGATTTGTATAAACCGACTTCTCCGAAGGGAGACATAGCCATTCTCAAAGGCTAGCTTGGCCGCCAGCTCGGTACTCTCGCTTGTCCTCTTGGCCTCAGCATCGCGCTCTGTAGGCTCGTTTCTTCCGGCGACCTCCATATGCATGACACTGAAATTTCCCTTGGAGCCGTCTGTTTTCCCCTTGAGCTTGCTAGGTACCGGATCGCGGATTCGGCCATCTCGATAGAGGCCGCTATTCGCATCCTGAGGATTGGACTCGCCGGTGGCGATAACCCCAAAGCTGGGGGTAGGGCCGGGAACGGCCGCGGGTGCTGAGCTGTCGCCGCTCGGCGGCTGCACGGACGGCGTAGCTTGGTTATCCGATGGAGGGAGAGAGCCACCCGTAGATACGGGGGCCGGAGTCGCCTTTGACGCCGCCGCGGAGGCTGGGGGCGCCGGCGGAACAGCGACTGTGCAACAATGTCAGCATCAATTGCGGGAAATGGTCAGAGTTGGGCCTCGCTAGAGAGCCAACGCGATGGCTTACCCGACGGTGTCGCCATTAGCGAGAAACCAGGCCGTGGCACGACAGCGGTCGAAATTACTGTTGGCAAATGTAGAATTTATTTCAGAGGGCCGGGCTGCTTCGAGGAGCCAACCACGGGCTCGTGTGCTGCGGCGGGGCAGGGCCTGCAATCAGGGCGCATCGGACATATTCAGGAAAACGTTCAAGACAAGGTAGTTGCGCGCTAGATGAAATGGACGGCTAGGTTCTGTCGGGATCAATGGAAACAGAGCGTCGCGACTCGGCTCGCCAAAGACGCGCGACGAGAATTCCCAGCGGAGAGCAGCAGCGCGGCAAGCCGCGTGGACAGCGCCAGATGCAGGAACGCAACCTGATTGATGCGATTCTGCTCGTGTGGCAGGGGAAGACGGCCGTGGAAGGGAAAATGGCCTACTGCGCTCTATTTGCAGTGACCGAGCCGGAGCAGGTTGGTCTCGTGTGAACTGCTGAGGTTTCGCACATTCGGTGGGAAAAAGGAAGGCGGTGGACGCTGCGCGGTATGTATGTACGGACTCAGTTAATTACGGACAGTCGTCGGCTGAATGCGTGCCGATGGTCTCGGGCCACATCTGCTTCCTTACTTAGGTCGCCGGTCGGGAGAGAATTGACAGACCGGATTCGCAGTCAAGATTGAGATAGCTGGAGCGTACAAGGCGAATGCTGCTGGTTTGCGAGAATACGATGGTGTCTGTGGTGGGACTTGACAATAAGGACGTGGCCAATGGCTTGAGGTTCAACGGACCTTCCCTCAGCTTGGCGATACGCAGAAGCTAAAATGACTGTACTTTACAGTAATTTCAGCGTACCCAGGTCTTCTTCGGTTAGGACGTAAATTCCCTCCAAAGAGCGCAACATTGATGAAGGACAAATTTCTGATGCTCATCGTTACCTAGCTACCTACCTAGCCCTCTCAAATAGCAAATTCATATTCTACTAGGTCTATTTCAAACAATCTCTGCATAGTACAGTCCAACCTGCACATCGATCCGATTGAGAAACATCAAGTGCAAGTATTCGCCATTTTTGTACGGCGATACGGTGATATGTGGGGCCTGATACCTTGGTCGTTGTAACCCTGGTCTCCCAGCGGCACGTAGTGGAGCGCTGTGAGCTCAAGCTTACCCCCACTCACTTCCAAGTGTTCGAGATGCTCCAACATCGATCCAACGATCAACAACTGCTGAACCCTCTTCCACCACCAGCGTCATCCGCTTCGTCTTCGCCAACCTCCTCGCACACCACCCTGCGCCTATCCATTCGGAGTGAATCGCCTCTGTGCATCTTCCTAGCCCCGATCCGACATCTTTCTCCGGCCTCCATTCCCCTAGCGTCCAGCCGGGGCTGTACCAACCGACCATGCAGCCAGCTCAATACGCACTTGTCTCACTCCCTCTCAGAATATTTGACGATGATCCAATGACGGCGCTAGCCGCAACTGTTGGACGGGATAATGGCGAGACCCTGCCGTTTACGATACCCTCGTTCAAGATTGGCACGCTCGATGCGCTCGTGCAGTACGCCGATGACCTTGCGAAGCTCAATGCGACCTGCGAGGCAGCTGTTGCAAAGGTGGCCGATTCCCTCAAAAGTATTCTGGATGGCGACGAAGAGAAGACGGCGCAACAAAAGATGGTCAATGATAGTAGGCATCAGCTTGCCCCACCCCCTCCGACGCCACGGCAGCCGTCGCACGTCTGACCGAGTGTGCACAGAACCGACGGACCAGTATCTTCGCTCTTTTCAATGGAACAAGGTTCGGTACGGGGTCGACAGACCCTTGGGGGATTTGATTGAAAGCCTTCAGAAGGAGCTGCAAACCATCGACAACGACGTCAAGGCCAAGTTTAACCAATACAATAGCGTCAAGAGCAATCTGGCCTCATTGCAACGTAAACAGACGTAGGCTTACAAAGAGCCCCTGACTACCCGGAGTCGAGCTAAATGTGCAAAACAGGGGCAACCTCTCGACAAAGTCGCTCACGCCCATCGTCGACCCCCGCTTGCTGGTGCAGGACTCGGAATACTTGGAAACTCATCTCATCGTTGTCCCAACCAACGCGCGAAAGGATTTTCTCCGCAGCTACGAGACGCTGGCTCCCATGGTAGTGCCACGCTCGTCAGTCCAAATCGCCCAGGACACCGAGTTCACACTATTCGCGGTAACAACGTTTAAGAAAACGAGCACCGAGTTCCTGCAAAAGTGCCGGGAGCATAAATGGACGCCTCGCCAGTACAAATATGTCGAGGGTGGCAAAGAGGAGGAGCAGCGGGAATTCGACCGCGTCGCCAAGGAGGAAAAGAAGGTATGGGGGGAAGCCCTATGGCTAGGGCGGACTGGTTGGAGCGAGACTGTTATGATTTGGGCTCATGTCATGACGTTGCGAGTCTTTGTTGAGACGGTGCTACGATACGGCCTGCCGCTGGAGTTTGTATGCGCACTTGTCAAGGTAGGATTCCCAGGAAATTGCCCAAGTGCTGTGTCATGGCTGACGTGGCGGCAGACAACACCCAAGCAGGCCAAGAAGGTGAAATCAGCCCTGGACTCGGCATATTCTTACCTCGGCGGAAACGCATTCGGGAGAGACAAGCGAGGCCGAGTCACGAAAGACGACGCATCGCTAACGTCGGAAATAGCCGCAGCAGGCCTGGGCGCTGGCGAAGGCAATGAGTACACGGCGTATGTGTATTACGAGATCGAGCTTCCCTAGTAGCGCCATGGCCTTGTTAAGGAGGGCAACAGAATCTATGCTCCTTCTTGCACTGCCTAGCCCCGTCATCACGCGAAATAGACAAGTCCCGTCCAAGCGGCTGCCGAGCGCATGCTAATGTCCCCTTGGACCCGGTTTTTCTCTCATCTTGTTTCCTCGGTCTGAGTAATGAGACCCTTTTCCGCCAGGTAATCCACAATCTTCCGGACGCATTCCTCGACGCTTAGCTGGTCCGTACGGATGGTGATCTCGGGCGATTCGGGCGCCTCGTAGGGCGCCGAAACGCCAGTAAAGTCTTTGATCTCGCCAGCCCGCGCCTTCTTGTACAGGCCCTTGGGGTCGCGCTTTTCGGCCTCTTCCAAGGGAATGTCGACAAAGACCTCGATGAAGGGCAGCGGGTCATCGCCGGCCTGGGAGGCGCTGGCGTGCAGATCCCGCGCAATCTGGCGGTCGGCCCGGTAAGGGGAGATGAAGGATGTCAAGGCGATGGTGCACGAGTCGGCAAAGAGCTTGGCAACCTGCGGTGTTCGGAAAGTGGTCAGCACGCGAACGAGGAAGAGTGAGGGACGGCAAGGGGGGAGGAAACGTCATATCAACCTCTGCAATGCGGCGGATGTTCTCGTTGCGGTCCTTCTCCGAGAAGCCCAGGTCCTTGTTCAGCCCGAAGCGCACATTGTCGCCGTCAAGGCGGTACGCGGCCAGCCCGATGTGAAGCAGGTGCTGCTCAAGCGCTGTCGCCACGGTCGACTTGCCAGAGGCCGATAGCCCCGTGAACCATACCGTGAAGCCGCGCTGGCGCCGCAGTTGGCTCCGCTCATGCCGGGTGAGGGATGGGTGCCAGGTGATGTTGCTGCCGTTGATGTTCAGTTTTGCTGCCCCTCATTGCCGGATTGCGGGGCTAAGGCAGGCTAGCCCTGCACAACCCAGGACCTTGGGTAGACCTAGAGGTTTACTTACGTTGCCATTTTTGCTTCTTCTAACACGCCGATCCTCCTGCGTACAGACTGATTTGCACTGGTGCCAATGAGGAGGGTGGAGAAACCTCAGAATTGAATAGTGGGCGGCGCGCTCATTTATGAGACTCTCTTTCCCTGTATCAATGCTGCCGAAGGGGTCCGACAAGTGGGGCAGTACCGATCGCGGTCGGCCCCAGTCATGTCCGATCTGCCGTCCGATGCGGTGGTGGGGGTTCCTGGGCAAGTATAGGTGTGCTCCTCAGGGGCTCCTCCAACAAGAACCTTACTGGCAGTTGTTTCTTTGCGAATGGCGTCATTTTAGTCGATTGGTGCAAGACTCAGGACTCGGCCACACAGACTTCAGGTTTCCCATACAAGTCAATTGCCTCTATTCATCCTCGCTCCTAATGTGTCGAGGTGCAGACAAATCAGTAAAGACATCCGATGCGCCACACGCCATGATCCGATATGGACAGCATCTCTATCCAAGCCCCGCATCTCTATGCTCTCCCAATCTATAGTCTGTTCTATCACTTATAGGCACATGTTCGACATTTAGCTCACAGGATAGACCTTAGCCATCATCTGGTTGTTTGTTGGTCTCGGTCAGCAAAAGAAATCGCGCAAAGGGGGTTACCGCAGAAGCAAAGCAGCTGGTCGACCTACCGAAGCCTGCTTCGGGGAAATGTATAGGGCGCTCGCTGTTGCCAGCACGGTGGGCTCTTGGCCCTCCTCGGCAGGGAGCGTTTCAATATGGCCCTCGACCCACGCCTTTCTCCCTTCCACTTTCACCGTCTTGGCTCGGAGCACCAGGTACTGGTCGGCCATGGCGGGAGCTTTGTAATTGACCTCCAGCTTTGCCGTCATGCCAATGTTGTGAGGCAGCGCAGGGAAAGAGCATCTCGCCAAGCCTTCGTCCAGCAGGGTCGCCAAAAACCCCCCGTGGATAATGCCCTTGTGGCCGCACAAGTCCGCCCCCACGTGAGTTATTTGCACGTAGCTCTTGCCGGTCCGCTCGGTCCAGGTGAAGGGCGGGATAGCCATCTTGCCGGGCCCTATCAAGGTGCCGCCGGTTAGGTTGTGCTTCCTCCATGACGGCGGGATCTTCATGTGCGGCCGCGCCTCGATGAGATCCGGGTCGGCCCGGAGAGCCGCGGTGAGCGGGTGCGAGTTGATGTAGTCTTCCTTGGCCCTGGCGTCCTCGTCCGGTGCCCAGAACATCTCGAGGCTGTCAGCATCGCTCGGGGGCGACAGAACCGCTGCCGCGGACTCGTAGGCAGGCGCTGCAGCCATGAAGAAACCCAAGGACGTAAAAAGAAGAATGCGGCCGGTCGTGGATGCTACTCTGCGGATAAACGACGCCTTGGCTACTGTTGGTGAGGCGGTGGCGGGTGAGTCTGGTGATTCAGAACAACTAGCAGTTAGCCCACTGACGACCAGAGTAGGAGGTGAAGGGCAGAGGGCTCGGGATTACTAGCTGCTGCCGTAAGTGTCCGAGAGATGGGTTGTCGGAAGTAGTAGCCGCCACGGGTAGTCAGAGGGAGAGTTGAAGTATGGCGCCGCAGGGCCGAGAGTAGCTGGAAGGACCGTGGCATTTTTATAGCAAGGTGTAGCGGCGACGAACGGGGACTTCGGCCTTTTACGCGCAGAACACCGGTTATCGCGACTTGGGGCAGGGCAGCGCACGGAATCGGCCGGCGGAGACACTCTCGGCAGGGGGCCGACCCCACCAGTCTGTCAGCGAGAGTAGGAGGTAAGGCCCTTGAAGATGGGTCCCCAACTCGTCAACCTCGGTTGGTGCCCTCAGAGGTTAAAGGCGCAATGAACAGCGGTGCTGCTCTGGTCCTGGTTTTGAAAGCGATGGTCGGCCCTGTTGGATGCCGCAGGGTTCAGTCTGATTTTTTGCGACTCGGGTTTCGCTCCTCGCCGTAAAGGGAACCGTGGGAGCCCGGGTCTTTTGGATCTTGGCTACTTGAGCCTCGGCTAACTTCGCAGTGAAACGGAGTTCACCGTGTTTTACGGGATACGAGTAAAGTACTGTATGTACCTACCTAGGTACTCTGCTTCACCCAATTCAGTCTCGATCACCTTCAAGGGCACATCTCCAAGCCAACAGATTGAACTGCATCCCACTTGAAAAGTGCTTATAAACGCTGTTCGCTGTAAACAAACGTCGTTGAGCAATCTCCCACAAACAGATTGTAGAGAGCGAACTAAACTCTTTACTGCTTCATAGGACCAAAAACAAGATTTCGTGCCAGCATAAAATGGATCATCATTCTCTTACAATCACACAACGTTACCCCTCTCAACACCACTCCAAACCACACATTGAACTGATCGAAGCATCCCCCTCCTGACTCCTCGCCCACCTTTCCACGACGTTAAGGACACTGTTAACATGGTAAGGAAGGACGAAGAACAGATCGGTACTTGAGCAAGACGTCATGATCCCCTACTAAGCCCCTCTTTAGGCTACCGCCGACACCGTTGAGCTTGGAGAAGCTCACGAGCCGAAGGAGGAGTCCCTCAATGTGTTCAAGCAGATTCAGCATGAGCTGAAGAAGACGCTGGTGCACATCCGTCACGAACATAACAGTAAGCTGCCCGTCTCTTCTCACATCTTCGCTCATGGCTGCTGTTGGCCAGCAACTACTGTTCTGGGCTCATGCGAAATCCTCCTTCCTCCGCAAACAGAGCACGAGCCCGAGTATTTCGCCGCTGTCGAGCACCTGAGCGATGCGCAGCTAGCCGGCTTTGGGCCCGACGACCTGCACCAAGTCCGTGTCGCCGTGTCTGCATACGGCGTGCACCTGTTCGGCAAGGTGCGCATCCCCGCCATGCCCGATGACGGCCCAGCTTATATCCACTTCCGTGCCTTCACCGGCGGGCCCGATGACACGGCCACACTGCATAGTATCCGTACGTGTTCCTTTCTTATGGTAGCCTACAGTATCGGCCTGAGGAACCAGGCTGGTAATACCGAACCACGAGCAGTACTCTAACAGTCCTGACTCCAGACACGGAGGACAAAGAGGAGCCTGACGGGGGACACACCTACCGGGCAATCTTTACCAAGAATGACCCACTAGAGTGGTTCGATACCTAGAGTATGGCACGGATGGGTGTAAAGCATCTCCCAATCAGGATGTTCCTCAGAAGCCTGGACGGCCAGAAGGGGGGAAAGGAAGATGAGAATATTTTGCGTTATGCAAGGCCTGGCAAAGCCGAAGCACATTGTACCAGGGATGTAATTTGACATTTGACTTGGTCCCTGCTTGTACTCTAGCCATCCAAATCATCGGGCTCTGCTGCCAACATCTCAGCGTAGTCATCGGCCGATGCAAATGTTGGAAGGCTCTTGATCTCCTTCCTGCTGAGCCTGCCCTTACGGCGCTCCTTGGCGGACAGCTCCTTTCCGGTATCACGACGACCCTCATCCTCGCTCGAGCTGCCTTCGACACTCTCCTCGGACTCGTCAAAGATGCCTTCAAAGCCAGTGTCATCCCCAGACACCTCGGATTCAATGTCTGACATGTCCTCGTCAAGCGCAGGGCCGTCGACGTCCATGTCGTTGTCCGAGTAGTCGTAACCATCCAGATCCATATCAGACTCCTCGCCGGCATCCGCCTCCTCGAGCTCTGGTTGTGATTTGACCAATGCCTCCCAGATTTCATCTTCGCCTGCTTCATCACCCGACTCAGCCTGCTCCTCGGTTGGTTTCCGGGCGCGCGCAGCTTCCCCTGCCTTGCCGATGCGAGCAAAGTACTCGTGGAAGAAGACATCCTCCGCCGAGACTTGGTCGGGCTTTAGGTTCCAGAAGGCGGACGAGTTGACAATCCCCTGCTGTCGCGCCCCGGCTTTGTTAGATGTCACAATGTGGGACGAACTACCGGAAGCATGGATCGGCTGCATGATGGAGCCGCCCCGCTTGGACTCCTCGACCTTGGGATTGCGGTAGACAAACTTGTCCAGGAAGTGCATCAAAGTATGGTTAGCCAAATCCGGTTTCGGCAGCGCTTTCTGCCTGGCCAGCAGGTTCAGCGCAAACACGCCCACCGAGGGATGGTAGTGCGAAAGAAACGGCACCTATATATGTCCCTTACGTCAGCGACATGCGGGCAGCAATGTTGGTTTCGTAAGAGGAAGCGAGGATGGGGCAGTTCAACTTACCAGTTCCCAGAGACAACTGCGATGCGCGTTGCTGTGCTCGGGGTTCCGTTTCCTGCCGTCGTACGACGCGGCTTTTCTCCTGCCCGCCATCACCGAAACCTGGGAGGTTTCGTCAACCTCGGACTCATCCTCCCGAGCATCCTTGTACACCTCCTCATCAAGATCATCGTCGTCTTCGGGTTCGTCTAGCAGTGTACGGAGGTCCGGGAACGTGGTTTGCAACTCGGCAATCAGGAAGAGGACGCCGCAAGCGAATGGTGGCTGGTGCAGGCTCAGCACTTGGATCAGTCTCTTGACAAATGCTTTGACCCGACGGACATCGACATCATTCTTCATGGCCCGGTAGAGCAGGTTGAGGTACAAGGCGTGTTTGGACGACGTAATGAGCCTTGGGTCCAGAAGGGATTCGTAGAGAGTCCGGTAGAACCTGTCAACAGCAAGCTGCTTCGACGTGGCTAGCTGCTGTATGAGCATTAATGCCTGCACGCTGGTGTTGAAATTGGAGGAATGAGTGATCTTGAAGAGAATGTCCAGGTGTCTCTCCAGCGTCGAGTCGTCGGCCGTGGCAAACGGTATAGCCCGGTTGACGCCCGTCAGAAGAGCCGACACAAGTTTCTGGGCCGTTCCCTGCTCTTTCCCAGGAGCCGGTACGCTAGATCCCCCCCGTTTTCTTTGCTTCTTTTGAGGGGTCCGTTGTTTCCCTTCACCATCCAAAATCTCAATGTCTCCCAGCGAGCCACTTTTCAACAGAGAAAGAAAGGCTTCAAAGTATATCCGAAGCAACGTGTCCGCAATAGCCGGTTCCTTGGTGCTCAGAATTGTTTGATTCAATGTGTTGATAGCCGAGTACCTCGTACGCAGACTTTGGCCAGGCTTCAAGAGAACCTCCTGTTCTATAGTGCCAATGACAACGGCCTTCATCCCTGGGTGGACGTTGAGCAGCTGTAATAGGAGGTAAGAAGCCCTCGAAGAGATCTTTCGTTCACGGTCGCCGAGCTTGTTGACTAGCAGCCGCAACAGATTGGCTTCCTGTTCTGGTTTGCTCTTAAGCAACCCATACACGAAGTCGAGAGCTCGTGACCTAGAATACTCAATTTCATCCGAGCACCAGAGCTCAAGCAGTTGGATAATGCGAAAATAGGCGCCTTTGAGCCAGTCCTCATATGCCCAGACCATCAAATGCGTTTGGGTCAAGTTACCAGGGAGCTTTTGCCCCTGAGCCCAAGGTGAATGCTTTTGCCCGGCGAGAGCTCCGAGCAAGGCGGGCTGGCTGTTGAAGGGTCGAAGACGGCGGTCGTCGGGAAGCAAATTCCCATTCCCCAAAAGATCGACGAGAGCTCCCAGGGCGGCAATTGCCTGACCGCGGCTCTTTTTCCCAGCCAAGGTAATGAGGCTTTCAAAAGCCTTGCGATTATGGAGCGGCGACTCCTGGACCGACAGCGTCAGAGCGGAGATCTTGTCCGAAAGGGTTCCAGACGACATAATGGTCGACATAAACTTTTGCGACGAGCTGGAAGCCTGGGTTGCGGCATAGTTCGCCGAGTCTTCTTCCAGAAGCGTCTCGGCGTACGACTTCAGGTTAGCGATGGTCGTAGGATGGTGCTTGAGGTTGTCCGGGATTTGTGTCGATAGCCGAGGCAGGGCGATAGCGTGCCAGTCAGAGCGAGGCTCAACGAACTGGAGCATGTCAGACAAGAATCTCAACCCAACAAGCCGAGTCGACTTCCGGGGTTGTACGAATGTGCTTACTGACCAACTTCCCTGACTGTTTCCCCCGTTTGGTTTCCTGCGGGGGTGGGGCAACCTGATGTCTTTCCTCGTCCTCCTCGCCGTCATCCTCAGACCTGTTGCTGTGCGCATCCTCAGTTCCATCGGAGTGGTCGGTATCCGAATCGTCTTGTTGTTCGCGCAACTTGTGGAAGCCTAGACTGGATGCGAATTGAGCGAGTTCATCTCGCAGTGCCTTATCCACAATGGTTTCTGTTGTTGATCCCTTTGACTGGGGCGCGTCACCATCTTCGTTGCCAGAATCGACATTGGCGACCAGTTCCAAGTCAGCTTCATCCCCTCCAAGAGCTAGAATTTCCTCAAGAAGACTGGGCTCCTTGTTCTTCCGCCCTTCGCCCCGGGCACGCTGTGGCTTGGGCTCTGTAGGACGGGTTTGCCGCCGCTTAGATTCAGGCCCATCGTCATTGTCGCGACGTCGCTTTCGTTTCGCAGGGTCCTGCTTTGGAGCACTTGGTTTCTCGGAATCTGCAAGAGACTTGTCGATTTTGCTCGTCAAACGAGCGAGAGCGGCTTCGTCAAAATTCGGCTTTTCAGCTTTCTTTACCCCCTCCTTCGCCCGTTTCGAGCCCATTGCCACGGTCGTCTCGGTTGAGAATGGGAAGTCCGGACTCGGGCCAAAAAAGATGGTGAAGAACGACGTTGTGTGAGAGGTGCCGAATAAAAAAATTGGAAAAGTGTTGTAGACCCCTGCACTGCGGGAGACCCACCCGACCCTCAAGAAGCGTGCTGCACCCACCGCCCCACTGTTGCCCGGCAATCTGGGTCCCCTAAGAGATCTTCTGCTGGACTTGATTGGCATTCGAGGCTGCTGTTGAACACCAAGGTATTGTACCTCGCATAGCAGCTTTTCCAGCTTACACTACGGCAGTCAGCGAGGATTGCACCTTCAAGGCCTACTACCCAAGGAAACCATGTCACTGAGATGCTTACCGGGGTGCTAGTGACTTTAGCACGAGAAGCTTAAGGAAGCTACGCGTGAAGACCAACTTGACCCAAATTCACCAACCACCAGCATGGTTCCGCCACCAGTGGCCCGTCTCTCGCGCGTCTGGTTTCCAAGCGGCGGGATCGCCGTGTCGGGAGCCGAGGATGCCTACTCTAAGCTGATACGCGCTGGTTTCCTGCGCCAGGCACATTCTGGCATATTCCATATGCTCCCCTTGGGCCGGCGAGTTCAAGACAAAGTCGAGGCACTCATCGCAGGGTATATGGAGAACCAGTTGGGTGAGTTACGAACTCCCCTGCTGCTGCCATAGAGTTTCAGTTGTACAAGAGAACTTATTTATCTTTCACCCCTCGCTGGCCAATAGCCGCATCTCGAGTTTCGCTGTCTTCCATATCCTCCCAAGCCCTCTGGGAGCGGAGTGGCCGCTTAGAGAACGTTGCGTCTGAGGTTTGTTTCTAGTCGCCGCGTTGGAGTCCCTCGTAGCGCCCCAATCCATTGCTGATCACATTCTCGCCGTAGCTGTTCAAGTTCTCGGACCGCAAGGATGTGGCCTTTCTGCTCGCTCCCACCCATGAAGAGGAAATCACCTCGCTGGTCGCCCGGACAGTCAAGTCGTATAAGGAACTTCCCCTACGGCTGTACCAAATCACCCGCAAGTATCGTGATGAGTTTCGTCCGCGACATGGCCTCCTCCGGGGGCGTGAATTTATCATGAAAGACCTATACACCTTCGACAGCAGCGTTGATGCAGCGCTCAAGACCTATGACGAAGTGCGGACTTCCTACGCAAGCATCTTTTCCGACATGAAGCTGCCGGTTTTGGCGGCCAAGGCGAGCTCTGGCGATATGGGAGGCGATCTCAGTCACGAGTATCACCTTCCAACGCCCCTCGGAGAGGACCGCGTTGTCAGCTGTGACAGCTGTGGATACGTGGTTAACGAGGAGATCGCCGACTCTGCAGTGTCCCTACGGGTCCTTGAAGGCACACCCATCCAAGCCTGGCGGGGCATCACCAAAGACAGGACGAAGCTCGTCAATGTCTGGTATCCCAGGTCAATGCAGTCATTGGATGGGATATCGCGGGAGTACGCGGATCATGACATCAATCTACTCGCCGTGAAATCCGTCGTGCCTGATCTGGACTCTGGGGTAGAGGACACTCTCTTCCTCTGGGCTACCGCTACTGCCTCAGAGACAGGGACGGCAAAGGAGGTTGTGAATATCGTGGACAGCCGTCTCCCTCATCCACTGCCTAAGACGCTGGAGAGCAATTCATCGACAGTCTTCGGGTGGCCAACGGCACTGCCTCCGCCGGCACTGCCGTTGTCCACCTCTTCTCATAGGACAAACGGTCTCCTACGGGTTCGTACCGGCGACAAATGCCCCCAATGCTCGTCGGGAACGTTGAAGGTGGAAAGGGCGATCGAACTCGGGCACACCTTTTTCCTCGGAACAAGATACTCGGAGCCGCTCAGAGCCATGGTTACAGTGCCGCCAGCCACGCAAGCGGTGCCCATACAGATGGGATGCCATGGAATCGGCATCTCACGCGTCATCGGCGCCGTCGCTGAGCACTTAGCTGACAAGATAGGGCTGAACTGGCCCATCTCAATAGCCCCGTATTCATGTGTCGTCATAGCCGGGAAAGACGCCGACGATGCGGATGCTGTGCAGGTGTGTGGCCGTATCACCAACACACAGGGAAACGAAAGTCTGTCCCTCGATGTGGTGCTCGACGATCGTTCGAGGCCTCTCCCATGGAAGCTAACCGATGCCGACTTGATCGGCTTCCCCATAATCGTCGTACTCGGAAGGGAGTGGGCCGCAGCGAGGCGAGTAGAGGTACAGTGCCGAAGGCTGAGTATGAAGGAGGGTGTGGAATTGGAGGACCTTCCGCACTTAATAAGGCAGTTGCATGCGTTGCTGTAAAGGGTGAGGTCGTGTGTAATCCCTGGTGTATCATCAACAATACATGTGTACAAGTAGATACTATACCACATCCCGGTCTGTTAGATGTCGGGAAGAGAGCTTATAAACAATGTATTATACCAGATACAGCGGCCACTTGACCTACAAAGGCTGAGGGGTCGTCACCGAGGCTGCCAGGGGTTGTCTGATGTTCAGTGCCTTTCTCAGCTTTTTCGTCGCCTAAGTTGCTGCTTGTTAGTTCCCAAGCTCCTAGCCAAGCGAAGCTGTTGCAAGTGAATGTGCGGTTTGCAAGCTCCAAGCAAAAGCCATGCCTGAACTAGCCACTGCACCTTGGATATCCAGGGCCGTGTTATGACGGACGAAGAGGCTGCTGAAGATGAGTTCGACGTCGTCATCCGGCTTGGGTACCATGCAGCTGTCTAGAAACTGGCCAACGAACTCTAGCGGCAAAGAAAGTCGACCAACTCGTCAGGGCTTCATAATCGCGGACCTGCCCCACCACTGCGTGGAGGGTCAGGTCCTCTGATTCCATAAAAACTTTTGATTCCATAA